CCATCTTAACATCGTGGATTTGCAGTCAATCATTGATGCAAACGCGATTCCTTTTTAAATCCTTGATGCATAACACCCGCGGTGCGCTGAGCCCATGCATGCGTCATGCATGGGTGAGTCACTGTCATGTACTGTGAGTGATGCAGTCCGACGACTAGGTTCGATGCGAGCCTGAATTGGCGCAGACAAAGAAACAAAATCATAGAAACAAAATCCATAATGGCGTCCACTTCGAAACTTGAAGTGTGCGTATGACTTCCTTTTGTGAAATGCGAAGGCAAAGTCTTGTGAAATATGAGAGGTATTGTTAGCTCCGATAAAGAGTTGTTACAACCCGCGCTCACCTCGTAGCAATGATCGACAATTTTGCAGTGGCAGTGCAAGAATCAGTTGTGCCTATCATGCATCTCGGACAGTCAGCCGCTCAATGATATCCGAATGCTGAGGGTACTTTTCTAATAGCGGGTCTCGCTGGGCCAGCTCAAAGTCTGCAAAGTCGAAAGCTGGAGCAACCGTACAACCGACTAAGGAGTAGTGCGTTTGCGCATCCCGAGTTGTCTTCAACTCCTTCCCGTCTGCATCAACCGTCTCGTAATCTAGTGTGGGGTATGCTCCGAAGTAAACCCCGGGAGATACTACAGCTTGGAGGCTGACGTCCAAGTTGCTTCGGGTCGGGGTGCCGAGGGCGTGCTTCGTCAGCTTCCCATTCTCGTCGATTGTTACGACCTGGAATTGGAGTGCATATAATCAAGATCACCTTTGGCAGGCAGATGCTCTGCAAAGGCTGCTCCGCGATGTTCGAAGGTGCATAACCTTGTACAACCCGCAAAGAAGTATCCCTCCTGACTGAGGAACAAGTCATGAACGAAGTCCTGAGAAAGATACCCTTTGGAGAACCGACATTCTGTTCGACTTTCAGAAGCTTGGGGATTCATGCAAACTCACTAAACTGACAATTGAAGCAAGCTCACCGTCAACGGCTCCCCCATGTAGAAATGCCACCCCTCAGCCGAAGGCATCTGTATGGAAGCAAACTAAATATCAAACTTCCGAACAGGGAAGGTTCAGATCCGGCAGCATGCATCCACCAATGTCCTCCGTCGGTGCCGGAATGAACACTTGCTGCCCCGTCACGCACCGCTCAAAGTGATGAAGCCCTTTCTTTGCTGGCACAGGGTATGTCTGCTCAGATGGGCTGCCGGTTATCCTTACCCTGTGGAGTCGGGAGACGCTGCCACTGGGAAGAAGGAAGTAGATGATGGTGCTGACAGGACGGTCCACAGTATCTGCACATGGGGCACCTCTTGTAACCTTCTGAAGCTTGTGCGACTACTGGCTGCCAACATAACCTCCCCAAGAGTCCAAAACGAGGTATTCATTCTTCAGAACTGCTCTGGATCAGTGTCTAGTTCTTGATCGGCATAGGAAAGAGACCATGTATAGGGGGGGATTCCTCATGCATCCAAGGCCCCGGATCAGGGCAAGACAGGATGACTTGATCGATCCCGGCAGCAAATATAGGGCGGGTTGGTCTACTCGAGCATTGCAGCGGATTCTACTCGACTATTGCAGCACATTTAGAGGGCCGACTCACAGCCATCTGGAAGCTGGTCCTTGGACAGGTGCACACTGTCGTCCCTGAATGTCTCTTTGAAGAAGCCTCCTTCAGGATGGGGGAGCAGCTGCAGCTTGGCCACCAGCTCGTCTGTTGTCAACATGTCAGCGGCCGCCATCTCTGACGCTGGATCTGGGAAGAGGGTTGCTGAAAGATCTCTAAACGCAATCAATCGATGGCAGACTGATCAGTCGCCGCTCTCCTAATAAATGCACTTAGAGTGTGCCTGAGCAGCTTGGTGACCACTGGAACCATTTCGACCCTCACATTCGATGATCCAGGACCAGGGGCTTGACGCAATGCTTTGAAATAAGGAGCACCGCTACGGCAATGCTGCGAAATATTGCAGTCTAACCGCAAGTGTAAAGAAAGGCGCTTTCCTGCTCGCTTCACATCTGTAACACGGGCTCTTTTGATTGAACCAGCTTACTGGGAATGTTAGACACATCGGGCTCACCTCGTGCAGACCCTCGACCCACGCTCTGCAGAATTCTGGCAAACCCCTCAACGATTCAATTGCAGAGCTGGCCGGATCGACGAGACGGATCGCCACCACCACTTTACCAACGATGAGCGGTGCCTAGCTAGCGCTGGCTAGCGCTGACATATGGTGAAAGCAGCTCAGCTCAGCTCTAGCTGTTCAAGGCGACAAGAAAGTCGACGAGATCTTCAGCCTCAGGATAGCTTCGGTGCTCTATTCTTCGTCCTCGATGGCCCCCGTGTTGTCTTCACCTCGGCCGTAGCGAAGGACGTCGAAAGACGGCAGCAAGCGACTGCAGTACAAGGTCCAGGGTTTTTAGCGCTCGGCAAACCGGCAGGTTTCTGGCAATATCTCAACGACCGGCAGAACTTTGTCTTTTAAATGAAGCACCTAAATTAAACAGTGAAATGACTTGAAACGTAGGTAGTCTCCAAATGACGGTTTTCGTGCACAGAAATTGTGCATGGCTAGTGCTACATATACCGTAGTCCAAGGTAATGATTCCGAATAAATAAATAATTATCTGCATTTAGAAAGTCAGAAATTCGGATTTCGCATTCGGAAAGTGGAAACTCGGGAAGGTTAATTATTTCTGGAATGGTCCTCGGAAGCCCGAAAACGGCAAAGTTCGGCCTCAAAATCCCCTTCCTAGTGAGAACATAGGGCATTCGGATTCTTGTCGGAATCATCATAAATAAATCCGCTTTTCTGGTCGGATTGTCGGAAAATAATTCCAAATAAAATCGTTCGGAATCATCACGTTGGACTACGGTACTAATACTAGATGATATAGCGTGGGTGTGGCATGGCGTTGAACGCCAGCACAAAGAAGATTCTTCGAGGTCTGCTGAGCCAAAAAAGCTCAAATCCAGCTTCTTGCTCTTCATTGATCTCCCTTATGCACAGCCAGAAGTGGTCGGGGCCTAGATCGCAGGTGGGCGCAGCAGTTGGTGACAATTCACGAGCAGGTCGCAGCCTGCGAGAACACCACCAGTGCCGCACTCCACATTCCTTCCCTCAGGCTTTCCCAAAGGCACCTATCCGCCCGATCCAGACACCCTGCTGGCCAGAATTGCCAAGCCTTTTAGCTCGCAGGTTTTGTGTGGCTGCAAAAGCACATACCATGGCAAGCGGGGCAGGCGAAGGCACAGTCCCACTGGTAGAAACTAGGGAACAGACAGCCATGAGTTCTCTGCCACCAGCAGAGTCTCTGGTTGCAGAGAAGAAAGCTTCGAGAAACGTGGTCAAAAAGGAGCTGCGCCAATTGAGCAAAGAGCAGAGGCAGGCGGAAGATGAGGCCATTCAGCGGCACGTCCTTGACATGGATTTTTTCCAAAAGGCACGTCGCGTGTGCGCCTACCTGGCGTGCGAGCCGCTGCGAGAGGTGGACACCAAGCGCATTGTTCCTGCTGCACTGAGCCAGGGAAAGGTCTTGTATGTGCCGCGGGTAGAGGATAGGGCAGCGCATATGCGGATGTTGCGCATTGAAGATCCAGACAATGATACAGAGCGCAACAGCATGGGGATAGCAGAGCCGACGCCTTTGCTTCGTGACGGCCAGCCGCGTGAGGACGTAATGCAGGCCAAAGAAGCTCTAGATCTAATCCTAATGCCAGGCCTAGCTTTCGACCGGAGCGGCAAGCGTTTGGGAAGGGGAGGCGGTTACTATGATGTTTTCTTGCAGAGCTATGTGAATCTAGCTGAGTCAAAGGGCTGGAAGCGACCAATTTTGATTGCAATGTCGTACAAAGCTCAAATCCGAGACTCAATTCCTGCTGACGAGACTGATCAACTGATAGATGGATTGATGACAGCTGATGGCCTCTTGACATTTGGTGATCAGATTGGAGTTTGAAAAAGTGAGTGTTGAGTGCGGAACGTTTAGTCGATTAGTGACGGAGGACAGTCCTGGGGCCTGGACACTTTGCAGGAGACGGATGGCTTTGACTGGTTCAGGTGCTTGAAGTGATGTACGTTCACACCCGCTTTACAGTCGTTGTCTGCTCGCACGGCCAAATTCTACGAACTTTGATCTGACGTGCTAGTGAGTGTTTCATCAATACTGCAGACAACATCGCTTTATTGGTGCCGCAGGCTGGAAGGCTGCTGGAAAGATGAGTTTTGCATGCGATTGTGCAGCAAGAGGTGTGGATTCCTTGTAACCTGAAGTTGTCATGCGCGCAAACTGAAATAACATGTAGAGTGCTGATTCGATCTCATGCCAGGGGTCATATATGCACTTAATGTATACAGCTCGATCCTTGACATCTAGGTGCGCAAATACTCATTGAACCAGGCAGCGCATGTGTCGTTGATCAATTGATCATATGTGTGCCAGTACATGTGACCCGGCTTCCAAGGCTGGTACATGCAGTTGATCATTTTCTACTAGATCGTTCTTAACTAATCACACAATAAAGCACGACAAGTGCTCTGTTGCCAACATCAAATGTAAGAGCAAGTAAAAGTCCCTCAAGGACGGTGCCAAAGACACGTCAAGCTCTACGAAGATACAGAGCTTCATAAGTTCGCACTAGAGGTTTATGTACATACAAAATCCTGAAAGCAACCTGCATTTTCAGCATAGACTTGGACAAGATGGGAATCTCAGTAGGTCCTGGCTGTGAACGATATGAAAAGAAACATGCCAACGACTCCGGCTTTGTATGTACAGTTTCTACAAGCAATCCGTTCCCTCTGATACCTTGATGCGATTTGTCGGAAGTTGGAAGATATACACAGGCGAGACCTAGCCATATTACACACTGCTTTTCTCCATGTTGTTGCTCCTCTCCGTCGTGTGAGCAATTTCGTCGATGGCCTGACTCACGTCCTCCTTCTTCCCAGTGAAGGTGCGCGTTAAGGACTCCACTGTCGGCATCTTCAAGTTAGCAATCTTTTGCATCGTTGGAGTGTCCCGGATGGAAGGCCCGTCCTTCGTCATGTTGATGATGGTCCCAGGAGTGGCGATCAAGCCATTGACCGTATTGGTGCCCAGCTCCAGAGCACCACCGATAGGCTGCAAGGATCCATGGCCTTGCTGAGGGTTCATCATCAATAATCAAAGACTCCCAACCCTCAGCATCTTCGACTTGCACATGCTATGATAAGATCGTGCTCAGCTTCGGCAAACAGATTCAGCTACATACAGGCAAATGAAGGGACCATTAGAAGAACGATCGGACTCATTGAGCCCCAGATATCGATTCGAAGTCGAGGGAATGGACTTACTTTGCAAAACGCTCCGGCGAGCCCCTTGGCAAAGCCCTTGGCGATGGCGACTCCAGCAATACCAGGGGAATCCCTTTGATGCGTCCTCGCCGCCTTCATTGGCTCTGTCTGCACAAGGACCAGGAGAGCGTTGTGATTCTTGAACATAAGACTTGCTTGTCAGGCCTTCCTGGGGGTAATTTGTGCTTGTACATGATGAATGTGGTCCGTGAAATGAGGGGTCAAAGACGGCCTTCGAGTGGCAGCTGCTCAAGTTCGCAACAAAGAACAGCTATAGACCGTGAAAGTATCAAAGAATCGGTACCAAAACTCCTTCCGTCAACAAAACAGCATAATGACTCCATTGACACCACAGCTTCATCAGAAACGGAGATTTCTTAAGAGAATACCAACTCAAAAGCAACTGAGTAAGCTCGAGATGAAGTCCGCTCAAGGGGTTTTCAACGATGTAGCGGAGTCACAATCGAAGTACTCACGACCAGCCCAGCTACCCCATCGTACACCCCGCTCCCAAGGCTCTTCATTCCATAGAAAAGGCCCTCCCCCACATGCACAGGCTTGTCGTGTGGCTCATCACGCAAGAAGGCCGGCTTCGCAAGCTCGATGCGACCTTCAGGCGTTGACGACTGCACGAAATGATTGTGGCCAACGTCAGTGTCTCCAAAAGAATTTTCTCACCACGAAGGAGACTAGAGTAGATGCTTCTGCCCAGAAGACCTGAAACAAGGCATATATGTGGTCGATACTCCAGTTGCAGGCACCAGAATGCAATGAGAAGCTTTCTAAACAAGCACATGCTGCTTTGGCCTCACCAGAGGAGGACCATAGCCCCGGTTCTCCTCCCCAAATAAGGCGTCTGGAGTCTTCCTGAGACCCGTCCCAAGCTGGTGCGTCAGGATGGAAATCCCTTCTGCCGGGCGCTGCACGGCCTCCACAAGGCCCGAGCCCAAGCCTTTGAAAAAGCCAGCAGTCCCCCCATGCTTGGCACCTTCTTGTGGGTCATTCTGCAGGAGGAATTGAGGGATCTCAGAACCATAAACAATGGAATCCGACGTCAGAAGGCTTGCTTCATACAATCTGTCTCAACAGGCAAACAACTCATTTTCACAGAACCCCAAGGTACAATGAAGGCAAAAAATAAATACACCCTACAAGAAGGTAACCGTCCAGCCTCCAAATGCACCAGCTAGAAGCTTACCACAAGGTGTGAGAAACCATCGTACACCTTGTTTGCAAAGCCACTGAAACCACCAACAACCGCCTCTCCCACATGCCGAGGCTCCTTAGGGCCTACGCAGAAAACCCAAATCGATTAGTATCAGAAGTGGAACCATGAACCAATATAGACTAGCTTCGTAGGTTAGCATGTAACTGAGCTCGAGAAGTTGACTCCAAGGTGCAACACAATTGAGCTCCCAGAATCCAGTACTGCTTCTGAACATCCACATGGATATTCAGCTGGCCTGATGGGACCCAGTGAATAGACTGTCTTGATTTTCTTCAGAAAGCATTGTAAATGCGAACCTACCAAATATTGATGTCCGCAGGTCGTCTAGATCACCTCTCAGATCGTCAAGGGCCCTCAACAGGTGCACTTGGTCGCCAGCGATAGGGACAAGCTCCGGCAAGGAGTCTTTGTCCAATCTCACAAGTACAGCACCCGATATTTCATTGGCGAGGAACTTCTCCTTGTACTGAGACAGTCCCTGGCTGTCCAGCCAATCTCCGACTTCCTGCAGGGGTAAGCCCTTGACTTTGATACCTTGTGCAACACATGGAGAGAGGGATAAAAACCTGTGGTCACCCTTTTTTGCTCCAGGATATATTTGCTTTCAACACTTGTTCAAGTTCTATTCTCACATACACTTCTGATTCACCACAGAACCAAAACTGCAGGGTCTGTGCCAAAGGCTGCTCTGAGTTCTAAGCGGGAGTGCTGGCTACTCAAAGGTTGCAGTCAATTGTACCAGAGACTCGGCGTTGGAAAGCAATCAAAGACTGTATTCTTACGGCAAACTCAGGCCAGCTCACAAATGAAATCCACCTCACCTCACATGTCCACTCATTTGGATCTTCTGGTCGCAAAGTCATGCCACTTGTGCTCGCCATTCGCTGGCAGCACCGAATTGAATGACGAAAGCAGTTCGTAACAGAGAAACGGCCCAGAAAAGGCGTGCCCAGCTTGAATGTTTTTCTCAAAGGCTCAACCCGTCATGAACCTCAGGAGACGCGCGGACCCTGCTGCACCAGACTCTGCTGAACTCGAGTGAACACTGCTTGAATCAGCATAGATCAGCATCTTCAGACTTCAAAGCAGAGTATGCAGTCTCCCACTGCCAGCCACCAATCAAGTTGCTCTCTGAGTCCACGTGGTTTAGAGTGGTAGCTACCGGCTTTCTCATTAGCCACAGAAGGTATGTACCTCTTAGGTACATGCGGTGCCGCTTTCATAACGGAGGATGGCATGCCAAGTGCAGTTTGTCGAGTCGAAGTCACAGCGAACTGCAAAGCCTGCTGGCAGTGCCAGTAATTGTCTGGAGGGGACATGCAGTCAGGGGATGTTGGAGCAGCCGAAGTGTGGTCGCGAGCGCCCATTGGTGGTAGCAATTTTCTGGGGCCCAGCTTGAGCTGCTATTATTGACCTCTGATTGCCTTTCTCTTGTGAGGGGTTATATAAAGAGCGGAATCATGGGAAATACAGCCGGCGAAAGCATTGGCAAGCCGGAAGCGCATGCATATACAAAAGCTGAGCAGATGGACCAGGATGAGGCACCATCGCTTCCCTTCTTTGCTAGGAGCTGGCGTCTGGCAAGGAGTTTCACTGGGGGTGTCTCAAATATTGCGGGGATGGTCTGGAGAAGCGACAGGGACTTTGAGAGAGCTCTGGACAACCTGTCCAAGTAAGCTGAGCTGAGTTGTTGAATTCAAAACAACAAAATGCTGAGGTGCTGCCTGTTTGGATGCAGGATACCTCCAGTATCTCTGTAGGACCCCTTGAAGTCTTCTGTGAACCTTGTGGTGCTGCGGGCAGCACGCTGTGTAGTCTTACTAATTCGGGCTTTTCCCTGATTGGAGCACGTCTAGCGATCAGGCTTTGCTGTTTCTGAGGAGTCAATTTTGGGCAAACCCTAATGCAGCAAACCCTAATGGTAGAGGCCCTGGGGCAGGCAAGAGGAAGAAAAGGACCATGGTGTCGAACACGACGCGCTTGCCGAATCAGCTTCTTTCCTGAGCACATCTATCTCCCCTCGCAGGTTTGAGGATGCCTTGAAAAACCGTATTCATAGACGTGGAAGCAACTGGCGGTGGTTTGCTCGCTCAATCATGCTGTGGTCAGCTGCCTTGGAGGTAAGGAAAGGCAGCCCTTCTGTTGCAATATTGCAGAGCCAGGATGTTTTGACTGTGAAAATGTCGAGCAGGTCTCAATTCACCATGTTGTGCGAAGTCGGTCAGGGGAGGTTTCAGAGGGCGTCCACATGTGCATGTATGTGTAGAAGCGGCCATGCATGCTTGGCAAGCCACAGTGGCTGCGTAGAACAAGGAGGTCTGTGTGATCGCCTCTGGCTTGGGGTAGGACATGTCTGACTATCTCATTGAGAAGCTGGACGCTAGTTGTTGCCTGAAAATCCAATCTCAGGAACAGTTCTGGATGACAGGCAGCTGCCATCCGCTCACTGTGCCCCTTCCCTTTTTCCAGGTTGTTTTTCTAAGCTACGCCATTGTCATGACGCACTCAGGGGGCCTGGAATGGCAGAGGCGTGCTTTGATAGTTTTGCCGGTCTTCCTCCTCCCAGCTTGTGCAACCCTGCTGTACAAAGTCCTCGCAAGGTACTACAGAATGAGTAAGCCCCACGCTTCTTGAGTTGTCAGTCCTGCTGTGGCATGCTTTGAGCAGGTGGAGGACTGCAAACTCATACTCAATCGGTACAACGTTCTGAAGCTGATCTTATGGACACAATAGGTGAGCTTGCTTTTGATCTCACCAAAAGTTGAATGTTGAATCAAGATGATCGATGTTAGCAGGCTCCAAGCAGACAGATCCTTCATCCTTCACTGCACCTTGATAACAGCTGGGTGATCAGAAGCGGCGTTTCTTGGAAGGAAGTGACTTGGCGCCCGGGATACTGATGCAAAAGGCTTGCTGCAGGGGAGCGCCAGGACAAGCAGGCCCTAGCTGACGTCCAGCAGAAGATGAAGCGGAGACTAGACGAAGTGAAGGACAAGTCCAACTTCTATCGCACTCTGGAGGTCATCCAGGTGCGCATGCGTTTCCGCTTCGCGCACAGTCGGTGCAAACGAACCAGGGCTTGGATGCTAGAAAGGCGCCGCAGTTTGTTGTATTGGTACCTAGCTTATTACCTCGTGTGAGAGAGCCTTCTTATGCAACAGTTGGGTGAAGTGCTCTCGGCCAACCAAACCCTTTGGTTGATCCCAAAGATCTAATAACTTCTTTCGAGGACTTCTTGACTGATGTCTGTGCCTTCGATAGCAAAGGCTGAGCTTCATTTATAAGATTCTCAGTGGTGGTTATACCATGTCTGCCCGAAACTCAAAGCTTCCATAACGCCACTGAGACCCACCCTACGATTCCCTGCTTTTGCAGAAGTACGACAATGACCCTGTCGTCAAGGCCGCTGCCGCGACTGTGCTTGGGTCCAAACTTGGGTTGAAGACAGACCTACCGCCCGAAATACAAGCCCATCTTACGCCCACCAAATCCGCTAGCACCCCTGATCGCTCCCCGTCAAGCGGGCTCAGGAACCGACGATCGTCTGGGGCGCATCCCCCGAGCTCGCTTAACCCAGAGGTTAGCTCCCAGGGTGTCCCTAGGTCCGCGCAAGGAAGGGTGTCGCAGGAGGGGAACTCTCCTCGACCTAGTTACGGAGCCCCGGGCCCCGGGTTTGAAGGGTTTGGCCCGGCGACGGCAGGGAACTGGCAGCCGGGGCAGCATCAGACGGGGGGGGTGGTTGGGATGTTGGAAAGAGTCGCTCAGATGCTGGTCGGGGAGGACCCCACGCAGTGCTACGCCCTCATCTGCGAGCGGTGCCGGCAGCACAACGGTGAGCGTGACCAAAGGCCCGCCTTCGACCGCTTTTTCTTGAGCGAACCTTGTTTTGGTTGCTCAAAGTGTCAATTGATCCCCTTAGTATTGACTCTTTTTGAGTATTCAGAAGCTCAATGATAAAGCAAAGGACTTTCGTTGATTCAAACTGCCGAGCTTAGTACAGGTTCGTGACTTCTGGAGCCCGAGCGCCTGTTGATTCGTATTGTGCTCACTGTTTCCCGGAATTACTGCATCCACGATGTGCCCCAAAAAGAAAAAACACAAGACTGAGGCGCATAGGCACCGCGTTGCATGGGATACGAGCGTCAGCACGGTCGAATCTTGTTGTTTTTGAGAAGCTCGTACCCGCTGGGAGACAGTTCGCATACTGCAGCAGCTATCCGCTGAATGTCGCTCATAGCCTTTTTAAGTACGAAGCCACGAGTCTGAAGTGCATTTAGCCAGCGTTGCCTGAAGATGTCCACCTCTGACCTGACCCAACGATCTGTGTGTGAGCAGGCCTGGCCAAGAAGGAGGACATGGAGGTCCTGATGTACCACTGCAGATTCTGCTCCCACTTGAACGGGACAAAGGACGACAACATCGAGCGGAAGTGCCGCTGTTACTTCTGCAGCGAGATCCGGAGAAGGACGGGCGTGGAGCTGGAAGCACCATCGCCTGATACCGGAACCCCTAGGAAAGGTGAAAAGTCAAGCGCAGGAGGATTGGAGAGGATCGGCGACGACGGAGAACAACCAACCGAAGAAAAGAATGTCGATGGAAAACGTGTAACAGTAGGAGGTCGTGGTGACTTGACAGAATTGCGGGGAAGTAAAACAAGCGCTTTGAGCCAAAGTGGGAAGGGGAGCTCTAAGGGGGCGATTGATGAAGGGTGGGAGGATGTGAAATCTCGGACAAATCAACCGGTCACTTCAAATGTTTCCCTTCGCCTTTGCAGTGAAGAGTTGCAACATGGAAAGGCGAAAGGCTGATCCAAAAATCTGACGAGAAGTTAAAGAGGATGGAGTGAGTAAACGAGGTGGTCATACATACCTTTCAAACTATACAGCGCCTCTTGTACAGTTTACACTGAACGCCACCTGAGATTATATGATATGCAGACTTAGTAAGACATTAGGATTGAAGCAGCAAGACAGTCACGTTCATGCCGCGGCCCACCTCCGAGAATCACTCCAATATACGGACCTGGGTTGCTTGGTGACACGTGAACTTGAACTCCTGCAAGTGCGTCGAATTCTTGATTTCTTCGACCACCGGAGTCTGAAATGAACTTATACGCATGCAGCGTGCAACAACCTGCAAGTGCCATGATGCCATGGCGGCCAGCATCTTGACCAAAGTGTATGCCAGAGGCCGTTGAGTATATATAACTAATCATGATCCGACTATATAGGCCGTGTAGGTACCGCGTCACCTGTACACACCTGTGACTCTCGCCGTCGCCGTCGGCCCATGTGAGATCGATGTACTGAATGCGAGAGTTTGTCGGAGGCCGGTCACTCACTCGGACATGCACAGCCGGATTTGCGTACGCGTGATCATGTTGCTTTGTTTGTTAGTAACTGCTAATTGGTACAATTCTAGCTATCGAAACATTTTTTGATCGTGAAGCCCAAACTCCGAATTAAATTGCTTGTTTCTGCGCCATGGGCCCAGGTGCCTAAGCGTGTATAAAAAGAAGTGACCATCCGACATGCACACATGCATCAGTGCCAGTACGTACTGGGACGGGATCGCCGCTTTCATGTTCTATAGCCGCTCTTTAAGTTCAATTAAATCTACGTAACATATGGGAATCTTCTGCAATCATGCACTGTCGGAGGCCATGGCCGGCCCTAGGTGCTGATCGAATCCGGCGGGCCAGGCCATACGTGCCCATATGCAGCAGGCTGTCACTGTACCCACGCCATGCATTCATGTCGATCGGCGTGATTCGACAGGACCAAATGACCATGCAAAGTGCGCCTTTTTATATGCATTACATTGGAAGTGGCCGCCTGACCGCAAGCGGTCAACAGCTAGTTCCAAGAAAACCTCGTTCAGTTTTCAAAATCGAAGGTTTCTTCCAGAACCTACAGCATAGCAGGTCACGATTCACTTGGCGGTTGGTGAATTTGAACCCCGACGAGTCGGTGCACTGATTCTCAAGATTGAAGCAAAAACTTTGAAAGATATTGCTTAGTCGTGTGGAGATTTTGGGTCCACATAATTGAACGTCACGCCCAAGATCAGCTTGTTTCTTGTACACTTACAAACAGTTTGGACTAGAGTCCTGCAACAGTCAGTGGATCCGGCAGGCCTTCCTGCAAACAGTCGTGCATCCATGCTTCATGCACGAGGCCGCAGCATCACAGCACACCATGGCCTACAGTATACCTCTTTGACTACCAAATAATCATGCAGCCTGCACCAGCGCACTGCGCCCCGTTATCAGCCTCACTTTGCAGCCACCCCGATGTTTTCCTTCCCTAGTTCGCCTTCGCTGAGGGCTTTGACTGCCCGCTCCCTCCTGAGAATACTCTTAAGATGGCCCGGGTCGATCACGAGCGCCTGGTCTACGTCGTGAAGCGCTTCCACAAAGCGCCCGGCGCGCAGGCAGGCCTCCGCCCGGTTGGACCACAGGATGTGGCGCTGGGGGTACGGCGGAGCATCCTGCACACGACAATGAGTAGCGTGTTTTTAAGGGGACAGGTCCTTTGGTCTGCCTTATCAACTTTCGGTAGTGCGGTTGTGTGTTTTCAGTTTTGAAGGCATTTGTCGACTTGGATACGATAGGGCTCGCGCCGACAGGACAACTGCTCAAGTCTCCAGCGTCTCCTCTTCCTTCCATGTACGGGCTTGTATGACTCTGCTCCAGATAATGCGTGCAACGAGTATGTTCTCTTGGATCCACATGCAGCCAACCCGGAAAGCAAACGAGCTCTCACACTTCTGCTCGACGCCAGGTTACACTGCGGGACGCTTATGAAGGCGTACCCAGCTTCCTCCTTGAACGCTCGAAAACCCTTGCCATAACTCTGAGACCAGTAGAATAGACGACGAAACTACGAAGTCAATCCGTCAGACTTTGTCCTCACCTGGGACGCCGCACTGTGCGCCAGTCGAAGGGCGAGGTTGTAGCACCAGCGCGCATACTCGTGGTCGCCCTTGTTCAGGGCCTCGTTCCCCCGCTGCTTGGTGGCCTCGATCTGGATACCAAAGTTGCGACTTTCAGAGGAAGCAAAGCAACAAGGCCTCGTTGTCTGGTCGAACACTCGGACTAGGCAAATCAGAAAGTTGCAATTGGAAACAGAGCAGGAGCTACCCGTGGAAACGATTGGGACCAAGAAATGTCGAGAGCACACACCAAATGGACCAGCTTTCAAGACACCTTATGCCTACAAGACCCGTTCCCCTACTGAAAAGCATGTTCCGAGAGCATTTGGCACATGGCTCACGAGCTTCTTCTTCACTTCGACCGCTGTTCCTCAGTGTACGGGATCCCCTTTGAAGCAAGAGGTTCCGCCTTCCAGTTAACGAAGCAGATTCGCCATTCCGAACGTACGGATCAGAGAAAGCGAAGCAATACAATACCACGTTCCGACCTTTGCAGATAGAGCACAGAAGCCGACCAACGCCCACCTGTGCCGACACCGCCGATCCGAAGCAGCCGGGCAGCAGGCTGGCCGTCGTCGCTAGCGCCAGGTTCGCAACTAGAATGAGCAGGCTCGCATACACCGGCGGCGCGTGATGGGCGATCTCCGTAGAGTACCCGAACGTCATGCCCGGCTTGCGGCTCGCGGGGGGCATCGGCAGCACCGCGTCGGGCCCCGCGGAGACGTCTAGAGCTTCCAGGGCCTCCTCTGGCTGCACCTTCTTGCTGGAGGAAGTTTTAGGGGTGCCCTTCTGGGCGGTGCACAGGTGGAAGGTCTCGAGGCGGTCCGTCTCGCAGAGGGCGGAGCGGAGGGACGGAGGCCCCGTTGTGGAGGCGGGCGAAGCCGCGAGACCGTGGAGGGTCTCGAGGAGGGAGGTCAGGCTGCGGGCGACGGGGCCCTGTAAACGAGGCAGCACATAGCATGAGAAGAGGAGTAGGCCTCTCGTCTACCGTGTTTGCGAACATCTGCTGTCCTCACGATGTTCAGCGCAATGGACCGCAATGGATCCGCTTCAGAGCTTCCGGAACATCTGGAATACCTTATCAACTTCGTAGGCTATCTGAGGCGAGAGACGGCCGGAAATCCTGCAGACCTGCTGCAATCTGGTTTGTAATACTCGCTGTTCGTGCAAAACTTGCAAGCACGATAACACGAAAAAGCATTGAAGTCGAAGAGGCTGCCCCTCTGCCCCTCACCATAGGAAGCGCATGCCGAGGATGCCCACGTGAAAGTACCCAAATTTATAATTGCTAATACAGAGTCTCATCCCAGCATGCAACCAGAACCCAATCCAAGCTCGCGCAGAGGAGAAAGGCGCCCGCAGTCCCGTCAAGAACCCCGCACTATGTCAACCAATGTCATAAGATCACCACGGATTAGGAAGGCGCGATACTTCAGTCGTGGCAGCGCTGCCGCAGATCGGTCAACAGAATATAACCCATGTAATATCCGACAAACGCACCTCTGCCGCCACGCGTTCCGCCACCGCCAGGTCATGCGCCACGTTGGCGCATGCGTCCATCAGTAGCGCGGCCTGTGCCGCGGCAGCCGCAAGCGCCTCCGGGGGGGTGTCCTCAGCACTGGCATACAGCTTCTGTACATGGGCGACCGCCGCGAGGGCAGCGTTGGCGAGGGGCAGCATGCCCCCCTCCAAAGTGGCGCCGACCGAACCCCCGTAGGGGCCTTGGGCATTCGGGACCTCGCCGTGCATCTGCAGGGGAAGGGTGATCCTGAGCGAGAATGTTTCTTGTACTAGCACTCATAGAATAACAGCTTTATCGATCTGGACTCTCAAAGAGACTGCTGATGAAGGTAGGATGCCGTTCCGTGGATCTCGTGTAAACCTAACAGCCTGAAAAAGCCCGATGTGCGGCACGGGTGCTTAGAATGATCATTATTGCAACGGGCGTCAGAAGAGCACGGCATAAGACCCAGCGGACTTTCTCGAGATTCTCTGCGCTCAGGTTTCTACAACGCATCAACCAAGCGGAACTATTCTTGTATAAAGTCAAAGATGTTGACTTGGTGTAAGATCATGCGTCAGCAAAGGCCACAGAATTTTCTCGGAAGTCACAGAGGACTTTCCCAGGCCTTGCACCCACCTGGTCCCAGACGTCCTTGGTCTCCTTCTCCAGGTCCACCACCACAAAGTCGTCCACTTCTAGTTCTCTCGCCTCCTCCCTGGGCGCCTCCGCCGCCTGCCACAGCGGGAACGGGCGGTAGCCCAGGAAGGCGAGGCAGCGCGCCGCTGCCGTCACTGTCTCCGGAAGCTCTGTCTCTTCGACGGGGGAGGGGTTTGTAATGTTGACACTACTTGCTGGACTCCCGGTTACAATCGCCGGGAGCTTTACTGGAAGCTGGCTATTCACACTATCTACAGGCTGTAAGATATGTACAGTATCTACAGGGTTATGTACAGGGGTGTCAATGCCCCCCTTGCTGGCGCTGTTATCTACAAGCTCGAATCCGGCGGGGGTGAGCTCTGGGTAAGACTCTCTAGGCTTCCCTGAGGCGCTTGGGCTGCTGGCCGCGGCCTTGCTGGAGCCCGGGATGCTTAGAAGGTTCGGCAGGAAGCCGCAGGCCATGCTCGACAGCGAGAACCGTCTGGGCGACTTTTTCGCCCCCGCTTCTCCGGCCTCGGGGGTATGTACAACGGCCAGAGTCGTGGGTTTGGGGCTTGGGTTATAGGGGGTTTGTGTGGGGGTCTCGGCTGCCCGAATGCCTTCCAATCTGGCGCCGTTTGACACGGCTCGCAGGAGGAGCGGCATGAGATTCGCGCCGTGCTGGCTCAGGAGCTCTGCCTTTGCGGTTCGGTTCTGACAGCTGGCGCCAAGGATGCGGGCCAAGCAGCCGAGGGCGACGGATCGCGCCAGCTGAGCGAAGAGAGGAATGCAGGCCTGAACGCCGGCGGACTCGCATGGAGCTTCCGCCATAGCCTGAAATCAAGGAAGATTGTTGCGTGAGCGGTGCGGAATTGTCTCTTACTTGGAAGCCCTGTTCAATGCGTACAACTTGCGTTGTTTTCAAACGTTCTGGTACTGAGATCACGTGACAGTCCTTCACACATATGACCGCATGTAGATCAATCCTTAAACGACTTGAACAGGGAAAAGCCGGCAGTGCACATTCGCTTGTAGTCTCGAGGGGGAACTTTGCTCGAATCGGCCTTGGGGTTATTCTACAGTTCAACGGCTCGTCAGGAGGTTTCGAGACGCCAGGCACTCCTCGCAAATCACGACATAGCCATCTGACAAGGAATGCTGCCGGCTTCTACTGGCTGGCCAACTGGCCCTCAACGTTGACAATTTTGCAGACACTCACCGGTCCAAACTGGCGCCGCAGGAATGCAAGTGTGGCTGGCGCGTCCACTCCTGCCAGCTCCTCGTGCACTCCCTCAATCGAGGTTTCCGCCAGCCTGAGCAGTCCCTCAATCAAGCTCCCCCCCTCTCTCTTTGCCCCACCTTCGGCGGCAAGCACTTTCGGGCGGGGGCCGTGCGATGGCAGACTCTCCTTCTTCCCTCTCTTTTGAGGGCCAACTGTCCGGGGGCTTAGGACTGCCGGGTTCTCCAGAGCAGCCTTCTTCTTAAGCTGGGGTTGAGAGAAGGTTTGGACGAGCGCCGAAAGGGTGAGTCCGGGACTATCCCACGCAACTGCCACCGCAATGGAGAGAGCGGAGGCGGCATGGATGCGAATCACCAGGGGGGCCACGTGCAAGAGTTGGGCCAGAGTGGCGAGGTGGCCCCCTGCTGCAAAGTTGACTGGGTTCTCCCTGCAAGGTCATAGTCTGAGTGTGAGCACAGCACTTCTGAGAGCGTTGTGAAAAATGTCGAGGAGGCGTCCTTCTTTCTTGGAACTTCCTGGGCCCAGAATGCCAGTGGCCTTGCCACTACACACAACAAGCGCAAAAACTCATGCTCTCAACAGCAGCGATAAAAGGTTCCGGGGCTTTGATAGAGACCCACATGTCCAACACATGATCCAGACTTGCTGCGTGCAACCTCTAAGCATGAAGCATCGTACTGTGGCCGACCCGAACCAATCCTGACCTGATGTGGAACAGATACGTCAGTATCTGGGCTGCGCCAGACGCGACAGCCGGCGCCTCTGCCTTCAGCAGTTGGCCCATAGCGTCCACCGCCCCCGCCTGCGAAAGGTCCGCTACTAGTTCCTGAGCGGTCAGGGCCTGACCTCCGGGAACCAGCTCAGAAGACTCGTGGCCTGCGAGGAACTCAAGCGCTCCAGCGAGTCTGCAAGGGAATAAGCTGGGGGTTAAGCGCGGCCGGAAGGACAGCGATAGAAGGGACCAAGTAATAATCGCTGCATCTGGCCCCACATTTCTGATGCTCCAGTACTTGCAACTTGACTTAAACATTTCAGCTGCAAAAGGAGAGCCCAGGTATTTAAAGTCAGTGGCGTCATTGGAGCAGTGGCGTCCCAACGGCATAGACCAACGCTAACGTATGTCAAGAATAGCTTTCAACATTGGCTAAACAGTGCATGCTCCAAAGCACAGCCGCTCACGTAGAGAAGGATGCCCGCTGCTGACAAGGAACAGCCCAATGGTGGCAGCATTGCATCCCAAGTTGTCCAAATTGTTGAGTAGCCCTTTCTAATCCTTTTAAACCATCAAAACAGTAGCTCCAAACCACAAACCGGGGCTACTCACGCTGACAGCCAGGCGACAGTCATTCCGTCACTGCCATCCCCCGGCGCCACTTTCCCAGTGCCCTTCTTGGCATTCTTCGCCCCGCTCGCTTGCACAGGCGGACTTGCAAGCGACAGCATCACAGATCTGAGCTTCTTGCGGCGCCGCTTCTCAGTCTTTTCTCCCAGGACCTGCGAGAAACAGGAGAGCAGCTCAATCTCAGAAGCTGGTAATATGTGCTCTCAGAATGAAGGGAGCAAAGATGGGCACCCTATGGGCAAATGCATTATTGTCTTGGTAAGCCAGCAGCTTGGTTGTGAAACTGACTGCATTGGATACTTCAAGCAGGTAATGAAAGTGCACAATGTGGCCATGCAGACCCTAAAGACCCAACTAAACAAGCGACTTGGATTTGCATCTGGAATGGTGGGAAATACTTTTCTAGAAGCCCGATTGAGCTGCAGCTTTGCTTCTCATGCATTGACCTCTCTAAGTGCGCAAGGCCTTCAGCTTAAAAGTCAAGCTGTTGCGTAACATTTCTGCTTCCCATGGGTCACATTTGTTGGAGCATTTCCCAATGACGTTACCTTTTTGGGCAGCCCAGCTCCAAGATATATGGCCCACTTCATTGACATTGTGTCCCCCCAACCAGTTGCCTCATCAGCCATGGTTTCACCGAATATGACCGCACCAAAAAAGTATCCCTTAGTCTCACAACACACAATGTATGGCCAGATCAGGCTATACATGCACCAATGTGGGCAATAGAGGTCACCAATGACAAAAAAAGAGGATGAAATGTTGGCCACTGCTCATCTTTGAGATTCAAGACACGTCATTTGGCCCCAGATCTAGCATTATTGATTTACTGCGAGCTCTTTTTTGGAAAGTGACGTTCGATGACTGCTCATTAAGTGAGTAACCAGTCTATAGGAGGTCTGGGCATGTGAGTTGCTTACCTGAGAAATGGAGGGCATCGCTAGCTTGCCAGACAGAGATGCAGAGCACTGACATCTTGCGCCATGATCCATACTGTACACCAAGGGCAGACCGATGTCCAGTCTTATTCTGCTCGTCTGCTCAGCTGAACACCAGATCCTCTCTGTGCTTGACAAATAGGCTGTACAGAACCAAAAGCAGGACTGATTGCAGCCTCCTTGATCAATCTGGGTATTTCTAAGTGGAGAGCTTTGAAAAGTTCCTTATTATTTCAGGATCAATGTATGTACAAAGTGAGGATCTGATCAACCTATTGACCAGGATCTAAAGAAAGGGGCACAGCTTGTTTACTTAGTCTACAGGATTTTGGTGCGTCTGGATTATGTTTGCATGGACTCCAGGAAAAGACAATTCTTGGTAAATATGCACCCTCTATCTCTTAAAAGAACAATGGGGCGATGTCGTAAGGCAAACGGATCTCTCTTTGAGTAGGAGCTTGCTCAAGCCTAAATCTTGGGCCGCTGTGCAGCTCCTTTCGTAGATCTGACCGTCAGTCGGAAAGTGTGTAGCCAAGGTCCTGCATTCTCCAGAATGTTTGAGTGGTTTTGACAATGTGATGCATCCGGACTCTGGGATCTCAGTAGGAGGCGGCCGTTGAGCAGAATCAGGGAATCCAAAACAGAAATGAGCAGCGGTGCTTCTGAATCTTCTCTCCTTTCCAACTTTCAAACAGGTCGGGAAGTATTGAATCTGATGTGCTGGAGCTGCCCCAAGCCTGTGCGGCACACACTGTGCCTGACTGGGGTGCTCCGTACGTGTGTGCATGCAACCGCCAGCAACGTTTCTGACTCACAGAGAAGCATGCCTGAGTCGGCACCGTGCTCGTGAATGTGTACATCTGTACACCGAATTTGACGGCTGGGTTCGACATGGCAGGAGTGCGAGCGTCTCGCAGCCGTCGATAGCTTCTGTGGTCCGAGTTTAAATTTCAAACTTGAAGTTGCAGCGGCGGTCGTTGATTGCGAATGATACCGTGCACATGCTTCTTTGACACTAGCAAGATTTTTCAGGCGAGCGACTATACACAAGACATAAGCTGTGTCAGAGTTCGGCCGGCACGTTCGTAATTCGGCTAGATCGTGCACCACTCGAGCAAACAGACGGCTCAGATTGGTCAAATCTACCACGTGGAAGGACCGGTCTCTACAAGAAGCATTGGCCCAGACCGGTACCGTACCGCAGTGTGCATCGCAGGTGCCATTTTGCCGATTGAGGTGCATTTGCCTGCACGGTGCTGCACATGGCTCTCAATCTACCGTACCGTAGTTCCCAGCTTATGAGCAGTGTTTCCCCTGATTATTTTAATTGCTGGCCGCCCGGCCGGCCGGGGCCTGAGTTTGCCGGCCCGTTGGGCCGGGCCGAGGTCGCCATTGCCGGCCCAAGTCCCGGCAAAATATATGGAATTTCCTCGCGCGCGCACCCCATATATTCGACTTTACAATACTTTCATAAGTCTCTAGCTTATCTACGTGTAAAATTATCGACCAACTTCCTACCTGTCCTACCGAAGGGATCATTGAGGGATACTGCTGGCCAGAAGTCACCGAGGGAAGGTTTTTTTCGACAAAAACCTTTAAATGTCCTGAAATCCTGATCGTTTACACACGGAATACGATGACAGGGCCAGCTATGAACTTTCATTGCCGGCCCAAGAGGCCGGCCCGTGCCCGGCAATGCCGGCCGGATGGGCCGGAGGCCGGCCCCCATTGCCGGCCCGGTTTGACCATTGCCGGCCATTTTACCAGAGAGTGGGCCGGCAGGGGAAACACTGCTTATGAGTCATGATGCTGGTTCGAGTACCATCACATCTCCAAACTTCTCAATTTCATTTAGTCCTACCCACTCAAATTTCCACAGAGAAAAGGCGGAGGCGTTGCCGTGGCCTCTGCGTAATGTCTAATTGTAGGCTTTGGTAGCCACATAGCTTCTCCACTTCTCCAAAAGTTTTGAAATTGGGGTGATTATCTATCAGGCAAGTCTTGCCACCACTTATTGCTTGAAGGCATTGCATGATGGCGGTCGCCTGCTTCCAATTATGTCATGTGAATCTTTTGCCTTTGCAAACCCCTCACTTCAGCAATTTGTGTTTTCAGATGGGCCTTCAAGCTCTTTGGGGTCACCCATGATTATGGAGGCTGTCGTCATAGAGCATTGACAGCTGTCTCTGGATCCATTGATCTGACTAAAATCGGACGGAGGAACACCACTTTTCCTTCTGCTTTCAGAGCACCGGCTTTCTGAAATGGACCCCAGTGGTGTTGTATAGCTTGTGGTTTACCGGAAGGGGCTGCCGCTCTTTGTTTTCAGCGCACTTCAAGTGATTCAAGAGAAGTACTCAAAACTATCAGTTGGCTTTTGCAGGTCTCTATACAAGGTTCTGATGGCGCGAGGGGCGCTTCTGCAGCTGCTGTCAGCTATAGTGCTGATGGCCGCCTTTGTTTCCGGCCACCAGCTGTGCACAAACCTTGGTGAGATTGATATTGCCTGATGCGCTATATTGTGGTTCGCTGCATCTCCAGTAAGGTCTGTGTCCACCACCAAAGTGGATACAGCTACACGAAGTGCAATGCCCCCTTCTCCCATCTACCCTGCAACACCAGCTGCTTGGTTACTTGGTTCTCAGTTCCTACAGGCAGCTTGCCCCATAGCGCTTTGAAGGGGCCACAAACACGCTCGCTCGTCATCTGGACTCGTCACTGCTCACCTAATCTCCGTGACAGTACATCAAAGCAAAGTGAGAACCAGATTGCACCACAAGATCTGATGAGGCACTCCCCTGTTTAGCAGCTCATGACTGTCATTCTGGCATCTTCTTGCAGAGGGCCCCACCAAGCCCAGCGCCCCGCTGACATTTTGCAGCGCTCCTGCGTATCCCTCCCTGGGGTGCTGCTCTCCCTCTTCTGACCAGCAGATCCAGGCGTACTTCACGTCCCTCAATGTCACCGACGCACAGTGCTCCGCCGTGTTGCAACAGCTGCTCTGTGCGGTGAGTTGCCGAGCCACCACTTTGGGATTCAAACATGTGCTTCAGATTTCGGGTGCTCGCTAACCTGACACATGTTGTAGGCTTGAGCTACTCTTTCAGGATGCACGTCTTGTGGATCTCTGGAGAAGCCCAGGTTATACTAAAGGTGGTGATGTTGAAGATAACAGTAAAGCAGGTTTATTGGCTGATCTTGTATGAAAGAGCTCAGATTTTGGTTTTTAGTTTTCCATCACAAGATCACAACATGCTTGCGACTACGATATGTTGCCTGCAGCAATGCGATCCGTGGGCCTCGCACCTGCTTGGAGTCGAGCAGAACTCCCCGCGGGTCATCCCGTACCTCTGCAACACCACAAGTGGCAGCACCACCAGCTACTGTGCACAGGTATGCACTTGATTCAAAAGTAGACTGCCTGACAGGGTATTTGTAACCCCCGATCACACAACTTCGAAGCGGTTTCCCTTTTCGAGTGCTTTTATACATAAGTCGCTGAAGGTTTGTTGGAAGGATCAGATGGTCTGTAGGCATTCACTCATCAGGGGTGGGAGGCAAAGGTCCCAACTTGACCGTCCTGCCGCATGTCCCAGCGAGGAGAGTGTCAGGCAATCTCTTCGTTCACAGGTAAACCAGAGGGTCCCTCTGGACCGTTGTGCCAGTAGACTTGCATACATTGCGTTGAGCTATGGCTTGCCTATGAATGGAACCATTTGGCTCCTGTGCAGGTGTACTCAGCTTGTGCCTCAGTCCCCATTGCTAACAGTCCCTTCGCCCAAACTCCGGGAGCGGGCCTCAACGCCCTCCCTATCGCCTCCTCCACTCCCACCACGCTGTCAGACCTGTTTCCCAGCCAAGCCGCGTTTTGCAACGCCTTCTCAGCAAGCAGCTTCTGCTATGATGGCGCCCCGTATGTGCTCCCTCCCCCCAGTCCGGCCAATGCTACGAGTGGCATGTGCGTCGAGAAGATTGGGACGGGCACGTATATCAACATGGCAGCCATTCCAGGATCGTCGAATCTGGCGTTGGTGGCCTCGCAGTATGGCAGGGTAAGCCCCGAGGTGCTCTTTGTTCATGTAATATTCAGTCTCCCAATCTCATTGCTCGGATTGCACAATCTTGATCACCGTTGCTTCCGAGGGAATCTGGGCTGAACGCGACCATCCAATGAGCTAGTCACCCGGGGTCCTCTTTTGCTTCTGGAGGGCTTTTGGCCCGGGGATACTTTCTTGAGATTTTGATTCAGATGATTTCACCTGGCTACACCTTGAATCCAATCGACCAGTGCCTTACCATCTCCGAGGCTCCTGCGCCCTTGTGAATTGAGTTTGACACCCTCACACCGTCTGCAGATCCGCCTGGTCACTCTGCCAGCTGCCGGCAGTGGTCTCAACATGACTGGCGAGAGCGGGACCCCTTTCCTGGACCTCTCTCAGAAGATCCTGGCAGGCGGGGAGAACGGTCTGATCGGCCTTACGGTGCACCCGAACTACACCACGAACGGGAAGTTCTACGTCACTTACACTTGCAACTCGGTGAGGAAAACTTGCACTCTCAGTCGGTGTGGCATTCTTTTGCCAATGTTTCGGCGAGATACCCTGAATTCGACAGACCCTTTTTCTTGATAAGCTTCAGTGCAGGCGCACCTTGTACTTAAGTTGTTCACGAACAGCCGTTCCCTTTTCCGCTCTCTTCGATTCGCCCTGCCGCAAGGTTTGCGCCGTATCTTCTGTCCACTGTATGACCTTCTCTAAAATGTGCAAATCGAGTTTCTGCCCTCACGCCCTCCTGCATGCCGTATCGGCAAAGGTTTTCACCACTCTTCTGTGTGAAAACTCCTTTTCGTTCATCCTGAGGTTTCAATGGGCGCGAGCAGGATTTATCGTCCGTTTCACACAAGAGCTGTTTTTGGTTCTTTCCACACTGGAAACGGTTAAAAATGACCTTCTCTTCATGAATTCATAGTTTCGCCGTGTTACAGTCGGGGTCAGACTTAGTTTCAAACTTTTCACACTGACCCCAAACTCTCAATAATAATTGAATTCATTGTGTAATTTTCGTCCACGCTCCAGGTTCGCCATGTGGATTCTGCATTTTGCACTTCGATCCCGCGCCTCTCGTTCGCTCCAATCGATAACTCTGCCTACCACTCACTGCGGTCCTTCCTATCCCCGCAGACCCTCCACCCCGACTGCGCAGCCCCCTGTGAGTGCGATCCCACGCGCACTGCGTGTGACCCCTCCCAGCTCCCGGTCGGTAGCTGCACGCAATCCACAGTCATTGCCGAATACACCGCGCCCAATCCCTTGACGGGTCCTTCCAACCCCACGGAAACCCGGCGAATCCTTACCCTCTCAAAACCGTATGCAAACAATAACGGCGGGCAGCTGCTGTTCGGCCCGGACGGGTACCTGTACAGCCCACTTGGAGACGGAGGAGGGTAAGTCCTGCGGCTGTATGGTTGGTGAAATTGCGGTACGGGGTTAACGCTTCGAATGGCTCCTGTTGTCACTTGCTTTCGTTCTCTCGATGCAAGTCGGGTCGAGGCCTGAGAAGGTCTATGACACGGTCTCCATGCGACGCTCTTACGTTCGTTAAGTATCCGTTACGGCCGCGCTGGCTGCTAAGGTTTCGATTATGTCAGTCGCCGTTGCTTTCACCTGTGCAAATCCAATCCCTGTCCGTAGTTCCGGTAAGATCCTGCTATATTGAATGTAAGAATGCAATTCCGTGGTCGAGCAACCCCTTTTCCCATCCGGGGTTTCCGCACGAGCCAAGTTGGGCCTTGTCAATAAGATGCATTGAACCCTTGCTTCTTCATACCTACAGCTCCGGCGATCCCTGGAACTTCGCTCAGACTAGGAACACCGTTCTTGGCAAGGTCATCCGCATTGACGTCAACACCACTGCGTCAAACCCGGGTTACGTCATCCCGCCCACTAACCCGTACTATAACCAGACGGGCGCGGCACAGGAGGTGTTTGCGACGGGGTTCAAAAACCCGTGGCGGTGCAATTTTGACAGCGCACGGCCGACCTACTTGTTCTGCGGGGACGTAGGCCAGGTATGGGCTGCTTTCGAACAGACTTTTCTTCCTTGGAAAATGAATCTAATCTCAGAATTTGAGGTGGTCGGAGCATATATATTGACTGGAGACGCTGGTATTTGAAAAGATTTTCCGCATGGTTTGGCTTCATCCACGTTTTAGAAAACTTTTGAAGATAAGCGTGTGTCGAGAAGCGTCAACAGACTAGCCGCTTCTTTGCGTTTCGTTATGTTGCATGAGGTCTAACATCGTTCGGTCGGGAATGCTTTCCAGGACATATCCAGGTCCGTTTTGGAATTGCCGTCTGCTTAGATTTAGCAGCGGGTCGCGCTCCCTCTTCCGTCTCCCGCTCCCTTTTCCCCCCCTATTTTTCGAATTCTATCAATGCTCTGCTGTCCATCCCTTTTGTGTGGACTCTACTACTTCTTGTCTTGCCTACACAATAAAAGTGTGTTTGAGAAAGTCTCGCTTTGATTCGTCGTCAACTCTGAACCGGTAGATCCAGGCATCTCGAGTGCGCACCGAGCATCTAGAGTGTCTAAAAGCTTTTTTCAATCCGTGCAGACCCGATACGAGGAGGTCAACCTGGTAACCAAGGGCGGCAACTACGGCTGGCGCACTTTCGAGGGCCCGACTCTGTACACGTCCTCGGTGACTCCCCCCGGGGGAACGACCCCCCCTTCCGCAATCAGCGTCACTCCGCCCGTCATGTCCTACACTCACGACCTGAACCCCTCCGACAGCGCGTCCATAACGGGGGGCTACGTATACCGGGGGGCGAGCGACACGTGTAACTACGGGAGGTGAGGCTGCATTGCGGATTCGAAGAGGAGGAGGCTGGTCTCTCGGGGACAGGCAGGGCTCTTAGCGGGATATGAGACGCTCGACTGCTCAATCTGAGAGTTCGAAAAGCGCATTCTGACGAGAGACGCCGACAGCACTCCACCACTAGTTTAGCTGATTGCGTCAAAGGTGCGAATGGCCGCGGTCGGCGGTCGCTTCCATAGATCCGGTTGAAAACCCGGGCAACTGTCACAAACATGTCAGCTTACATAACGCTCTCCCATAATCCTGCAAAGATGCTGCGTTGCGTCAAGACGTTGGTGGCCCGCATCAGACGCAGTCCCCCTTCTTGCAGGTACATCTTTGCTGACCTGTACGGCAAGGGCTTTACTGGGCTCGAGTCCCCAGCCGACAGCGGCAACTTCACCATGGCCCGCATGTCGTTCTTGTGTGCGGGGGCCGCATCGCCAATGACTTGCGGGTTGAAGGGCCAAGACCTCACCAACGACTTGCAATACATCTTTTCGTTTGGGGAGGACATCAACCGGGACATGTACCTGCTGACGTTGGCGGGCGTCTTCCGAGTGACGTCAGGCGACAAGTGCGGGATCACGTCATGCTCACAAAACGTGTTGAACGGCACTGCGCAAGCCGCGCCGGCCCCAGCTCTTGCTCCTACACCTTTGGGTGGGGGCGGTGCCTCTACAGATCCGCAAGTCATGTCGCTCGTGATTCTGTTCTTATCGTTGATTGCGGTGACACTGTAAGGCTGTCACACCTTGAGCGGATAATCTATTGCCTAAGATGAAAAGCTGCGGGTCAAGGATGAGGAACATTGAGTCTCCACGTAGGAAAGTGTCTTCAACAAACGCTGTTTAGATTAGCATCAATTATGTAGCTGAAACCGTCTGCAGTACATTCTGCAACAGGCTTAGTGCACGCCCAGGCCATGCGACATGGCTTTGTTACAGCATCGCATTCGTCTACAATTCGACATACTTGACTGCAGACCGCCGCCGCACGTTTTGATTGGCGCAATTAATGATCAAATGATGTGCGGCTGGGCACTTTACATAGTATATAAGTGATTCGATTGCATGCTCAACGGTTGGTATGCTTAGCTATTGATCCAGCGGATCGGTTACGCAGTACCTAGGTATCTCATGTGTGCGCTAACTGGCGGCCATATATAAGCATGGGCCTACTCAATCCGGATTGAATACACATTGAATCTACACGGCCGACGTTTTTCTGACTCATTAAATTGTGCGACTAGCTCTACTGTACTATTTAATGTGCATGTTTATGCCGGACGGTGGACCTATCTGCTTTAGTTTTTAGATATTGCATACCGTATGTATACTGAAAAATGGATAGCCCAGCCTATGTACTGAGAAACATGCAAAGCCCAGCCTATGTGCTATATAATAAATGGCACCGTCGCTGGGTACACATCTGCGTGGTCTATTAGTATACCTTTACAATTCTTATCCAAAGTGATTGAAGTCCATGAGTCACGCGTGCAGTTTGTTTGTTATCAAAAAATTGCTCGCAGCTAGTGAGCTGCTAGCGCGTTGCGGGTCACTCTAGCTGAGCGGCAGCCCCATGTCCTCAGCACCTCTGATTCGATACGTAAGATCTGCAGCCTACTACTCGGATGCTGCGCCGCGCAGGTTTGCAATTGGGAAGTCGTGCTAAGCCTTGGGCGCCGTGCCCTCGCTAGCTAGTATCCGACGATGGAGCTTACTGGTATTCAGCTTAGGCACTGAATCAGAAGAATCGCGGCAACTCATACTCGTAATCTCAATACGAAGCTAGTGCTGGGTCCTTAACTTTGGCCGGGTCCTCCCCAAAGGCGGCCTGATCCGCAACGTTGTATGCTTTGTGCTCTATGTGAAGCCAGCGGTGCATCTCAGGGAGGGTCCGAATACGGGGGATCAGATTTTTTTGCAGATTTCGTATACTGCTTGCCTCTTTTTGTAGTCGAGCCTGGACGCAACGATAAAGAGGAGACTGAATTGAAGGATCTGCCTGGCGGCGCCAAAAACTCAGTGGTTGTTGAGGTAGCTCAACATCCGTTTCATCCCATATTCCGGTCGAGTGCAGCTTTCAAGAGCAGACAGAAACGCGCCTTCCACCTTCCAAGCGGGGAAGGTACAGAAGGGGTCCTCAGAATAGAGGGTAGTACAAAATCAAGCGGAAAGAACATGCACGACATCAGTTTGGAGAAGGCAGTGTTTCAGAAAAAAAAGCCCGAAAGTAGGCTTCTAAGTCCCTTCCTTTTGTGTTGGCCTGTATCAGAACCGGCAGCGTTTTAATGCATTAAAACGGATCCGATTCTCGGCGTAGTTCCCGACCTTCTGTTGAAAGCGGTCCAAATGCTCACCTGGATGACGTCAGCATCTATCCCCTCGTCCGACGCCCGCAGGTAGTGCATCGAGAACCCTTGGCTGCCAGGTGTTCTCGCAACCGCACCCCCGTTCATCCCGCCTACATTTCCCTCATCGCTAGTTTCTCCGTTTCCGTCAAAACTGCTTGCAACTTGACTTGCCTCATGTCCAACCAAACCGCGCCCACTGGAATCATCCCCATTGTGGGACTCGATTCTGAGTGCGCCAAACTCGCCGGTTCCGTTTGCGGAGGCGGAGGCGGAGGCGGAGTCGTTGTGGAAAGCCGCCCCGGCGCCCTGAAGGCCGAACATCCACTCGAAGATGAGCCGGGAGCGCTCGAAGTGGAAGGCTGACGTCACCATCATGATGCGTCGCCAGCCGCGGGGGATGGCGTGTGCCGTCAGGGCAAAGTAGCCTGGACGAAAAGAGGGCAGGTCAGTAACGCAAGTCGTTGACGGAATCAGCGGCTACAGAAATAACGGCGTGAGCAGGGGCACTCTTGAAGGTCAACAGAGGCCGTCTAAGAGGGTACATTGTATTTCGAGGGGCAAAACATGTCCAAGGTGCTGCATGTGAACATGACCTTCCAGACGACACCAGTTGTCGGAACGGCGCTCGAGGGTGCTCTTCAAAGGCTGTCTATGGCGCCCCCTCAGATGCAGAGTACGCGAGGTCTCGTTCTGAAGTGGAAACTCGAATCAGTGGAAACTCGAATCGAAACAATGGATTGCTGGGACGTTACTGCCCATGCAGCGCAAGTCCTGAGGGCTTTCAGAGAGTGTGAAGTGTGTCTGCTTACATGCAATCTGGATGAGGAGACATACTGGACAGCCAAGGGCCATAGGAACCACAAAACATTTTGTTTTGACGAACTGGGCTCTGTCTGCTGAATGGTCAACTTCGCTCACTCAGAGGGTCTGCAAGACGTGTCAAGCGCACATTACACCCCAACATTGCTCGAGAGCTTGACTCGAAGGGAACGAGGCTGGGAACGAGGTTAATGAGTGCCCTTAACATACAAATCGGGTTTACTGGCTCAAACACCGCAGATCGACAAACTCTCTTTCTGCTGGTCACAAACTTGACATTGATGATTCCAAACCGCATGTCAAGCATGTCATCAATGCTTGCAGACTTAAGTAACTTGAGGGGCCTGCATTCCAATCTGGAGGCGGCTGGAACTTGAAGGTGTTTCTGAACTTTGACATCATGGACTTGACCCGGTTATGGCCAGCACTGTCTTCCCCCCTAGCAGAAGAGTGTCCACTTGGATTGCAGAGCTCGGCTTTCTTCTTGGCACATACTGAAGGCAATTACTAGACAGTACCTGGGAGTTGTGACTCACCATTTGCAATCGTGTCATATGAAGCCCATTCTTTGAGGATGTGGTCTGGATGTACCCCGTGCTTCTCCGTCAGGTAGGCTGCACATGATGTCCCTTCGTGGATCACGTACCCGTCTGCAGAGAGGAGATGCGATTCTGCGTTCTTTTACGAGCGTGTGAAGCATTTGAGATGAAAGAAGATTCCTGGTCAAGCAGTGAGTGCCTTCATGCATCTGCTTAGATCGATGAAGACATTCCTTTCTTGAGGTCTTCAAAGCTGCAAACATTCCAACTTCCTTTAGGGTGTTCTTGATGCATACTTCCTTGGAGAAGGCAGAGCGGCAGGCTGGCTCAAGGTTTTCAAAGCTGCCACTTTTCTTTCACTAAACGGCCATTTCAAGCTGCTACTGCCATGGGGGGGGCTATAGCCCCTGCGACACTTGATTCACGTCACCATTCTACAGCTCCTTGGATCAAGTCCAATGTTTGCCACAGTGTAAGTGTTTAAGTCCTCTTTACAAGCAAACGGGGCATCAGACTTATTGTTACCAATCTGTTGACTGGTCGCTTGTCAATGATCCGCAAGTTTAAGACAGTGGCATCAAATTGAGTTGAGATGCCAGGCTCATTTGAGCTGGCAATTCTCACCTTTGTTGAGCACAGGGGGTTTATGTGATGTACCGCCCCCCATGACAATAATGGGGCACCGCTTATCCTGAGCCACGTAAGCCCTGTATGTAGCGTCAAGCCTCCTCTGAACCCATAACGGGACACCTCCATTGTTTGTCTGCCCGCCTCCCAAAACAAAGATACAGTCCAGCTGCTCCAATGCCAACAGTTCAGCTTCTGCAGTGGGACTGGGCCATTCGATGGCCTGTGTGCTGAAAGGTGGCAATTCAATGGAAGCTGGTGGCGATGCAGAATGAACCCCGTCGGTCCAGTCTCCTGCCTTTGATGTGCACTGTACTAGCCTGCTGGCGTGATGACATCGCTTGGTGCCACTCCAAGCAACGGGCTCAGGGGCTAAGAACTGGAGCACACACTGCGATTGCAGGACTTGTGGCGTAACTTGAAACGTAACAGGCAGTCCTCTAGAGTGACAAATGAAACGCAAGCTCCCCTGCAGAGGTGCATATGTCCTTGCAACATTCTCTGGGCTCGACCTCGCAGTGCCTTTGAAATCGGCAGGAAGCAATTTGCAGCTAGGTGAATACGGGGCACCAATCTGGCACAATGGAGTCGACCAATTCGTTTGCAAGGGACACCTCTTCTGCAAAATGGAGGCAGCTCTCATTCTGCACAACGCCAAAGCGTCCTGTGCCACCGCCACCATCCTTGAATAAGAGATCTGAAGTTGCTGGCACCGTGGTAATTGGCACAATGGCTGACTTGCATGAACCTGAAGTCTAGCGATCTGCAGAAATATGTTCGAATTTTTACATTACTTTTGTTACCGGTAGATTTTCTATGCCTGTGATCGAAATCTGCGTGGAAGCCGGCCCAGCCTGAACCTCTCAGACTCCTTCCGACGCTATCGGCACCCTGAAACCGGAGTATCGAGCTGGTTGATGACCACGCGCTCTTATGCCCACAGAACGTCCGCTTATATAATGGTCTCACCAGGCTTTCAGGTTCAGCCTGAAAATCATGGTGGCACAATGTCGCGTTGAAGTTTCAAAGCATTGAAGTAGACAGCTTCCAACAAACGCTTCCACCTACTTCCACCACTGCCAATGGTCTGTCGTCAAAGGAACAGCAGAACGAGCGTCTCTAGCTCATGCATCTGACTTTTCCTCCTCCACACTCAGCTGAAAGGGAAGTTACAGCAGCAATTGCGGACGCTGAGGACACCCTGGCTTCCATCAAGCTTCGCAAGAAGCAATCTGATTCAGCCAGGAGCGGAATGGCTGAGCATGTGGTCACCGAGATTGACGAAGCGGCAGCTGCCAGTGAAGGCCAGCCTCTTCTTGGCAGGCCTGAGGGTTTGAAGGCAATTGCCACGTCCAATGCAAGCGGCCGACGGTTGGCGTCCTTGGACGTTTTTAGAGGACTCACAATTGCGGTGCGTGTTTTCTTTCCAGAAACAAGCATTGCCTTTTTCTTAACTGATGCGCTGCTTCCTTCGGTTGTTGATTGGAGTTGCAGGTGGTCGAGTAGTGACCTCATTCTATGCTGACCAAGTTCTCGACTAGTAAGTGCCAGCGTTTTACCTGTGGATGTCATGCTTCTTTCTGCCCTTGCTAGTCTTTGGTTGTCGTAAAAGCTTCTCCCAGCTCCTTTCCTTCACTTCCTTGATACTCTTTTCTACTGAACATGAGACAAACTTCTTCCAGCCTCTTCTTGACCCAAAAATTACCACCGGCTGCTCGCGATGCAGGTCATGATCTTGGTGGATGATGCCGGCGGCGTGTACCCTGCCATCAATCACGCCCCCTGGGACGGTATCACGCTGGCTGATTACGTGATGCCCTTCTTCTTGTTCATCATCGGCGTCGCTATGGCTATCGTCTTCAAGGTAAGATTTATCTTCTCAAAAACAAGTGTCTTTGGTCAAGCTTTGAGCAAAGGAACTTGATAAGTCCCTGAGAGAATATCAAGTGGCTCAGAACATCGTCACATTCTGCGGGTGTTGAAACCTGATTCCTGGCCGTTATTGCAGAGGGTAACCTCCCCCCAAGCGGCCGCCTGGAAGGTGGTGGTGCGCGCGGTCAAGCTGTGCGCACTCGGCGTCGACCTGCAGGGTCTGGCAAGCCGCCCTCTCCTCCAGTCCATTGCTGTGTCCGCTCACCGCTTCTTGCTGAGCGGTGCGGAGATCTGAGGGGGATTGTGTGGGGCATGGAGGTTGTCAGACGATGCGCATGGGCTCGTCACTGTTTGACAATCATGGTTGTCAAAGTGCCTCTTGAGTCGACGACTTTAAGATTGCAAATTGGTCGAATGCCAATCTAGGTCAACGACTTTCGAACTTTGGGATTGGTTCAGAAGGCAAGCCCACCTTTTCTGGACCAGCTTGGAGGCTGCACTTTTTCCCCCAGTCCTTGTGATACATGTCGTGATTTGGATTGTGTTACATAGGCCTGTCGGCAGCTTGTTTATAGGTTCATTTGCCTTCGTGACGAACTTCAAACAGCAATCAATTCTTTGTAGTGTCCATATCTCGGGTCGAGCTTCTGTCATTCCAAAAACAATATTCGTACAGGTCGTTCTTACGACCTTTTCACATCCCTTGAACGAGCTTGTTCGATCCCTAGCTGGGAGACCCTTGAAAGCATGAAAATCTTTCTTGAGCCTACATTGCAAAAGGGAGAGACTGTCTCATCGCATCTTACTTCTGATGTGAAGCTCATGAACAAGATCAAGAGGCTTCTTTTTGGACAGAGAGATGTATTTTGCGCCAGAACTCGTTGGCATACTTGTAATCCTTCCCTAAACACCGACTTTCCTTTCGTCAGCACCCTTCTTTCAACACCCCCAGCCTTTCCACGAACTTGACTTCAAGCTCGGCCGCCTCAGCAGCACTTCTTGTTTCTTTGCAACTTATAGTCCATGAAGCTTCCTCGTCGCTCGCTTCCAATTCACTGGTCAACAGGACGTTTTCCCGTCTTTCTGCAGGGGACTTCGTACCTCAGCTCCCGGAATGTTAGGCATTCGGCATAAAGTCAACGGAACTCTATTGGGTCTTTGTTTGTCCTTGTGTCCCTGACGGTCCAAGCGTCATAGATCTTCGTCAAAGCCTGATCAACCTCCGTCGTTGATCACTCTCCTCTTTCTTTCTCCAGGGGGTTTCTACCGCAGCCGCCCCGGCAGTGTGGCCATCAGCATGGACCTCACACGTCTCCGCTTCACGGGCATCCTCCAACGAATTGCCTTTGCTTACATCATCGTCGGTGCATGTGAGATCAGCGTCCCTGCGCCGACGAGCGTACGGCGGGGCGCTGCTTTTCTCTACCAACATTACGCATTGCACTGGTGAGTAGGGCCTCCTTACACGAAACATAAATTCACGTCAGTTGGCTTGCTTTCTTCACCGCCAATTGTTTCTCTGTGTTGTAGCTTGTCTCTTGATTGAGGACGCAAACCAGGTGCTCTATCAGTCTCCTCATGCCAGCACCGCTCCAATCGATGCCCACGAGCCACCTCTTAGATGGCTAGTCAAGTGGTTAGATTGTGACAGCAGACGCTGGTCTCGCAGGATTGTGTCTGGAGTGTTAGCTGTAATCTACCTCGCCCTCATGTACGGGTTGTACGTGCCGGACTGGCAATTCGAGGCTTCTGAAACTGGCGAGCTGCGGACGGTAGGCTTCGCTTCCTTCGTCATTTGGTCGCCCACTCGTTTCCTATTACGAGCTGGTTCCGTGACACCCCCGAAAGACATGCATGGCTTCCAAAGTCAACTTCTCCTTTGCCGCGGCTGAAGACACGCTCTGTCGGACAAAAAAATGAAAACCAGGTCGAGAAGTTCTTTGTTTGGCGCGTCGCTCCGAATTTGAAGGTCCCAGAGTCCTGCCCATAATGTACTCTGCACCCTTAATGTCCTCTTCAGACTCTGATGAGGAGTTCGCGCGTTGCAACTGCAGGTCGTGTGCGGCACCCGGGGCAGCCTGACGCCCCCGTGCAGTGCGGTGGGCTACGTAGACCGGCTCGTGCTAGGCGTCAAGCACTTGTACCGGTTCCCAGCGTACAAGCGCTCCAAGGTGGGCTCTCTTGCTGACAATCGACAAGGACCTCAGTTTTCAAAACACCCGAAGAAGTCTCTTTCTTTTCTCTACCATAATAGGGTGAGTCCAATTCCGTTTACAGATGTCACCAGATCGCTCCCTGGAATATGGTGTGGATCACTGGAAACGAAAGGCCCGGGGTTTTCCATTCGGCCCTTCATCGAATAAGTCGGGGGCCTGACCTGCAACCTACCGAACGCTTTTGTTGCGATGATCACAAAGAACCTTGGAAAGGAATTTTGAAATGTGCATCTTGAAGGGAAAGCCGGAAGGAGTCGCGTTGAAACGTATCTTCGAATTCAAAAGTGAGAAGCCACTGCAGCGAGGACCGATGATCGCCAACAATTGTCACCACTCTGTATCTATAGTCCTCTACCCGACTTCTGTCGCTCAAGCTTTTCACAAGCCAACTGTTTCTTGTGCGACTTGATGCTTCCAATGCGTCCGTTTCGACTCGCTGGGCCTACTACTTTGATGGTTTCTACCCACGTAGATTGATGGACTCTCAATCTCGATATGGCGCGACAGTACGTTTCTGCTTCCTGGCAGGCCTTCGGCCTGACCCGTGGTCCGTCGTTTCTGACAAAGCTTGTTGAAAGGCTCTTTCCAGAGCTTGGATGAGCCGTACATCTGACTCGTACGCCTTTCGCGGCTCATTCGGTACACCTGAACCCAAAAACAAGGTACGCCTGAACCCGATAACAACGTTCCTTCACTGAAACAAGATGGTCTACGAACGAGCAGATTCTTTTGGCGCGCCTCTTGTTCCAAAGTTACAGGCGCGCCTCTTGTTACGAAGTTACAGTTAACAATATCATGAACCGCATCGGAATCTTGCGCCAAAGTCTTCCGTTTGGCCGCTATGTGTCCGATGCTTCCGTAAAGCCTGAATACGGAAACCGATTCTATTCAGGAGTGCAGTATGGACTCCCCCGGGTCCGGCCCTCTTCCCCCGGGCGCCCCAGTATGGTGTCAGGCGCCGTTTGATCCTGAAGGCGTTCTCAGCTCCGTTTCCGCGGTACTCAGCTGCTTCATCGGAATGCACTTTGGCCACGTGCTGGTGCACTACCAGGTATGCGCGCGAGCAGCTCTCACCATTCCTGTTTTTCATTGGTCCTGAGCTGTTAGCGAGTACTGTCAATACTGGAATCTTTGCGTTCTCGAGCTTCTTAGACACAATCGCATGGGTAACAGGCTGCTTTTAGCGAGGTTGAAGCTTGCACCAAAGAACAGAAGAACGGAAAGAAAGAAGAGCCGGTCTGCCTCGGACAGTCAAATAGCGAGCCGCTCTCGACTACGAGCTGCGACGCTTTTGCCTAACTCCTTTTCTTGAGACACAGCGCATTATTGGCCGCATCATACCTTTATCGCGGACCCAGCAGTTCCAACCCCGAAAGTCGGAGCAGACCTTACGTTGCACCGCTATACGGGAAGCCGTTGACGTGCGTCTTTGCCTTGATTTCCCAACCGCATGCGACTTGAGTTTGTACAGGATCAAATTTGGAATCAGACACCCGCAGTCCGTGTAGACAACGCCGGTTCGACGGCCCCTGTATCGTTTTCTCTCTAGTTATCTCTTCTTTCGTCCGGAGAAGCCAGGCCGAAAGAGAAAGGTGAAAGGTCGAACCACCCTCTTGTGGGCTGAACGTGGCGAATGGATTTTGACAGGGCCACGCGGAGCGGATACACCACTGGCTACTGCTCGCGGTCCCGCTGACGCTGGCGGGCGGGCTGCTTCACGTGGCAGGTAGGATTTCACGTCGGCCTGACGTCATCTTTCGGTCTCTCAAAGTCCCCCGTCTCCAAGTCAACGCCCTGACGATCACGGAAAGGGAAAGGGTATGTGGCAGAAAAACGGTGCTGCTGTTGGAAGGCCCTTGCGGTTCCTTGAAACTTCATGCAGAATTTGTAGACTCAAGGAGTCGTTTCGTCGCGGTGATGTTAAAGTAGCGAAGCGGTAGGAATCCGTGTTCTTCAGCGTGCCCTTTATATCGAGAGCTCGCAAAGTGCGACCTTTCAATCCAATGACGTTCCAGATAGGGGCCAGTCTGCAAATCGCCTTGCTTTTGCTTCTCGGAGCCTGTGGTCTTCCTTGCACATCGGCATGTATAATAACCAAAACCAAGTGGATAGACATTCTCGAGAACGAACATGAATGTTTGTCGTATTTGCGTTTCTTGGCGACAGGTTTTTCATTCAACAAGATGATCTACAGCATCAGCTACGCCCTGTTCACCGGCGGCGCTGCGGGCCTCGTCTTCACCGCCTTCTATTACGTGGTGAGTTCGGCGTCCGCCTCGACCGCGTTTACTAGCAGCTGGTCGCCCTTTCTGCGGCAGGATCCGAGCCTTACTCCTGCCGTTCTTCTTGCATGTACATTACCCTTACATGATCAAGCACAACCCGTACTCACTCCATGTACAGACTTCTAGTCGATCACAGTACCACCATAATGAGGCTGTCTAAGGACTTTTGGTTGACTCGCAATACAACCAGAATAGGATTATTTGCGACAGCTTGCGTCACCATGTCGGCTTCTCGTGCCAGGTGGACGTACTTCGGATCCGCACACCGTTCCGCCTCCTCGAGTGGATGGGCCTCAACGCGCTGCTCGTGTTTGTGCTGGGTGCGTGCGGCATCCTAGAGACAGGCCTGCGCACACTCTACTGGGTCCGCCCAGAACAGAACCTGGTACGCTCTTTCTCGTCTTCGGGGCTGCTTTCTGCTTCCGGAACTGCACACTCTTCGTGAAAGATATTTCTTTCTTGACTCCTTTTCTGTTAACGTCTAAATCACGGACTTGAAAGGCGGGTAAACTCCGCTCGGAGGACTCGTGTCAGGCGTCCAACAGCCATAGTGCAACGTTCTCGAGTTCCATAATCCGGAGTGTTTCACTCTTTAGAGAGGGCAACGGCGTTGCTCGTTGATTTCAATCAGCCTTTTCCATGGCCACTTTTTGCCCGTGCGTGCACTTGTGCGGCTGGTCCCTTGCGTGTGTAGTTGTTTCACCAAGTGTGTCACCGGTTCCCGCATGCCACCAAGGTTGCCGTGTCCCCAAGGGCGCAAGGAATGCATGAGCTTGAGTCGTGAAAGCTGTCTCAACTGCAAGGTCTAACGGTAAACATGAACTTGTCTTTGTTTTGTGCAGATTGATATTGCTCAGCGGCACGTGTTTCAACACTTCATAGGCGACCCAGCCTTTGCATTCTTGATGTACGTGATCACAAAGATAGTCTTCTGGTGCTTGGTTGCCGGCGTCCTCCATAGACAGCGGTGGTACTGGAAATTTTGATCGCACTGGAGATGCAACTAAGTTTGCAACTTGCTTTTGTGTACGCGCGCAAGTCCTATTTCATCCAATTCATCCAAGATTCGTATCGTCTGGTTTACCTCCTGCAATCATCCGTCCAGCTTCTGACATGCATTTCACGATGATTCTAATCACCACAGCTTAGAGGCATTAAGTTCCCCCTTGACTTTGCTGCTCAACGTTGAATGAAATGATCTTTGAGCTTGCCCACGCGTGATTGTTTCCCAACTTGACATAGGTCTAGGAACCCGAGTCTTCCAAGGAGTGAATATCTAAGCCAAAGCTACTGGAAGTGTGAAGCTAGATACTATAGTTTCCATGAAATTACTCATGCATGATCCGGATGCATAGATTGAAACATCATACCGCTTGACTGTAGTCTGAGCTAGATCAACTTAAAGCTCTTGAATAGCTAGTTGTAGAATTACAAAAGTTGTTGCATGTGTTGGCTGCAATGATGCCGCCCGGCTAGCTGGGCCACATAATCATGCATGGCTAGGGCGCAACGTGAGCTCATGACAATTGGAAGATCGATCAACCGCGCGGAACGCCTAGCTAGAGCTAGCTAGCTAGATACCCGGCCCCGCGCCGGGTGAAATTAGTACGTCGACCAATGCTCTCGGCTTAAGCGCTGGCCTGTGAGCCAATCTACAGAAGCGGTGACACTGAAATTAGCAGTACACATGATTCAGTAAATAGAATATAAGCAATCTAGCTACTCCCTGGAGTAGCTACATTCTTGGTCCTTACTAGGTCCTAATAAGCTGTGCGCAAAGGCCGTGTGGAAGAACCGATCGAGCTAGGTACGTGTACCCACGCTGAGACCATGATTCGACTCGTATACATACGTAGTGATAGGTGCCTATAAGAAAGTTTAGAAGTTTTGACAGACGGTTGACCACAAAACCCCTGCGTTTCTTCTAAGTGCGCAACCTCACAGACTTGTGCTAATACCGTGTGACAGTATTCCGTGATCTCTTCAAATCGAAATGCTTTCGAAATCTCAAGTCTCTCCTTCCGACGTATCCCAAAAAAATGGTGGCTAAACTAGGCTCGACAAACTGCTCCATCGTGAACTTCATTCTCAAGGATAGTCATTGTAACTGAAATCAACCAGTGTCATGATGTTCGATTGGCACTTTAATGCTTGGAACCCTTCGCTTTGAGCTCAGGATCTGCGTGTAACGGCTGCGTGGATAGCTTCTGCTAGATGGTGTACATTCTTGGAGTTCAAACCTGCCATGCTGATCCGCCTGCATGAAAGCACAAAAAGTTGGTCAAAACGAACAATCACCAAGCCCTATTAGCGTGAAGAAGCTGCAAACACATTCTTCAAGACGTCAAGCCACAGCTCTAGACTAAGGCTTACATCAACAAAGCATAGCAAAGTTGAGGCCGCTCACCCGTCCGCTGTCATATAGATGTGGTACTCCTTGGTCATGAAGACCACCTGGTCCTTGTTCAGCCCCGTGAACGTGAACATGCCAATCTGCTTCACAATGTGGCTCCATCTCCCGGGAGTGCCTGAGCCAAGGCGTTATCGAAAGGTCATCGGACGCTCCGGCTCACGGGGACGCAGCTCCGGCGGATTCGAGTGACAGATTGGCTCTTAAGCGAGTCCGATGACGTCACCGAGGCACCACTCAGCTTCGTCTTGGAGAAACACATTCAAACTCTGGCGACCAGATCTATGCCTCAAAACTAGTATGGTTGCACTGAAAGCCCTGAGATCTTTAGGCGTCCAAGAAGGCATACCAGTGTAGAACGAGCACTGACGAAAAAGAATCTGGACCTCCGGAACATGTTTGAGCTGCCAGCTCCTATCAAGATTTTGTTTGTCGCTTGGTACAAAGCTGACGGCCACGCAGGCCTGGGATACAAAGCGTGCGGTAAGCTTTGTCTCCAAGTCTCGAAAGAGGTGGCTGCATACGGAGCTGTCAGTCGATCCTGTTGCTGCTTCTAAACAAGTCGCCTTCACATATGTGACCCCGCGACTCACCCTTTTGTTTAAGTGCGTCGAAGAGCTTGTGGCGCATGGTGATAATGCGGTCGGCCATCCCCTTCAGCTCCACCGTCCAGTCCTGGAACAGCTGCCTGCAAGGCCACCCCACGAACCAATCTCAGAAGACCGGAAGCGAGGCCAGCGTGCGCTATCGGGACGACTTAGGGGTACAAATCCATCATTAAGCCTGGAGCGCAAGAACGTCTGAGGTTGCCTGCTTTGACAGCGAGCAAGCAAGCTGTTCGTGCCCTCGTGCTGACACTGCCAGCTGCAGGCAGCTCCACAGTCAACTTGCGCCTGCGATCACTTACTTGTCCGACAGAACGGCTTCCACGATGCGCGCGCCGTGCCCGGGCGGGTTGCTGTACATTGGCCGAATGACGAGCTTGAGCTGCGACTCCACGCGCTTAGCCACGTCGGGCGAGCCGCAGACAAAGGTCAGGGCGCCGACGCGCTCCCCATACAGGCCCAGGTTCTTGGCGTAGCTCTGCGCTATCAGCATCTCCCCTCCGTCGCCAGCAAACGAGCGCACTGGCGCAGCGTCACGATCCAGGCTGCCGCTGGCAAAGCCCTGCAAGGAGGCCACGCCACTTCGTTTTCGCAAGTGCATTTGGCCTCACCAGAACAGAGTACAACTCGCCCGCAACCGGACGTCAACGGCGATGGAGCCTTCAAGAAGGTCGATAGGCGAGATTAAGTGCCACAAACGTGGTTCAACATGGACTTGGAGGTTGTTATGAAAACCCCAACAACTCTCCACGGGTGCACTGTCGAGATGGAGGCGCCGAACCCATTTGCCGTACCTGGTAGGCGCTGTCAAAGAAGGGGAGCTGCTTCTTGCTTCTTATAAGGCGGCGAATCTGCTCCCACTGCTCGGGAGTGGGGTCCACACCGGTGGGGTTGTGAGCGCAGGCATGCAGGAGCACGACAGCGCCAGAGGGAGCGGAGTGAAGGTCCTCCATCATGCCTGCTCGGAATGACGGTATGCAGTTAGCTGAGAAGTCCGCATGCTTTGATCGGGCAAATGATCTGACTCGAGGCGCAAGTTTTGAAAACCCCGACGATACTGGAGTCGCGTACCAGACACGTACCAGATTCTTGTCAAACGCCGAGATGATACGGCGCACGTGTCAAATGCGAGGTGCCACTATGGAATTCAGAATTTCCCTTGCGGAAAGATCAGCCGTCTAGAGGCTCAAGCATACCAACCTTGGAAATCGAGGCCTCGAGTTGCCGGGTCATAGTACCGGTACTTCCGCACAGATACGCCGCCAAGAGGGAATATCTTATTGTGATTGCTGCATCCACAAATGTCGAAGGTCGTGCAAAGATTCAGAAGAATGATTGCAGTCCAGATTGACTGCTAGTGTTGGCAGCAATGGCAACATCAAAAGGCACGTCAGAATTCAGAATTGGAGAAGTGTTGCAGTCGCACTTACCCCCAGGTAGGATCGGGAATGTAGATGATGGTCTGCATGAGGAATTGAATTGATATCAGTGACCAGAACATACGGATAACATTGACTCAGCTCAGGTTAGCCGCTCCTATGAGACGATCAAACAAAATAACCACAACGTGCTTATGCAGCCGACTCCAGCGGAGTTCTAACCTGGTGGTAATGCTTGCCAATGAACTCCGCCCCAACTCTGAGTGAACCAGTGCCACTCAGGCATTGCACGGTGGTCGTGCGCTTCTCAACAATGGCAGGGCTGCACAGAAAACAAGGCTCCTGTCAAACGAAACCAACTTGACCGGTGGCTTTGCTCTCAAGCGCTCTGCAACCAACCTATTTAGGACTTTCAAGCCAAATACTCTATCTGTGACATGTCTTGACTTTCGAGTTGCTGACCTGTTCAAGAACCAGCTTCAAGGATGCAATTGGCAAGATACCAGCCGCTTATGTGTTCCCCACACTCTATCTTCTTCAGCGCTGCTCACCAGTCGGCGCCTAGGATCAGCTGAGCGCTCAGCTTGCAGAAGGATGCGAGGCCAATGATAGGAAGGTACTCCTTGTTGACTGATCTGCGAAATGATAAGAAACTGTAAATCCACATGACAATGCAAAGCGCAGTAACTCAACATGAACAGCCATATCTTAGTATTTTCTGTCACTACCACTTGCTCGTATACTATGGTGCACACAAAGTATAACGTACCTATCTGCCACAATGGCTGCTTCAGCTCGACGGACCACGTCCAAAACCAGAGGCTTCCCTTCCTGTACACACAACGCCTAGGTTAATCAAATTGATACACAAGAGTTGATACTTTTTGGCCAAGTCTTCAGGTGCCGGGCTGCTCAAAGGCAAAGCTGTGAAGGTCCAAATCAGCAGATGCATCAGCATTACGTTGCGCACACCACCACCACTAATAGAATGGATATACTCACCTCAGTACGGTATGCACCGACACCAAGATTGACCTGCAGGCAATCAAAGGGTTTCGTTCCTATACAAAAGGGTGGTATCAAACTGAAATCGTTAAAAGCTCATCTTCATCTCGTGCATTGCTGTGCAATTCAGAGCTTGAGAAAACTGGATCAGCACTGTAATTTAAAAACTCACAACCTTGACCTCAAAGCACTGCAGCAAGCAGGCAAATTGTGGCTGGCATCCTTGCAATCATTTCTTGGCCAGGTGGTTGAGAAATACCTTGTCGGGATGGTTGTCCTTATTGAAAGCAACTGTCACCCCCAGAATTGGATCTGCGAAGGGCAAACTTCAACTTCGACTTAGAGGCAATGGTGTCCATCGCAACACATGTACAACACATGTACGTCAGATGCTGGAAGCTGCAATCTGCACAAATAGCAATTGAGATGCAATGATTGGCCAGGAATAAGCAGAATGTTCAGAGGAGGCTTTTCAACTTCAAACCCTCACTCTTCAAAAAGGAGCAGCGAAAGAAAGGGCAAAGTCTACTCTATACGCACCTTCTGGTCCTTGTTCCACCCCCTGCCACACTGAGCTCTCTTTCCGAGCTGACGTTTTCTCCATTGTGACCTGGTGAGACGCCATCATTTCACCGTCTCCGATTTGTGCAGAGCCTCCAAGGTGTCTTGAAAGTTGTGCAAACCGAAAAGTAGCGCGCTGAGACGACATGTTGGGTTGCTGCCCGGGCCCACAGAGAAGACAAGACAATCCGACAAGCGCAGCAAGCGGAAGAGAATGCTGCTTTCTCCTGCCTTCACTACAGCACTGCCGCACTTGCAGCCTGTTGCGACTTGAGTCTCGAGTATTCAGTGGAGAAAGCTTCCATGCAAGCTACGGTAGTTCTAATTTCCAACTTCCAAGTCCAGTCGGACTGCTGAGTCAGCTGGCACTTTCCTCTGGTATCAATCGGTGAGATCAGTCTTCTTCGGCTCGTACGCTCTTCTCACCGAAGAGGAGAGCAGGTAGGTACGTGCCCGATTCTCTCTGATCGCCCACCCACGTGCTGCCACATGGCTGCTGCTGGTGCCCAGCATGATTTGGCCGCGGCGCCTGCTCCGACCTGCTCGACGAGCCTCGACCAGCTCTGCTCGATCTGAATCTAGCTCTAGAGTCTAGCCCTGGCCCTGGGCCTGTTGGACCTGGCCCTGGGCCTGCCAGGGCCTTGCCCTAGGACTCGGAGTCTAGATCATGGCCAGCCCCCGCTTAACTTCAGGCCACAGATCTTAAATTTCCACTGTTTAACAGCACGTACGAGGGGTGCAAAAAGTCGCTTGGAACGAGAGGAAAAACCTGCATTGCGACTTGATGCAAGACATTGAAGACTTTTGCAACGTGTGGTTTGGTTGCAGCAGATGGTTACTCACAACAATGCATTCTGGTCCTGATTCACAAGAAAATGTGAGTGTCTGCATCAAGAAAATAATACCAAAATAGGACCAAAATAGTGTGTTCGCAGCAATATCTGCATAGCTTATTCCGTTTTGGAGAAAGTTTCAGCGTGAGCTCGTGCTGAGGACACGTCTGTTGTACCCCTCCAACATCAGGATACCAGGGTCCCTGATCGTGGATGTAAGTTAGAAAGTTCAGAGGTTCTACGCCCAATTTGGAAAGTTATCCAGGTGTATAAGATGGTGGTTGAGGAGGGAACCGCACCGCCGGCAAAAGCTATGGAGACAGACAAGAAGTTGATTAAGAAGCCGGTCAATCAGCCCAGGTTTGAGAAGTACGTCGTGCCTATGTCCTTACACGCAGAGAACCGGGCAAAACTTGTGAAGGCCTTGGGCGAGACATTGAGTGCTGCAGGGAAGGAGAACGGCGTCGTTCTGTTGCAGGTCAGTCGACTTGGTCAGTCAATGTGGTCAGTCTTCAAAAAGTGCGTTCTTACTGCAGTAAGTGAAGAAGGCAGTGAATCTACTAAGGCATGAACGAACTCCCAATTTGTGAGATCAACAATGTGGAAGCATACTGCCCATATGTATTTGCAAACAGACTTCTTGCCAAGAGTGGTCAGCTTCTCCATGTTCTTGTCAAAGCAGACCCCACAGTTGGAGTGTCCTCTGGATTTCAGAGGGTGTCTCAAGATCCCTTGACTTTAGTATGTAGGCTTGTAGAGAAACAATTCAGAGAATGAGGGGCCCAAGAGGCGCTGTCTCATTCCATCGCGTCTCTTCCTCTGCTGCAGGGCGGAGAACAGCAGACCAGATATGATACCGATCACGAGCCTCTGTTCCGCCAGGAGAGCTACTTTGCCTACCTCTTCGGAGTCACTGAGGCTGGCTTCTATGGAGCTGTGGTGAGTGCCTGGAGAAGTGTATCAAGGATACGTCTCTGCTTCTCAGTGCAGCCAATGAATCCCAATACTAGAGTAGATCCCGTCAGTAGTAGTCCATCAATTCATCACACCCAGGATTTGAATGTTGGCTTCTAGTCTAAGTATCCAATGACTGTGTTCCATTGTTGCGCCAGGACGTTGCAACAGGCAAGAGCATTTTGTTTGCCCCGCGGCTGCCTTCCGAGTACGCCATCTGGATGGGCAAGATCCAGCCCCCACAGCATTTCAAGGTGCGCCCCGTCTGTCTACTGTACTGGTCCGGAACACTGTGAAAATAGGGCCCTCGATATGTTTGAGTGGATTTTTGATCACCCTCTTTGAATCGTTCTTTGAATCGGTCTTTGAGGACCCTCCTTGAATTTTCCTTTCAGCAGCTCATACTGGAGGAATTGTCTCTAGAATTGCCCATTTTGATATTCGATGAAGTCTATTGTCTCTTGTCCAAACAGGCCCGTTGTCGGTCAATGACAGGTATGGATACAATCTGGTAACCAGCGTAGTTTGTTTTTCCTACATAGCTGCAGGGCGCCCGCTTTTTGCGCGGAGAATGTTTTAAACGTTTGAAGATTCTCCGATAACTCTCCTGATCAGTAGACTAGCTTTCTTCCTGTACTGCGTACTAATGTATTATCAAGTGTTGTCATGTGCTGTTGGCTGCTTATGTGACAGACTTCACTTCAAACTTGATCAGAGTTGACCCGTACTCGTCATCTAGAACGTCTCTAATCTTCCTCAGCAAAAGTCTGCGTTTGATTAGTCAGGTCCGCAAGCCCAGCCAACCAAAGCCCTGGAAAAGTACTTGGAAGCTAGCCTCACAGCAATCCTGACAGAGGTTTTGACTATACCCTGTGATACAGGACAAATACGAGGTCGACGAGGCTAAATACGTTGACGAGCTGTCGGCAACGCTGATGGAACTGGGCGGAGAGGGCGGCGCTCCAACCCTGCTGCTGTTGCACGGGAAGAACAGCGACAGTGGGAGTTGGGCCGCGCCTGCTGAATTTGAGGTAGGTCTCTGACAGGCAAACTTGATCTAGTGGAAGAGAAGTCAACTTCCAGCCTTGTGATTCACAATTGCTGACAGTTGGTGGTGATTTCTCTTCTTCCTAGTCAACAGTCATTGGGAGATTCACAACCTGAGACGCCTTCTTTGGTCCATGGCCCTGTTTTCATCACGGTATTGTTTATGATTGAGAAAGCGAGAAAGCTTTGCGGGACAAACTACGGTCATGTCAAAGCTCTTGGCAATCGAGGCACCCCCTCTTTCACTCCGGCAGAACACTAGAGCGAGCGCTCCAGGCTTTAATCGGTCTCTCTTTCTGGCAGGGCATTGGAAGCTTCCTGGTCGATAAGACGACGCTGTTCCCCGTCTTGAGCGAGTGCCGCGTCCGTAAGAGCCAAGCGGAGCTGGACCTGTTGAGATATGTTAATAGAGTCAGCACGGCAGCCCACATCGAGGTAGGCCCAATTCTCAAATCAGTCATTCTAGTCTTGAGCTGCTTGAACGTGCATCTATCGCTGGTCGATACTGGGCAACTTCTGTGGTGGGTCCTTAAATCGAGGTTCGAAAGAATCTCGCCCACATCTTCCGTCGTCTTTTCAGTACTGTTATCTTGTCAGAAACTTTCACGTGGTAATGTGACGCTCAGATGATTGCTTGGTCGTAAGCCCCTAGCTTGCTATGTATAGTTCCGTTTACAACGATTTCAGTTATAACACCACTTATTTTGATTGGCAAAGCAAAAAAGAATCACTTATTTGGATCAAGCGTAGCCTGCGCAACAAAAAGAAAACGGACAAATCGACCGCGGTCTACTAGACTTGGTCAACGAATGTTTTCCTTGGTTCACCCCCCCGTTACGCTGCAGGTGATGCGGCGCGTGAAGCCGGGCATGACGGAGTACCAGCTGGAGAGCCTGTTCCAGCACTTTTGCTACTTCGAGGGGGGGTGCCGCCACTGCTCCTACACGTGCATCTGCGCAAGCGGGGACAACGCGGCCACGCTGCACTACGGCCACGCGGGCGCGCCCAATGACAAGGCGAGCGCGCGCGTATCGCTCTTCCATGATGGTCCTTCGCCTTCTTCTCTGGTTTTGTCACGGATTGCAGGCTTTGAGCTTTGTTGTGCTGTTGTCGTTCCTGTCAACAATAGAAATAAGTGGTCGAACATCTTTTGATTTAGAGTGGACCATCGTGCCAGCTGTCAACTTTGTTTCCGCTTCTTTTCTCGTGTCGGAATAGCGGGTGAAAGAGTCGATCACATGGGGCGGCAGTTTCTAGGTTCCAAAAAGCACCGTCCCGCCAATGAAGGGGCTGCAAAGACAACCTTGCTTGTAGGCGTCGAGTTGTTACAGCAAATCTTTGGCAGCATGATTTGTGATCACACAAAATTTGGGCCGTCGACTCTCCCTGATGTTATCGGGTTACCTTTGACGGGACTCACCCTCCGGTGTGTGAAAGGTTCATCTCTCAGGGTCGAAGTGTCTCGCTTGCTCGCGTGGCGTTCCGTTTCAGCCATCTGTCGCCTTAAGGACCGTTTTTCGTCACATGTTCTCCCACTCTCGGACGGTCGTAAAGCTTCGCTTCTTTCTTCGACTCCATTCCGACTGCCACTTCGGTTGATTAAAACCCTTCTTAGTGCTCAAGGCGTGTCTCTTCGATGTTGTCAGGCTGTCTCTGATTGTTTTCTCCCAGTCTTGCTTTTGACCGCAAACCTGGTCAGGCTATCTCTGACGGTCCTAGAATATTTCGTCTTTTGTCCGCAGATCCTTTCGGACGGCGACCTGATCCTGCTGGACATGGGTGCGGAGTACCACTGCTATGCGTCCGACATCACGTGCACCTACCCCGTCAACGGCAAGTTTACGGAGGGACAGGAGACCGTGTACAATGTGAGCACAGCATGTGGCTTGTTTCGGACTTGAAGATCTTTTCGTCCAATGCGGTCAGAAAAGCTGGCTGAAGATCAACTCAGATAAAGGCTTTTCTTTCTTTGGCGGAAAGGGTCAATCTTGATCAGGTGCGTTGCGCTTCTTCTGAGGGGATGCGATGCGGGGTCTCGATATTTTTCCCGAAGCTAGAGAACCAGGGCAAGACCTACTCCTCAGGTTGGCGGCTACCCAAACTCTGGGAGGTAGTAAGGGTGGCGTCGGGAAGTGCTTGTGGAAGAGGATGGGCAAGGAAAGCCAGCTCAAGTCGTCTCATCCAAAGTCCGGCAACTTCTCTTACACGAAGGCCGGCTAATAAGCTAAGTGCAAGCTGTTATAGTGATGAGCTTTGTGTTTTAAAACTTTAGCAAGCATGCAGCATGACCCGATAGCGTCGGAAGTCTCCACCTCGGTAGAGGCTTGGGCGCGTTGAGCTGCCCAGAGGAAACAGTCGTTACAGCCACAATCTGTAGAATCTATTTTAAGAAGGCTTGGATGAGGTGTATAATCGTCTTACGTCTGAGTGTGGTAATAAAACACCAGGCGTCTTTAGGAGATACCTCCTGCTGGGGGCAGGAAGTAAGGAACGTCGACTTCTTTTCACCTATTTTCATCAGTCGGTGCCGGACTGTCGACGTGTCAAGTCCCTTTCGCCAAATTGCCCTTGTATCGTGCCAATCGCCCCGCCGACCTAGCTCAGAGTCTCTTATCTTGCTTGTGTATCTCTTGGCGGGTTCTATCCCGAGCATCTTATCGTGCTGACGTAACTCCGGCCGGCACTCCCGTTGAGCGTCTTCTCACACTGATGCCGCATGTGCACAAAGCGTCTGACTTTGTATCAATGTAACTTCTGACCGGCGCTGCCCAAAGCCTCTTTTTGTACGTGTGTATTTCTCGGCCAACTGTGCTGAAGCGTCTTACCGTGCTGACATGTCTCCTTACCGACTGCCCAGAGCCTCTTGCTGTGCTGACGTAGTTGCCGACCGGCTCTGCCTGAAGCATCTTACCGCGCTGATGCATCTCGCGTCCAACTCCGCTTGAAGCGAATTTGTGTGCTGACGTAAGTCCCGGCCGACTGTGTCCAGAGCGTGCTGGCCGCCAGCGAAGCGGTGATGGAGGCCATGAAGCCGGGCGTGGCGTGGCCCGACCTGCACCGCCTGGCAGAGCGCCGCATCCTGGAAGGCCTCGTCGAGGGGGGTGTCCTCATCGGGTGAGACTCTCCCCAACTGAGCGAGTTACCTCCCAGCAAGTCGATCACCTCTCAATGAAAGGGGTAACTCTCAACAAGTGGGTGACGTCTTCTTAAGTCGTTTTTATCAATATGTGGGTTACCTCTTGTTAGTCGATTACCGCCCAACAAGTGGGTAACCTCCCGACAATCCAATCACCTCCCGGAATTGGGTTACCTCCTCTCTTCCATAGACATCCCTGTCTCCTCCGCCATGCCCGGAGGTTTCTAGCATTTAGAATTCCTTGACCGGATGTTAACAATGACATGGCTCGCAGTTTGTGCTTCGCGCTTTGCAAAGCCACCCAAGAATTTCCGGAGACCCGTCCGTGTTGCGACCTTCCAACATCTTGGAAGACGACAATAACAGGTTCTCAACACGTCTCTTGTAGTGTTGAGCACCCTTGTCTGCTCCTGTTTGTGCTGCCTCATCAGCGCCTCACTGCGCGATCACTGTTTCAACCTGAGTTGATTTATCCGTGCTTTTTCTGCAGGTCCGTGGACGAGATGCTGGAAGCGGACTTGGGTGCGGTGTTTATGCCACACGGGCTCGGGCACTTCATGGGGCTCGACACGCATGACGTGGGCGGCTACCCAGAGGTACGTCATCAGAGGGCCACAGCCCAACACAAGGTCTTAGAGCAGTCCTCAAAGCCTAGAGGAGATCCATGTTTTTCACGCTTCACCGAACCTGGTCGCCTGAATCGCGAAGGGGAGACTGCGTCAACGAATGATCACCTCGCTTTACGAGCGGGGTCTCTGGACATTGGCCCTAGAAATTAGAGAGCCGGTTAGGCTGTGCTTAAGGGCTGTCGTTTTGCTACAGAGACACGCTCCGCACATGTTCCTGTGCAAATTTGGATCCTCCGCGTTGGGTTTCAGCCAGAAGACTTGCGCCCCAGTGAACAACCACAACTAAAGTGCACATGCGAGGCGTCGTTCGAGCTGCTCTTCCCGTCAGCCTCTGTACGTCTCCGTAAGTAATCAAACCTCGTCGGTTAGCAGATTTCCCGACGGTTGACGGCGGTATCGATTCAGACTCCGAAGCCGCTTCTGTATCGTTCTGCGCAGGGCGTGAAGCGGTCCGAAAAGCCTGGGCTGCGCAGCCTCCGGACAGCACGAACGCTCGAGGAAGGGATGGTAAGGCAACGGGCGCCTCCTGCATTCCTGCTTTGCTGTCCTCTTTCTCAAAGTCTCTTCTGTTTAGCGTCGCTTCCCGTTCTGGTCGATGCTCTCCCTGGAAGCTTTACGAATCTTAGTGAGCTCAATATTCCGGTTTGACCTGGATGGTTCATCTTTGGTCGAAAGCTTGCACATTCAGCCTCGATCGAAGACGATAGACAATGCCCTTTCGTCCATTGCCTCTGCTCTAATACTGGGTGCTTGCCGCTTCACATTCCGAGAGCTCGCTGTGCTCGAGGTGGCACACTGCACACATTGGACATTAAAGGATCAGCTTCAGTGAGAAGACACCAGTCCCAGCAATGTTACCCCCACTCACAGCAGTCCGCGACTCTGAAACGTGCTTCTGTTTCCCTTTTCACAGCTAAGAAGCTTTCGTATTTGTGCTTCGCTTCGATTCACAGACTTGTTACACGGCAGGTTTCCTACCGCACGGCACCAGCCGTCGGTTGACAGTAACTGACGATAGCACGAAGAGCGGCCCTCCCTGCAGGATACTGCACGGGTCATTGCAGTGAGGCCGAATGCTACTGATAAGTACACCATTACTTGGGTCATCATGGTGGAGCCCGGTTGCTAGTGGAAGTATGATTGACACCAATCTGACACGCGGCATCTGTGCAGGTCGTCAGCGTGAAACCCAGTTGCTAATGGACGTATTATTCACACCAATGTGACACGTGGACCACGTTGTATCTACGCAGGTCATCACGGTGGAGCCCGGTTGTTACTTCGTGGAGGCGACCTTGGGCCCCGCGCTGCAAGACCCAGATCGGAGCCGCTTCTTTGTGCTGGAGGAAATCGAGAAACTGAGGGGCTCCGGGGGGGTCAGAATAGAGGACGATGTGGTGAGGCGTCCCCCCCCCCAAAGTGCCGGCAGTTCAATCCCTTCTTCAGGACCCTGCTTGCCGATGCCCTGGCCACCCGTTACTGCTGGTGACTGATTAGCGATTTGCAGAAGGAGTGGACATTTCTCCCTAAGGCCTCAACCCAATCCCTCCTTAGCCTTTTACTCTCGTAAAGTCCTCCAGACCTGTGGCTAAATAATTCAAACTTGCGTTTGAAAATTGACGTCCTCAACCTTGGCTGGAAAGCTTTCGGTTGGATCTCCTGAGCATTGTATACCTTGATCGTAGCGTCTGCTGAGGTCGGCAGTGCAGGCAGAGCTTAAAGTGACGTTTGTCGCGTTACCAATCATGGATTTCCGTCTACATCGTCTCCATCAGATCGTGACTGCGGACGGGTGCGAGAACATGACGGACGTGCCAAGGAAGACGTACGAGATCGAACGGGTCATGGCGGGAGAGTCATGGCCCTTGCCAGTGTCGCGGGGGTGATTTCAAAACATGCTTCGGGTCTCCGTGGAATATGGGTCGGAAACATCCAATTAGCATGCAGCTTATACGGGTAGCCAAGTGTCCGCACTCCCATTAGGGACTCAAAAGTAGCCGTTGCTTTGTCTGTAAATAACTCACCCGCTAGGCACTTTATTCCACGCAAGATTCAATTTAGGGCGGGTTGGAAAGGTCCAGCTGGATGCCCGGGTCTGTGAAGGCAGAGACTGGGACGAAGGCCCGAAGAAGGAGGCTCCAATCAAACCGTCAGTAGTTGGTGCGCTTTACCGGCAACAATCTAAAGCTAGGCATGTACATATGTATGAAGCCTTGATCCAATGAGCGCATCGCTAGACATCAGTCACTACCTACTATACAAACAAGCAGGCCATCATGATCTCATGGTCACCTAGCTTTGACATACATGTGTGCATTCAATGGCGGCGTTGGCAACATGGATCAAATAGCTCGATCACGTCTGAGGGATCGGGTAAAATCAATGATATCACACCTATTGAGCTAGTGCCAGCCATGACGTCTGTAGCGCGAAATCGTGAATATAAGTATTGAACGTGGCATGGCCATATGCAATTATGTAGCGCAGCTACTCATGGATCCAGATCGACTTGCACGCACGTACAGTACACGCTGCAACGGGCCACACCCTGACGGTATATAACAACTTCAAATTGAATATACCAGCTCTAGCAAAAAGCGGATTGCAGCTCTGCATACATGTAAGCTAGATCGAAATGTGGTAGTATTGGTGACAACGTTGCTAGTACTAATGATCTGTTTTGGACAAAGCGACTTGATCTGCGTAGGAGGCCGCCCCACATGTTGCGAAATTTGCGGCTCAGGTCGACTCAGGCCCAACATCGCATTCTGCAGGTGCGGTCGTACTGAATTGCTGCGGTTGCACATCATCCTTTCAATTTTGAGCATTAAGTAGCCACTGACACCACACAAACCGACTCAGAATTCTAGATTGGACTGACAGCAAGCTCAATAACCTCTGAAGTTTCGGTTACAATAATCTGATGTAGCGCAGCAATCTTTGACCATGGCCCTCAGCTGATGCCATGACGACACTCCTTATTGGAGAGCAAAAAGGGGACTCGAGTTTGTTGTCCGACGACCAGAAAGTTACAGTTGACATGTTTGTAAACCTTAACCTACGCAATGTGCTCAAGCAATCAATGTACATGTACGCCTACATTCTATTGGAGCGTTGAACAGACAGACCTTCCGGACACTACAAGGACACTCTTAAGATTGCTCCATCAAATCGGCCAAATCGCAATTGACCAGAAACTCAACTTGTGAGCCACTCGTTTCCTCTTGCTCCAAGCAATTCGGGGTCGATCATCAAACTTACCGCCTGCAACAGTAAGCAACACGTTCTAAGACAATGAGCCACTGGCCACTCCCCCTGTCTCAAAAACCAATGATTGCAATTCGACCGACTCACATGGACAGACTTTTGATGCCCTTGGCAATGTGCACCTCTTCTCCACATGGTTGGACATCCGCAACAAACCCAAACAAGTATGTATCAGAACAGTCTTGCCCGTTGATAGTTCTTGCACCAATTCAGAATGAGCAGATTTTGTAAGGCAGTACGTAGACATACCTTGCCAATCCGAGGTCTTTCGCGAGTGCTCTTCAGCGAATTCTTGACCATTGACACTGCTCCCCATTCTCGCAGAGTCTCCGCAATGCCATCAAGGCGGTAGATGTACTCGTCCTCAGTCAAGGGGAAGGATCTCTGCAAAGACAACTGTAACTATTAACATCTGCTAGGTGCTGCTTTTCTCCGCTGAATGTCAAAGAAACATGAGAAAAACGTTTTCCAGTTGTTGAGGAAAGACACTTGGATCAAGACTTTGACAAAAGTTTGAATTGAAAGGTCTGAAATCAGAAGTCTGATGTCAAGCATCTCGTGCCTTAGGTCCTGTGCTTACATGTTTGCCAAAGGGAAACAAAAATTGCCTGCCCTTACCTGCTCTTGATACTTCCACATGATGTTGAGCGCTAACAGCTTCCGACCCATGAAATCCTGCATTGAAAAGGTGAAAACTCAGTTAACCATGACAGTACTGCCTTCCTGACAGATATTTGAAAGTACATGTGCTTCCTACCGGGTCACACTTGCAAAATCTGTCGTTTGTGAATATCAATTGGTGGTGAGAGCTCTGAACATGTTGAAGCAACAATTGTTGTTGAAAACTGTTAACAACCAGATGAGAAGTAAGAGAGGCCCACCTTTTGAATGAAGATGGCATCATAAGACTTGCCATACTTCTCCCGAATGAGGTTTGCGAGGTCCGCACCCCGGAAGCTCTGGCTATCATCCTCCAGCATTGCATTTAATCGGTTCCGGAGGTCTTGGGTGCTACTCTGCACAGGCAAGTTCACCCGATGAGTGCCTGGAACCACAGTTGCTCAGCCACAGAGAAGACAAGAAGCACAACACTTTTGCTGCAAAGAGATATACAGTACAGAAACTTGGTGAGGCCCAAGCACTCCTGGTCCTGACGCCTTGTGATTAAAGATACTTAGATATGTTCTCTTGGAGGATTTCCGTAAAGGTAGGACACTGTCAATGCAGCCAGCTTGCATGCAACAAACCCTGAAAGCAACAACAAAAGAAAGCCAGAAACAACTGCTAAAAGAAACAAGATGAACTATCTTGCTTAAAAACTAGTCTAAGCAGAGAACCTCTCTTGGACTTGCCCCCCAAAGGATGCCAGATCTTGTCGGTCCCTTACCTGCCCCATATCCCCTTCCTCACCATCGTCTTCTGGCCCCAACCCTACAGGGGCAGCCGCAGATCTAACCTTCATGTTCGTCCTTCTGCAGGGCGCCTGCCTCACATTAGGCTGCCAACTCGTCCCTAGCAACTTCTCGCTGCTGTAGCTGCTGCAGGCAAAGCTGCTGGAAAGCTCTCTGAAGTCGTCCTTACAGAATGGACTTGGGCAAACATAGCCTCGGAAGCAGGAGGACTTGCCAGCCTGAGCGTTGGGAACCAACTGCAGTGCCCGTGCTGCTGAACCGCGCAGAGCTACTGCTTGAGAAGGCATGCTTGAAACCTTGTGACCGTGGGACCCACAAGGTATGCGATGTCGACTGAGATGCTCCCCGACAACCGTGAAGAAGTCTAGGCCAAAGAGTAGTGTCAAATAGGATCACATCCGCTTGCAATCCGAGTGCCTGAAAAAGACAGCTGAAAAATGACTGATGCTTCAGTCCAGCACCTTTCAGTGGCCCCCTCTTAGCTTGATGGAAGGCAACTGGTCGGCAGTCAAGTTCACCTGCTCCAAAACCTGTGTTCAACGAGCCGGAGCTCCACACAGCCGAATCTTGCCGCCAGCCCCCCCTCCTGCACTCAGCCAGGAACTAAAAGCAGCAGCTCTCCTGCTGTTGTGGGCACCCTGAAGGCTGAGTGAAACCTGGTGAAAGACGCAATGCTCAGCATTGACGCACGGTGTGCTGAAGGACACGTCACGGGAGGTGGCCTTCGAACTAGAGCGAGACGTCAGCGGCAAATTAAACGCATGTGCTTTCCATGCATTCAAGTTGATCGAGTTTGCCAATCCCTGGGCCTCAGTTCTGACCGGTTGTTAAACTTCTGTGTATTGGATTTCGAACCGTTCGATGCGATCGGCTGGGACACTCCGACGTCATCGACGACAGAAATTTAGAGACATTATTTGGAGGGCAGCTTCAAGTTCAAGTTCTGAGGACTTATATAGGACTTCTTGGAAGTTCGATTGGCAGATTGCATATGCATATATGTATGGCGTCAGCTGAATGCAAGCTTGCCGCAACTTCCATTGCCAACTTGAGGGAGAGACGCTGGAGCGAGCCTGGAGGGCCTTGATCTGCGCTTTCAGTTTCCCTATTCTCTGTTGCCGGCCTCTTTGTTAGAGTTCCTGCAGCTGGGTTGGAAGCTTTGATTCGCAGGGCGTGGGCGCAGTAAGATTGTATGTAGAACTGCAGGGGCCGGGATCTCGCCATGTCTCGATTTACCGAGAAGAACCCTTTCGATGACGAGACTGATGCGAATCCATTTGCGGTGGGTGACGGTTATGTCAAAATTGTTCATCCACTCTGAGGGCCTTGTCCAAATAAAATGCATCCCAGTGCTTCTGGCGCAGCAATACTTGCTTTTAGGTTTTCCTCTTGAGTGGAATTGACCGTGTCAGGCGCATGTCTTGCAGGATCCTGCAATCAAGTCCCATTCTCCTGGAGCAGGAGCGTATGGCGGCGGAGCTTACTCAGGAGGAGGCACCTTTTATCAGGAGGTATGCAACCTCTCCTTATCAATGGGGAGTCAGGTTTTGGCTCACACCATCTCAGAAGGTAGATCTCAATGTAGGTGAAGGACCTGACGCTTTGTGTCTGGTGGATCTGATGTGCACCTACTGCTGTGCATTGCTTTGTGACCTATATTGAGCAGTCCTGATGTTGTCGGCTTTGATGCAGCCTTCAGTGGCTCCCGCAAAGCCTACTCCTCTGCCACCGGAGCGAGCTTCCGTGACGTCCTTCGCAAGCGACAGTGCAACTGTTGACATTCCTCTTGGAGAAGTAAGCAACCGCAGTGAGCTTTCTGTTCTGGTTCCATCCCCCAATTGTCAATGCTGGTTGCATAGCTCCATCATGTGTTCAATAGGATGAGCGTTCTCCTCGGGTTTGCCGCCAGGCTTCTTGCATTGCTTTAGCTTCATCATCTTCTGTTTTGGATTGCTTGCAGCCAGGCTACAAGAAGAAGGAGAAGGAGCTGAAGGCCAAGGAGAAAGAGCTGCAGAAGAAGGAAGCTGTGAGATTCTTGTTGGGCCTTCTTGGACAAAGCTGTCGAAACTTGGAGCTGAGCACAATCACCTTTGAGGATTTGTGAATCATGATATGGAGCAGATGTCAATCGACGAACCCTAACATCTGGATCACTCAAGTACTCTATCCTTTTGATGATATAGTGATTGGATTGTCACCAATCAGGACTACGCTTGCCTGAAAAATTGGTCCTTTTCTCTTGTGCGAGCCTCAGTCAGGTATTACCCGCAATTCATCCTGAGTATTGGGCAAGTTTGGTCTGAGGAAAGGAGGAAGAAGTTCGTTCTGGATAGTTGAGCAACAATGAGCTTTAAGACGGTTGCACTGCTTCCGTCAAACCAGTCTGCTCTGCCTCTGCAGGAGCTGAAAAAGCGCGAGGAAGATGCCCGCCGCGGTGAGTGCAGCTGAAGCGATAGGCAGATTATGCATCTCAGTGGTGATTTGCTTGCATCTTTCTTGTAAGCAGCAATGGGACAGTATGTGCAGCCAGGAGAATTGTGGGTGTGATGAACTTGAGCAGATCAATGCAAGAAGGTGGTGCACTTGTCTAGGTCCTTCATCTACAACTTCTCAGATTGGCATGGTTGTTTTCTGCAGCTGGCGTCATCATTGACACAAAGAACTGGCCCTTCTTCTTCCCCATTTTGCATCATGACATTTCTGCTGACATTCCTGAAGCTCAGCAATGGACGCAAAGGCTGGCATACTACACGTACCTTGGTAAGACAAAATCATTGGAGACGGAGAAGCATGAAGTTTGGGGAAAGAGAAGAGTGCATCTTACTATCTAGCTTCTTGTGCATTATTTGGTAACAATGGTGGCCTTTGAGCAAAGGGACCAAATGAAGGCAAAAAGTCCACTTAAGCCAGAACACTTGCCCCTGGAACTTGTCGTATTCTGAGGAGACAGCTTCAGCAGGTGGAATACGATTCTGCGATCAGGCAAGACAGCTTGAGAGCACCTCCCATTATCTGTCAAGCTGACTCCGGATTTGCTTGGGCCCCACAGCCTTTGTTTAAATCCTGACGAATAATGTTTCACTGATTGTTGCAACTGCAGGCTTGATGTTGTGCTTCCTGTGGAATACGGTCTGTGTCTCAGCAGGCTGGGCAAAGGGTGTCATAAGTGGCGGGAGTGGTAAGTCACTGATGCAGCACCGAGTATCCCATACTACTTCTGTGACTTGATTTCGGAGCTCCTTACATCTATCTGTTTACTGCTTGGAAGGATTTCGTAGAGGTGGCAACTGTTCACTGGATTCTTACCGCGTGCAAGGCTACTTTTCAAGCTTTTGGTTCAGACCTGACAGTGCTTTCTTTGCAGCCTTTGTTTGCTGGCTGGCGGCAATCCTCTACGCCGTTGCTGGCATCGTCCTCGCTTGGCCGCTCTGGTACAAGAGGTTGTACAACGCTATGAGGTAGGTCATGTTGGCATGCTTCTGTGGTGAATCCAGTTCTCCTTGACTGCTGACACAGGTCTCGACGCGCCTTGAAGAAGGTCCTGGCAATTGTGGAGATTTGAGCTTGTCAGAGGCGAAGATGTTCATGCTCTTTCTTAAGTTGACTGAAGTGTTAGCTTCACATGTTCATTGCCAGTCATTGCAATTCTCACTTGCGACACTGTTTGCTGGTTGCAGGAGGGATCGTGCGATGACTTTCGCATGGTTCTTCTTGATGTACCTGGTGAGTCAGAGGCGGTCAGACCCGTCATCCCATTCAACTTGGGACAGCGACTGAGATTGCAAACCTTAGCATAAATCACACAACTTGCGCCGCAGGTCATCAAAAAAATCTAGAATGCACGTCGTAAGCTCACTTTCGCATCGTATCTCCGAACATATCAGTTTGCTGCTTCAAAGTTTGCTGCTACAAGTCTAAAGCTTTTGGATTGTGCTTGCAGTAACGGGCGGGTGGAATCCAGTGATTTGCGAGGTCTTGCATAGACCTTCTGTAAAGTGAATCAGGACAGACTTTATCTAACATTGTTAGTGCATGATTTGGCCCACGTTAGATTTTGCTCACGTATGTGGCCATCATGCGTGTTCTCGTATATCTGCAGGTGCATATTGCTTGGTGCATCTTTGCTGCCATCGCTCCCCCTATTTTCATCAAAGGAAGCTCCCTCACGTAAGTTTCCTTAGCTTTTCGATAGGTAGGTATAAGTGAGGTGTCAGTTTCATCGGATTAGCAAATATGCCGCGCTTTTGGTTACTTGTTCCAAGCTGAAATATCGTGGTCTGAAGGTGGCACGCCACTCAAGTAAAAGTACTCTACTTCCTCGCTTTGTCCCTTCCGAGACTGACAACGGGAAACTTTCGTCTTGATGCATTGTCTTACTGTGGTTGGTTAGTGATCAAGTAAGTTTCTTGGTAATTGATTTTGTTTTTGATTGCTCCTGTGCAGCGGTTTCCTGTCCTTCATCAAGGCTCTTGATGCCGACACGGTTGTAGGGGTAAGCCGTCGGACCTTGAAAGCTTAGAGCTAGGGATGACGTTTCTAACAAAATATGGGGTCTGCTTGCTTTTGCACGTGTCTTTACGCCGATCGTATCATGTTATCGCCGTACATTTCCGCTAGTTGCTTGCGAAGTACCCTATTCGATCAAAGGGTTTTCGCACATTCTCAAGCTGCTAGACTAGCCAGTGTCTGGAAACTTGTTGGTGACGTCATGAGCGCAGCCGCAAGTTCGGAGATTTCATCTTCATTGGCTCCCATTGTAAAATCGTCTTTAGATCCGTCCCTAGCTTGATCTTCGACATGCAAGCTCTCGCGGCAGATGACGCCGTGACTCAGATACACTGGATTCAAAACGACCAAGAACTATCTGACTCGTTACGTGTGCAGATTATGTACCTCGTTGGTTGCATCCTGTGGGTTCTCGAGGCGTTACTTAGCATATTCGTCCTCCAGGTAAGGATCCGTGCACAAACTTGCGAGTCTTTCACTTATGGCGACCTTACGATCAAGTTGCGTGTCGGTACAATGCTTCAAAGGACGGCCTGTACATAAGCAGCCTGAGCGATTGACGGAAAGATTCGCTAGTCATTACTTTGCTCGGCACGCACTTGTATCTGTCGCAGATTTGGATTTGCCATGCGGCAAATCTCGCACGGTTTTTGGGAGGTCTTATAGTTGACCTGATCTGCAAGTCGTTCTTGTTTCAGCTTTCCTTCGTTTCCGTTGTATGTTCTTCTGTAATAGCAGTGACAGCAGTCTCATCCTGCAGATTTTGATTCGTAATGCGAAATTGAATTTGGTCTAACGTTTGCCTTGCCACGCACCTTGTGACGGCGCAATCTGGCCGTTCCCTGAGGTCACTACACCTCCGAACATTTTGCGTATTTCAAGAAAACTAAGATTTCCGACTTTTCTGCAGCGCGTCTACTCGTACTTCCGTGGATCAGGAAAGGCGACGGAAGTGAAACGCCAGGGAGCTCGTGCGGTTGTCCAGGCTGCTGTGTAGTATTCTGATGCCACTCCTCTTCTCTAAAAACTGTCTCTCTGCATGGCTTCCTCTGGTTAGAAAAGTGAGCTCATGCCGCAGATTCTAAGATTTGCACTCTGTTGCAGACCTCCGTGTAGGAGATTGTAAGGCTTTGGATTATCTGTCCTTTCGAGTTTCGAAGCCTTTGCTCGTAGTGAGTGCATCTAATAAGTGTGTCTCAAAAGCTGGCCCGTGATACTCCAGTGGTGAGTTGTCGATTATTTCGAGGCCGGGCATCATGGTCGAGTGCATACAAACGCATAAAGCATCAAGAGCGCCGATTCTGGTTGCAATTTACAACTTCAGGGTTTAACTAGCCATGCACCAGCGTTAGTAACCAGCTTGATCAACCCCGGCGCCACAAACTCCCATGCATGGCTTAATTACTCAAGTCCTAAGTTAAATGTAGGATGTACGTTTATTATGCGATATGGCGCGATTACAATTGCAAATGCTGACTATAGGATTTCCCAGAAGTCGCATTGCACGCGTTGAATTCTTGATTGCTTAGTAGCTGCTACTGTTGAAACCTGCGAAGACGGTCACTCTTAAAAGTTCAGTCTGTCATCATACACAACTTACAATACTAGCGTGCAGTATATTTTGTATGCATTCCATCCTCCTTCTGATCTGGCCTTGCATACTGGCAGTCAAGCCAACCTTCTTATTACACACAAACATTGCCTACGAATGATATATGTAGACAACCTACCACGTCAACCTTAGTGTGAGGTAAAGTTTTGTTTTGGCCGTAAACTTTCCCCATTGCATGCGGGGTCCCAGTTTTGTTGCTTTAACCACCTTTGCCTGGAGCCGACCTCTTCTTCAACCGCACGTCAAAGCCCTCTGAACCTGACTCAACAACCTGGTCTTCAACTGTGCCAGTGGCCTGCTCCAGCCGGCTGTTTCCTGTACCAGGCAAATCGTCAAAGGTTAAGGGCTTCACTGTTAGTTCAATGTCAACAGACCTGGCTTCCACTTCCGTCGTGCCGTCTCCTCGCCCCAGCTCGCCCAGAATCTTGTCACCAAGCAGCTTGCCACCCTGTTCCCCTAAAGACCCACCACTAGACTCCGTCGCTTGCGCAGCCCCCCTCAGCTCCTCCCTCTCCCCCTTGAGCCCCTCCCTACCACTCCTCCCGCGACCTTCTTTCTCGCGTTCCCGAGCGAGCACCTTCTCCCTTTCTTGTGCTGCCTTCTCCGTTTCCTCTCTCGCCCGCGCATCCTCCCTCTCCCGTTCCTCCGCCACCCTCCTGTCCTCCTCCTCGCGCACCGCCAGCTCCTCAAACTCCCGCAACAGCCCCGCCGGTATGCTCCCTACCGTGTCCCGCGGATCCAGCGACGGCCGTTCCGGCTGCCCCCAGTCAACCACGCAGGGGGGCCGCTCTGCGCGGTCCTCCACCAGCAACTGTGCGCGGACCTGATCAGCCGGAAGTAGCACACTGGTTAGTGCGGGCCGGGAGTCACCGTAAGTGGTACTCAATTCATCAGGTCATGGCCTGTGAGGAAGCGTGGATTCAATCCCTCGCAAGCGCAACGGGGTCAACCGATGAACCGATCAGTAGTGATATTTGCTTGTGACTCGAGGACGTTGCCGCCTGCCAGGGGCAGCTTTGCGCTGCGCCGCACTCCGAACCGATTGCCAGGCACAAAAGTGCCCCGTATTCATACTATACTGATGAGCGTTGTGTTCTCAGTCTGCTCATCCCAGGAAGTGAGCACTCACCTTCTTGGGAGGGATCCCCGGGCGGAGGACCTCCGGGAAGTAGCGGAGTCCCCGGGGAAGGTCGCTTTCGGAGTTTCGCTCGTCGAACGCGTCCTTGAGCCACGTCTTGGTGGTCACCTTGAGCGCATACTGACTCGGTTGGACCCTGCAGAAAAGAGCGCAGGAGTTCGTCACTTCAGCAAACACAAGTAAACGTTCTCGTGTCCGAAGCAGATGTCCTACATGCTAGATGTCAGACCTGCTCCGTTGCTGAAGCGGTCCCTTCACGGCACTTATGTGAAGCAAGTCGTCGCAAAATCAGGCATTGCCGCTGAGAGCACGTGAAGTTTAGAGAAACAGAATCAAGAACGAGGATATCCAGCCCCCAATAACAAACCATGAGTTTGGGAACCCCAATATTTCAGGTACTCACCCTGAAGGGCTGCAGACTAGCATCGCAGGAGCCTACACCCTAGAATACCAAAGCCTCACAGCTCTGAAACCCTTAGCCCCTGGAAATCTGGAGCGGCTCACTTGAATGTCTGCAGGCTGGCATACTCCCGCAACACGTGCAGCATGTAGTCATACACGAGCGGCATGTTGACCTCGCGCATCAGGAACTCGGTCCCCGCGCGCCCAATCTGCTTCGCGACCCGCGGGTGCGCGCGCCCCCAGTCGACCGTCTTGCGAATGTTGGCGCATAAATTGGGGGCTTTTGCGACCGGTAGGAAGTTGACGCCCGGCTTGAGGCCCCGGTACCAGAACTCGAACCACTCGGATTCGACCATGAGGGTGGTTGCGTCGCACGCCAGGATGTACTTGCCGCTGGCGGACCAAGCCCAGCCCTCCATGTACAGCTTGAATCTGTGGCAAGGGGGTTGGGAGTCAAGCAACGAAATACTGCTGTGGTTTTCTCTTTCTTTGAGGGTCAAAGCTTGTGGTAAGACGAAGTATCCGGAAGTCCAGTATTTTGGAGCGCTCGAGACATTGAAGGCTTAAAAAGGGAGCGGAGATGGTTTGGCAGCAGGGATCCATGATTCGTCTTTATGGGGCGCAAGATAAGGTTGCTGAAGGTGCAAACCTCCTTCCACCTCAAAACTGTGCGGCCTGAAGATTTCAACTGGATACTTCATTATGAAAGTCGATTGGGTTTGGACAAAGCTGTCAAGATCAAACGGCCGTGATTTCGTGGTCCTGAACATCCTTCTCCCAAAGACTCCCCTAAATGCCCAAAGTCGAGACTAGCATCCTCCGGCACAGCAGGGCCGCCGTGTTTTCCAAACTACCTACGTCAACGCCTACTCGCAATGAGGGAGAACCAACTGGACTTTCTTCAGACACCCAATCCTCCAGCACCTCGCCATCTCAGTAACATGCAAGACCAAGTTGAGAATGTAATGAAGAAACGGGAAACAGGCGCTCACTTGTGCTGGCACTGATTCTCCAGCAGCTTGTTGTCCACCAGTCCCTCGCCCCAATCAACGTGCCGCAACTCGACCCCCCACCTGCAGACAATGTAGCAGATTGGTGTCAAGCTTCAGTGCCTTGGGCCTTTCGATCGATCACTCTCATATCCTTCTGGGGTTTCTGCTGTAATGGCTGAGTCAGATGTAGAACCTGAGGGAGAGAGCTTCGTATATAGACCACGAAAGCAGCTCAGCAAGAGCACGATTGTACAAACAAGTCAAAGTGACCTGTTGGGAGCAAAAATAGAGTCAACGAGAGCATGCTGCTTCACTGCGCCAGCAAAAGAAACGAGCCAGCATAAATCCACAGAAGCTAAGCAGTATGACACGTCGACATAGAGAGGCTAATGCATCATAATCGAGACACGGAGAGGAACGGGATAGAGACACGCCCAGAACGAGAAGCCCACAAAGAGCAGCTCTTCGTGGATTACTCAGATTCAAACGCCAGGGGAACTTGTTGACGATCATAACAGCCAGGGGAACATCGGATGACAAACATAACGCCGGAACATCTGTAGCGGCGCACCTGAGCTTCTCGTTGTCTTCGCACTTCCAGAGCTCCTGGCGCGCAAGGCACTGCTCGGAGCCGCCCTGCCAGAAGGCGTGCCCGGGCCGCTTCTCCCAGTCGGTCTTGTTGGTCTGCACGATCGCGTCTAGCTGCAGCTGCCACGGGGGGATTTCCAGCTCCGCCCTGCCAAAAAGGCAAAATCGGTTCGGGGATTTGTTCGGTCTAGAGTCAGTTTTGGGTAAGGGTTCAGCCTGCGAAAGATTCATCGGGGTAGTCCCAGCGTCGAAAGGCTGCCAGTGATTGCTGCTGCAAGGCGGGGCTATGCTTCGAACATTTTGAGGGGTTGTTAAAAAATGTAAGAGACTGGCGGTGTATCGGAACCAAAAATAGCACGAGAAAAGTTGTCTGAGACCGACCAGTCGGACTGCCGCTTCAAAGCAACACAGTATGATGCTCGCACAAAACGATACGAAAACGGACTGACCAACTAATGCTCGATAAGATCAGACGAATGCAAGCAGAGTAACAAACCAATTGCGCGCTTCTCCAATACCCTATCAATCCATTTAGCACGAGGAGAAACTTCCGTCTAGCACCACGGAGAAAAAATGCATCCTCTGAGAGCCTTCATCGAATTTCAAGACGAAATCGACCCAATGCGTCAGACCATGAACGGCGTGCCAAACTCCACACGTCAAGAGGCCGACACACGCCAAGAAGAGTTGCGCAACAGAGGAAGGGATGACTAACCAGCCCCAGAAGGACCAGTCGGGCCACGTGATGTCCCAATGATTGGGCGTGCCGCAGTACTTGAGCAGCGGGGGCGGGTCCATGTCCATCTCCCACTGGTACTTGTCAACCAACGGATGGTCGAACGTTTCCACCATTACGTCAACATCGGGCACCTGGCAAGCAGATAACCAGGAATGTTAACCCGCAGAACAATCATGGCATACACAGTCCGATATCACGGTTGGAAATACACAGAGGAGCTCGTAGCAAATAAGTACCAAGAGACAGACCGGAGGTGAAGGCACAGACCGAGAGAAGGGGTCAAATGGGCTGGTTACTGTCGTTCTGAAACCGGGCCGCTCAGGAAGAAAGGTCCAGAGTAGCATCTTCTTGTCACAAGTTCGCTCGATTTGCCGTGTCTGCCATAAAGACGTCCAAACAAGGCCCGCCAGACTGGTCTGCATCTAGGCGACCTCAGAAATGGGGGCAGCTGCTAGAAACAAGCGTGCTTGTCCGAAGCTGACGACCTTAAGCGGGGAATCTGCTCCCTTCATTTGCACCGTCGATCTGCAAATCCTGCAGACCCCTTAAGCGCCGGCATCTAAAAACACACAAAGAGTGCGCTACAAACTCGATAGACAAATTTGCTGGCATACAAGTGTACCCGGTCGGCTCACCTGGCCCGGGTACCGCTCGAGCAGCTGCAGGATGCCCCACACGGAGTAGTAGAAGCGCAGGTACTCCATGTACTTGTACTGCATCATCTGCCAGTTGCGCTCCACGTACAGTTCTCCATCCACAATCTGGAACCGGAAGTGAGCCAGCGGCCTGCGTACAATCGGTTGAGTTAGACGTACGTTGAGTAGCGTCAATACCTCGGGCTTGAACAAACCATCAAAAGCTCAACATAAAATGAAGACGCTCTGCATCCGTACTCACCCTGAATCCTCAAACCAAGTTCTCCGGTCCCGAGACAGTAATCTAACTTCACATAGGCTCTACTTCAACTTCACAACAGTTTGTATCTGCGAAAGTGCACCCCCAATATGACAAGGCCTGTTGCTTGTAACTTTCTGCAGCCGAAAGTTGTGAAGAATGAAGCAAGCGAGGACTCGCGTGACATGATTCAGCCCCTATAAGCTGGCACCGCTGGTCAAGACCGAACTCTGAGAAAGCTCGCAAGAGGATCTCGACTTAGCTTAGTGAGGTCAGAAAAAAAACACTGAAACTCGAAACACTGTGCACGATTTGTTCTGTCCAGGCTGGTTGGCGAACATGAGGGAGGCATCATCAAAAGGGCTCTCAGTTTGTCAGAAATTTTCAGAACTTTAGAGTCCTCGGCATTTGAGTTGTATTTGGGACAGTAAGGGCAGAACTCGAGGGGAAAGCCTCAACGCTGACAAATCAAGTTGACACCAGACCTTTCGAAACATGGCGTCACAATCACAATGACAAAATTGACAGTACGTCTGCTTCAAATGGATGCAGGCGCAGGCCCAAGAGTGCCGGACAGTCTGAGGTAGATGATATAGGTGCGGGGGAAAGCACCACATGGGAAACAGAATGGCCTATAGAAGTTCGCAGGGCTTGCTGAACCACATGATTCCTGTGAAGAACGCAATATATAGACATTCTTTGAAACCCATATGTTGCTGACATAAAAGAAGCTCATATGCACACGAAGCTAAGATGTCATTTACATATCGTTCCGTACATATTAAAAACGACATATATTTTATTGTTCGTTTATACCAGGATCACAAGGAGGCAAGCATTGAGTACATAGATGCCCTCCGAAAGTAAGAAGCGCATCCATCTCTTCAAAGTATCTTCAGCTCAACAAAGATCTAGTGACATCCAGAAGCAATGCCCATGTCACAGTCAGCCGCAGCCTTTGATACTGCAAGCCTAGTAGACCAGATAGAGAATCTGCCCCTTACTCACCACGCATTGAACAGGGCGGCTGGGGTGATGCCCTGCCGATCGCTCCACGGCTGAAAGTCCTCTCTGATGATGTTGTACCAGTCGGGACACTTTTGGACATCTGACCGCCGGCCCCCCCGGAGCATCTGCTCCTGCGAGCTCTCGATAATCTGCCGCATCCGCTGCCGGATGCTTTGGCCCGGCGCCGAGAAGTTTGTCGCGACGTACGGGATTTGCGCGGGCTCGTATGCCGTCATGACCAAGTGCACGCCCTCCCATCGGTAGAGCTCAAAGTACAACAGCAGCAGCTGGGGGTCCAGGTGGAGAACGTCAGACCGGGGCTGCCTTTCTCTTGAGTCAAGATCTTCTGCTTCAAATGAGTCAAGATCTTCTGCCTCAAAGTTGGAAACTTCTACTGAGTCGAATCGTTTGCTTTGAAGTAGGACATTTCTACTTAGTCAAGGTCTTCTGCTTTCAAGTAGGAAATATCTACTCCAAAGCAGTGCAACAAGTACATAGAAACTCAACTCTGACACGATCCGAGTATGATACAGCTCAAGAAGGTTCATGATCAATTGAGACTGACCAATCGGTGGAGCAGTGAAATAGGAATAGGGGCCTAGCCCACTGCTGGCGAAAAGTTAGGGGCTCTACACTGAAGTTCTTCTCAAAAGTCGACTCCCTGCCACAGAATCTTGACTACTGGGCCTCTTGATAACGCACCACATCAGTCATGGACAGCATGAACTTCTGCAAATGCGAGAGGGGCTTCCATGGAGATTCCTTTGAAAGCCAGGGGTTTTGCGAGTATCTCAGCTATCAGCTTTTTCAGAAGAAGGAAAGAAGTCAAGGCCTGTTCGTAGCCAGCATCAAGAGCAGATCAGCAGGTGGTATGTATTAAAGAAGAGAAGGTGGACACACGATTCAGGATGCACTTCGGGCTCAAGGCTCCTTTCAATTCAAGCCGAATTGGGGCAGCACAAAGGTGTGGAAACTAGCATACCAGGATAAGAGCAGCCACCGACGCTGCAAATGTTTCCTTCCGCATGTCACCAAAGACTCCCATTGCTTTCAATGACTGCCTTCGCCAACCGACATGGCCGTCAATACCTCAAACACTAAGCAAATAGTACTCTCCCTCTCCTTACACTTGAGCAAAGCACTTTCGTGGCTTTTCGCCCGGTCACAAGCACCACTGGCAAAAGGGTGCTGCTTCAAAAGTGGTCGACGCGCATTGTGTCACAGATCTCTAGCCACAGGAACTTGATTCTGCCATTGCTTCAAAGGCGCTGAGCTGCTCAGCAGCTGCTGCCTCTAAGAGAGTGAAGACAATAACTGAGCAAGCTTGTGAGAGCAAGCTTGTGACAGTGTACTAACTGCAGTGTTCAGCCCATGCATCAGGTGGATCCCTGCAGATCCCCCCAGAAGAGAGACGAAGTCGAGCTCACCCCCCTGAAATAAAGGTGCTTATGTCGACGGCTAAAAGATCATCATAAACCTTGATCGACGGTTCAAAAGAGACAGTTGGGGTTGTTGAATGTGGTGCGAGAGAGAGTGCTCATCAGCGGGCAGCCACTGGGGCAACTAGGGCTGTCGCCACAGCTGCATGCATGGCGTGATCACACTGACATTGTGACGAGGGGACATGGCTGCGTTGGAAAGGTGCCACTGCTAATGAAGGCGTGAACGCCGCCAGAAAGCTTATCTATGCAGGGCTCTGTTGCCCCTTCCTCCGCGGTTCGGACAGTGTTTAGGGACGGTCCTATGGGTTTGTAAATGGAAGCTAACTGAACGGGGTAGGGCCCAGCGATGCGGGGCTGTTTTCCCTCACCCATCAATGTAAGACTTTAACGGGAAAGATTGTCATCTGAGTGCAGGATGTCCGATGCCTTGTTTGGTATCATTCGGGAGTTCGAGGGCGCGCTGGAGGGACAGATGAGGCGGCAGCGCGAGGAGAACATCCAGCGCAAGCGCGAGTTTGAGAAACGGTTTCTGGAAAAGGAGTTGGAGCTTGCAGAGAGGGAGAACTCCTGGAAGAAGGATTTGCAGAGAAGAGAGGTGCGCCTGCCTTGGTATTTATGACGAGGGAGGGTCTCGAAGAGGTTAATTCACCTGCTTTGGGACCGCTTATAGTACACCTCGCCAATTCATGTGGTCTGTCGGTTTGATGAGAGCCTCATCTTCTTGGATGCTTTCTTGGGTTGCTGAGCTTGGGATGTTGGAATCCTTGGTTGTTGCCCACTCCGTTAATCATTGGGTTTTGAGATCAAGGGCAAGGGGTTATGAGCTGACGGTGGCAAAAAGTATCCAGCTGTCAATGATGGTGATTGAACCGGACAATCTCCTGCCCTTCCACCTGATTATACAGTGTTCAACAAAGCCCAATTTGTGCACAAGACTGTTGGCAGACCAGTAGCATTTGTTCAAATGCTAAAAGGGTGTAGCAGAGTTTAATGGGTTTATTTTGTGCATAAGCACCAGTTGCTGGCTGAATCAAGGTGCTAGTACCAAGCTTGCACTGGACGGTGATGATTTGTTCCTTGAAAAGTTCCATCTCATGTCCTTCTGGTTCCTTGCGTTGTCTTGGAAGTAAAAGGTGTGCGATGGCCATACTTACACTAGATCCGGTGATTGCACAAGGGTAGTCCTATGCAAGGTGGCCTGTGTTTGGCGAAAAAGTTGGTTCTTGAAGTCAGTTGAGAATGTTGATTTCCAGTGTCGTGTTGGTGTGATGATGTACAATGGTTTGGTGCGTGTCTGCAGAAATCTGTCGCTGAGAAGGAGAGATATTTGCGTGAAGAGAAAGAGGCGATCGAGAGAGAAGCACGGTTGCTGAAGGGGGAGGTGGATCCTGTAAAGGATAAAGGGGTTGTTGAGATTGCCTTTGGAAATGAGCAGTACAGATGTTTAAGGCAACCCACACGCAGATGACCCATAGATAGCCTAGCGAGGCGTACATTGTTTCGAGTTTGTTCTTGTACAGAGAAACTCTGCATATAGGTAGCACAGTTCTGGCATGAGAGCGTCACTCGGGCCTTGCCTCGCAAGCAGGACGAGACATTCGATTTTTTGAGAGCGCGGCTATCCCCAGTCGCGATCTTTGATCCTCGATCAACTTGGAAAGAGGTCTGTAGAGGTTGAATCTCAAGCTGGTTTTAATGATAGGTTGAGAGAGCCCGCTAGGTTTAGATAGCTCCGCACTGTGAGGATTTGCCCACCACGGTGACCAAATCGGGGAACGCTCTTCTGTCAACATGTTCATTTGGGCGGCCACTACAACCATGCATGCTTTGGTCCGCTCTGGTAGATGCGCCGCCATCATTCATTAACGACTAAGTTACGCATCGCAGGTGGAAACTGAGTTACGGTAGCCTACTGCCATATAGCTAGCCATGACGTGCCGCTCTCGACTGCTCACATGTACACAGCTGGGGACCTTCAAGGTCCCCAGCTTAGTATGGTAGGTAATATGCATATATACCTATTGCATGCATGTTGAATCTCATGCATGTCGGACGCGGCCTTTATGATAGCTGGGTTCAATGTTCATGATTGCGCGAGCTAGAGAGCTTTATGTAACTCGATCCTCATGCAGAAGCGCACGAACGATTGATGATATACTGATGTCAGTAGCCAGTGGCGGCAGACTCACCTAGATCGACGTGCAGCTACACATATAGCTCTGCACCATGCCCTGCATGAGAGCACTTCATGATGACACGTTGAACTTCAGGATGCAATTCAAGCTCATGCTTAACGGAACACTTGGAAGTGTCTCTACTCCTCGAACTCCCGTGAACTACCAGAGTACACTGAGTGGTTTGAAGGCACCCTGACCAAGACCCTGACATTATCAACATGACGGCTTTGCCATCTAAGTACTTAATTACATTAGAGCGTGACACCTCCGAGCCCGCATTGTCTGAGCTGTACCATTATAACCAACTAGTACCATTGGGCAGGGCTCTCTCTGCTACCTTGAACAAACTCGTTTCACCTTTGCAGCTATTGGGGCCCCGCAGAGCCTTTTGACTTTTTCGAGTTCATGCCGAATTTACAGCTTACATAATGGTTCTATCATATACCCATTGGCCTACGCCCAATATCGACGTCAGACCACCGACCTGTTCATGTGGCCCTAAGACCAGCTTTTGATGTCCAATTCGTCTAGCTCCCTCGCCTTGTCAAAGTCGCCTGCGTCATCCGCACTGCCCTGACCCTTTTCTATGTGATCCATAAGTTGCGCCTCCTGCTCTTGCCTCCAGTCGAGGCTTTGTCGAACCTGCTGCTTCATCGACTCCGCAGCATTCAGTATCTCTCTCAGGGGGCTCTGCACACAAACAAGAAAGTCAATCCTTGAAACAAAGCGACTTTGAAGGACAGAAAAGGCAAAAGAGAATCAAAGTTCCTTATCTGACGTCACCACTCCCTTCAAGCACACACGCCTAACGGATTACATGGTTCACAACCAACAGGAACAATGAGTAGCTGGTTTACAAGATGCAAGAAAAAAGGTCTAGGGCTTTTTGGTCAAGTCCTGAGGATCTTCTAGCCACCTGTCCTGACCCAAGTTTTCTCTCTCCTTTTTTCAAGTTCAAGGTGTCAGCATCCGAGCCCAAGGCCGTACCTCCCCGTCCTGTTGCGAGAGGCAGCGCTGCAGCTTGAGCACCAGCACCTCTAGCTGTTCGTCCAGGACCTCCACCGTGCCCTGCAGCCGCACATGGCTCTCCTTCTCGATCCGCTGGAGCGCCTGCACAGCGGAAACAACATGCGTCAAATTTCAACAGAGCGGTCTTTCCTGGTGCGAAACTGCACAGTGGGGACCACCACTGTCCGAACAGAACGCTCTTGACTTGTCCGTAAATGCACCACGGTGGCGACAAGTGCCAACGGAAGTCTGATGCTGTCCAGGAGGTGTATAAAACATGGGTGAGCGCTGGTGCGGCAGCTATCTGAATGCCCCTGAAGCATGCCACTCTGTGATTTATCGCTCCATGATGTTCGGACCACGCAAGACTCCCGAGATCCTCAGAAGCGATGATCCGCTTGCATTTAGCTGTGCATTTCCTTTACAGAGGGTAATAGGTTTGCGCTTGAAAAGGCACAGAGGGCATGAAGTTTCAGAAAGTGCGAGGAAAAACTCTTTGACTTCTGACGTGAAGCAAAAGCTGCCCACCTTTCTTCCTTTTGTACGCTCAAAGGGGCCAACTAAACCATGCTCGAAAGCGCACTCAAAGACTCGGAAGCTTGACTACTGCGGAATGCTTTGCAATACATGACAGTCCCCTCGAACCACGGCACAATCTTGAGTATGTGCCAGCTTGCTTTAAAAGCAGAAATCTTCTAGGAAGAAGGCACTCAAAATCTTCGTTTGGGTACCTTCCTCCAACTCCAGCAGCGACAATCAGAAAGCAAGACGTTTGAATTGTAAGCGGGACACTCTTTCTACGATAACATCAGCCCCTTCCGAACCAGCGAACTTCAGACAGCGGGTTCACTTACCGCCTTCTTATCCCTCGCCTTCGCCGACAGAAACTGGCGGTACCGCAGGTAATCGTCATACCCCGCCTCCCCTTTCTTCGGTGCGGGGCCCTTCCAGTGCGGCACCCCCTCGTCGTCATAATACAAGCCGTTCCGCATTGGGTCTGCCGAACTCGCCCTCAGCGGCAGACCGAAGTTGGCCCCGCTGGCCTTGAGTGCCCCGCTCGCGTTTGCCAACACCTGGGCCACGCCCTTTTCTGGCGCGCCGTTCAGGCGCTTCGGAGTCGACGCCCGTACAACGGGATTGTCCTTCCGCTTGGGGCTGCGCTGCCCGCTCGTGAGAACGGTGCTTGGGGAGGGGGACGGGGAGAAATGCCTCCCCCCTGGAGCGGGGGAAAGCGCGCGGGGGGAACCATCCGGGGTGGTGTGCACTGACTTGGTCCTCCGGAGTTGACTCGGAGACAGGCCCTGCCGGAACCGGGGGGTCTCCGGGGGGCTCGTAGGTGCAGAGCGTGCAACCCCCCCGGGGGTATCCGTGGGAATTCCCGGTTGGACTTTAGGTTTGAGGAGCGGGGGAGTGAGGCCGAGCCTAAGGCCGTCTGGCTTGACGCCTTTTTGCGCCAGGGCAGACGCAATCTTCAGGCAGAGGTCGTCAGGGCTGTTTGAATCGTTCTGGGGGGGGATTGCTGAGACCCGCTGCTGGAATGGGAGGTCCGGGGGGGGACCGTGCGAGAGGGTGGATATGCGTGGCAGCGAGTCCTGGTACTTTGCAAAGTCGGGGGTGTTTCTGGAGTCAAACACGTTGAGGGACCCAAAGACACCGGACCCTTGCAAACCACTGCTTGTGGAGAACGTGGGCACGGGGACGGCTTCGGTGGTGGGGTTTGCGTTTTTAGCTTCCGCTAAGAGCTGGTCGAGGAAGTCTTCCTGCTTGGCTTGGTCGACTTCGAAGAAAGCCCCTTCATAGGGGCCAGCCTGCGCACTCCCCCGACTCTCCTCTCCGGAGACTTGTTGTGAGAAGGACGAGAGGAGGTTCTCCAGCCCGTCCTGCGTGTTGTCCTGGGCACCAAACAGCTCCTCAAGAGCCCGGTTCTTGTCGTCCTGGTTCTCCTGCGCGATGCAGCACCGTCGGTGAGACCAAGCGAACCTCCGGTGTTCAACTTTACCAAGGATGTCTTTGTTCACGCGAGACGCGGCGTCAGCACGCCACAAACAGCTGATTTGGCACATGATACAGGGATGCGGACATGGCGCATTCTGCCCTCCTGAGGATCCCAAACGGGAAGGCATCTACCACAGCACCCTGTGTCATTGTGAAGAGCAGAAAGCAAGGACTGGGATACGTCACTGTCCGTGGTTCAATCTCTTCCAAACCATGCTGGGTGGACAGACTCACACTCCGGACCCTACTGCAGACTGCAGAGACAAAGCTCTAATTTGACATCATCTCAGGTGTTAAGTACATGAGAGTGGACGCAGACTGACGCTGCCAGAGAATCTATCTGAAGCAAGTCATCAAACATTGACAATGTACACATCAAGCAGAATCGCAAGCAGTTGCATCCGCATCGCCGACACCATACGCATTCGCGTGCATCTAGCCCAAGACGACTGGCCTCCTCATAGTTTCGGGAAAACTTACCCCCTGGCGCGCCCCACTATGATCCTGCAACCGGTAATCCTGTTCCGTGGCCCCCAGGAACCCATGCCCTGGCTCCGTCTCCCCTCCGTCCGCGTAGTAGTCCTTTTGCGTCCCCCCATAGCTGATGGCCGGGCTGCTTGGCGTACTGTTGATGTCCAGATCGTCCAGCAGAAAGTCCATGTCATCGCTGTTCCTCGTTGGCAGCCCCGCCAAATCCACGTTGGTCCCCACCCCCGCCCCAAACCCTTCAAACACCTGCTCACCGTCCTCTTGGCCCGACTGGCCGAGCCGGGGATCCCCATTCACCAGGCTCTTCCACCCGCTGAGAGTGACCTGAGTGCCCTCCCAGTCTTCTGCGGAGGCCCCCTGCGCGGCAGCGTTGCTCGGCGGCTTTTGTTTGGGCCGCAGGTGGAGCGTCTCGAACAGGTTCTTCATCCTGGCGCTTGGTTACAGACGCTGCACATAGGGAGTTGGATGTTATCATCACAATCAAGAGGACTCGTCAGTTCTGGCGAGACGGAACAGGAAAGCTTTCGGAGCCCTCCGTCCAGTGGATATATTCTATTTCAACATGCTGCCCTGCTTGTATGCTGCTCTCCCTGCCCTGCTTGTATGCTGCTCTTCTTACAATGATGTTTATACTCAATCCTCGGCAAGGATCTCCTTTAGTCCTGTGAATTGTGGAAGTCCAATGTACTGAAAGACAGAATATTAGCGGACACATCTACTTTATGACGACATACCAGCACGAGCCCTGGGAGCAAGTAGGAACGAAATCAGCAGCCTTGATGTTGAATTTTCCGCACTAGAGCTCGTTCAATGAACAGATTGTCACCAAGTGATGTGCAGATCAGGGGTCGGCGTTACTTGCGACTTCAGAAGGACAACATACTCCTGTGGAATTATCCCTCCACCCTTTTGCTGCAAAAGTGTGCTGCTTGCCTAGGAAACTTCACCAAATTCAGGTTGTTCAGACCATGTGTCCTATCTTCAACACATTCTTGTAGAGCTTTGGAATCGTAACAGGGTTGAAAGTGGTCAATGATGCACCGAGGTAAGAACAAAGGAAAACTAGCATTCTCCAAATACTAAAAGGCAGCTCGCTGAATCAACTTGACCAGAATCATTTCCGACTTCTCCGCACAATTTTACCCTGGCACACACTCTGCAATCTTGAAGAGCGTACTAGAGGAAGTCGAAGAGCCCCTTCGTGCAGGCGAGTTGAGCTACACACTTACTAGGATTGGCTCCCCACTTCTCTCCACAGCGCCTACTCCCAAGAGAATTTCTTCCTATAGTCAAAACTCATGCTGCTGAAACTGCACCTCCTCACTGCCACATGCCTGCATTGCAAAGCTCCGCCCTGAATTGCTTCTAGCTGGAGGAACAAAGTGGCTTCAGCCTAGGGCTCACAGCCGCTCATCGGAGTCACTGAGGAGAATGCGACGGAAGAGAACACCCTTGAGGAGTCCGCGTGCGCGGTACGTGCCTGGGCCTGTAGGCTGTACCTACATTGCGACAATTGTGCTCAAGCCTCAAGTTGTCTCTGTGACTGCGTTGACACGTGATGTGAAGATGAGACTTGGAGTAGCGTTTGCCGACTTGGCAAGTGTCATTGGATGTCCACATCTTCCATCCAAAGCACACTGCCCGGCCGGGGACTACTGCAGGTTTGGTATCTCAGTTAGGTCGATTAAACCCTCTTTGTGCGGCCAGACCACGCTGGGTTCATGGTGGTTAAGAGTCCCCCGCCGCCCGGTACCAGCAGCGACCGAAAGTCGAGGGCGCGGTACGCTATTGCTATCATTCTAGTTTCCAGGTTGACCTGCCTTTAAACGTCGGACACGTGTCAATGGAATGATCGCGGTTACGCGCGTGTACGGTCGTTTGACGGCCTTGACACTCTCCCCGGTCGCCCCTTTCGCACCGAGTTTGGGCGGGGCCACCTGTACGGCACGGCGGAACTCCGACGGACTCGGGAAGGCTACGGGCGCGCTGCCGGCCGCCTAGAAGTTTGGCGACTGGGCAGTGGGATTCCGGCTGGCCACACAGGGAGTTGAAGCTCAGTGAACTTGTGAAGGCTCCGGCATCCCAGGCGCACCCGGTTGGGTTTCTGACACCGAGCTTGCCTTTACCGTCGGCCCGTCGTCCGGGATCCCTGACACCCAAAACCGGGCGCTTTTAACTTTTGGTCAAAAGTGATGAGTCTGAGGTCAGTTGACATCATGCAATTTCTTCCCTGCGCCTAGGTGGAAGTTTGCGGGCCGCAAGTGCCAGCCCTACGTTGGTCAGGGATAAAGTGCGCGGCCATGTGGATAGGGTTTCGCCTTCCTTCCTCAGGCTCAGGCGGCTCCACTCCATGGCTTCTAGTACTACAGACCACAGCTGGGGCGTTGTGGCGAAGTTTGTATGATCACCCCTCCTACTATTACTTCTACTAGCCAGACTAGCGCTGGTCGAATCCTGTGGCCTGAGTCCTGACTACAACTCCTCTCTTTTCCTGACTCGTACAGGACTCGTACAGGAAGGAGGGCCGTGCACTTTTCTAGGGGCTCTCTGTAGTGGATCAGCTGTGCATTGAGTTGCTTCACGCTTGTTGTATTTGTCTAAATGACTGTGAACAAATCCCGTCATGCCACCCTGCTTAGCAACTGCTCGCCATTCAGGGTGAAGCCATTGGCAAGAGCTGAAGCTGACGGCACACTTTGAACACAGAGATAGCTGAAGATCCGAGAACAAAACTGCGGTGGCAATGGAGGACGACAACGAAGACATGGACCTGGATTTCAATCCTTTTGACTCGACGTTCGAAAACTTTGAGGAGTTTGACAGCCACGACGTGGAGTCCCTCGCAAAGGAGCTCCACTTCTATGAGGAGAAGGCCGAGTTCCTGGCAGGGCAGGGCGCGCTCGAGGGCTTCTCTATCAGCCGGGATGCATTCTCGATGCAGCACGATTACTTCTCGGAGGACGTCGGCCATTTGGACGCGAGCATCCAGGCGCAAAGAGGTGCCTCGCCCTCCGAATTAGACCTGCACTTTGCTGACCAAAGTCTCCGGAGCTTTTCTGAGGGGAAGAAGCAGCTGGGGGCGGGCCCGAGCAAGAGTGCGGAGGACCAAGGGGTGCAGCGGACAAACAGCTCTGGATCCCTGAAACGAACGCTGTCGGAACAAGCGGGCTACTCTGGGGCCGCGCACTCGGAGGAAGCCCACTCCCGAGGCTTCAGAGGCCTCGGTTTCGGCCAGGAGATGCACGCGGTTGAATCGGACGTCTTCGGGCGGAGCTCGGACGCGTTTGGCCGAGGCTCTGACGCATTTGGGCAGAGTTCGGACGCTTTCGGGCAAAGTTCGGACGCTTTTGGACAGGCTCACGAACGGGGCTCCAACGGCCTTGGGCAACGTCCGGATCATGACGACGAGGGGCAACCGCCCGGCAGCCAATTGCATCCGCTAGCACCCCTAGAAGACTCTCTTTTAGGCTCACAGATAGAGCCGCGGGCGGGCGAGGCCCCCGCTTCGTTCAGCAACGACGACGACGCGCTCTTCCGCTTTGACACCGACAGCAAGCCGTTTGACTTTGGTGCTGCTCTGTTTGGCCACCTGCCGAATGGGGCGACGGCCTTGCCGGGCCTGGAGTCGGACTCGCCGCAAGAGCTGGCGGGACGGGGGGAGGGGGGCAGCGGTGGCCTGCTAGAGCCAGGTCTTTTGACCACTGAGGAAGCGAACGAGATCACCAAGGCGAACATGTGGGTCAGTTCTGACGGCGACGATCGGCCAATTGGGAGCCTGGTGAGTAAACCGTCTTTCGAAACGGAGCTCAGCTCGCAATGACATGGCAGATTGGAACTAGGCTTGAGGGAATGTGGTTGGTCGCGCAGGAAATTCGTGTTGGTGGTGATTGGGCGGTCCTTCTGAACACGGTTGTGCTTTTGTGAAGTTGAACGAGTGTGAGTGTGCTGCAATTCTGCTTGGTTGGCTGTGGTTTATTGCCCCAGAAAGCTTTGTTGTTGATTCCGTTGAATTGTTGAGGCTGCATTATATTGTTGGGGATGGTCACATTCTACCACCACGACTGGAAGTGCTTGGAGGGAGGTGGTGCTATTGCGAACCAGCATCTATGAAGTGACGTCATTCAGTATCTTATCATACTTACATCTTTTCGCTGTTTTCTACGTATAGATCTCTCTGTGAATTTGCTTGAGATAGTGATGGTCTAGGTCTTAGATGCAAAGTAAGAAAGTATCCCGGTCAAGTAGTGCGTGCACTTTTACCACCATTAGATGAAGTTTCATCTAGGGCCATGCTATGGTCGCTCTTTGCAAGTTGTTGCCAGGTTGCCTTCTGAGATGCAAAAGCATGAGCTGGCTCTGCTAGCTTCTTGCTCTGTGCAATTGAGCTTCGCCGTTGGGGCCCTAGATTACATACTTAGAGGCTCCTTTTGGAGCTGTGTCATGAACTTGCCCTTTTGCAAAGCTCGAGTGGAGTATTTTCTCATACCGCTTTGCAACGTTGAGAACTCGACCCAAATACAACGGTCTTGAGAGCCCACCCGCTGTCAGTCTTGTAGATACAGCAGTCATGCAGATTCGAGTATGCAAGTTGGATAATGGTCAAGGATATGGGCTCAGCTGTGGCCTTGACTGCTCAGGAAACTCGTCAGAATCCACATCAGGTGGCAGCATCATTTTCCCAAGTCACATGCTAAGTGGCAAGCTGACATTGGTTTGCAAACCGAGTCTTGAGTCACCTCTTCCAATTCTAGCTGTTCAGCGGCGTCGATTCCGTTCCCATTCATAAGCAGGGTCAACACTGCGAACCCAAAGCTCAGACTTCCGTTCCCATTCGTTAGCAGGGTCAACACTTGCGAACCCAAAGCTCAAACATCAAGCGACGGAAGGTTTCAGACGTCATTCTTCTGCTCTGATCATGCAGAAGGAGGCCAAGTCCGCAAAGAAAGCAGGGTCGTCCGGCAAGAGGAGTTCCCGGAAACGCAGCGCCGCGGCAATCACGAAGAAAATGGACCCTGTGGAAGCGGCCCGGCTAGAAAAGAATAGGATCAAAGCGCAGCGGCACCGCGACAAGATGAAGGTGAGTGACCAGATAGCTGCTTTTTCTTGTTTCCATGCGACTTTTGCTCTGTTTCTTATTTTAGTTCCCACAGGACGACAGTGCTACAAAGCTCTGCGGCCCTTGAAGCCTTTTGTCTTCAGTTGCTCGAGACAAGTAGACTGTTCAAAGTGGCAGCTGCTGAAACGAGAATTATGTTCTGTTGAAAGGGATCTCAGCATAGAGTGCAACTGAGGGATGATTGCTTTGCATCAAAAGCTGTACATGTCGATGCATGAAAGCCCAACTGTTGCTTCCAGGAATAAAGAACTTGTGACTCCAAGGGAAGACCGATGAAAGCCTCTTCGGTTGTGGAACTAGACTCCGTTTGCATATCGCATCGCGACTTTCACAGCGCCAGGATTTCAATGACCCTTCGTTGAGAAGAGAGAGCCGCTTAGGAATCTGTACAGCCCGGTGAACGTACGAATCAGGAAATTACGTGAATTTGGAAACAGTTCGAGCCTCATTTTTTCGTGTCCTGCTTTGCTCTTGCCCAGAATCGCTCCACGTAGTTGCTGGCATATGAAAGTTCAATGCTAAGCTCGAAACGGGGTATGCTTCCATCGTTTCTGACCCACTGTGGTTTTGCGCTAACCCTCCCCAATCAACCGCAGGCTTGGAAGTAGGACACGAAGCTCGAGACAAGTACGCTTCTTCCCTCCTTATTTACTGGTATATCGCGCTAATCCGCCCCTGTTAACCGCAGGCGTGGAAGGAGGACGTGAAGCTGGAGAACGAGGACCTGCGGGCGCAGCGCGCGAAACTGGCGGAGGAGCGGGAGGAGCTCGCGGTGGGGAAGGCGAGCCTGGAGCGGGAGAAGAACGAGATGGAGAAGACGATGTCGCGGCTCCAGCAGGAAGTCTCCCGGCTGCAGTCGGAGAACGCGCGGTTGTGGAAGGAGAACCAGGAGCTGAGCGAGGCAGCACAGGCCGGGCAGCGCCAGGTGCGCAACGCAATGTTCCTTTGGCTTGGGGTTCTCGGTCTGGGTTCTGAGTTCCGGTTCTGGGTTCCGGGTTTGGGTTCTGGCTTGCCTCTCTGAATCTGGTTCTGAGCTTGGACTCTGGTCCTGATTTCTGGGTGTCGTTTAGGTTTTGGTGTGGAGGATTTGGTGTCAGCTCAGGTAATCAGGTTTCGAAAGCTCCAAGGCTTGTGAAGACTTTGCATCGGCTCTTCATGCTTTGTGGAGCGCAATATGTCTCGCTTGTCAGTGGTTCGAGTTCCGCTTCAGGCTTTGAGGTTGTCTGAACGGTCCATCTCATGGCTTACTGACGTTCGATGGGCTCTCCATCGAACGATTTGTGGTCAGGTGAATGCAACCAATGGGCATTCGAAGGCAATGTGATACTTGCTGTTCAGCCACGCTGCTTGGTTATTCATCCTTCCAGCGTAGGACAGCGCGCTTGCTTCTATCGATTCACTGTCCGGTGTGCAAAGTCCAACGTATGTAGGTTCTAGCTAGGCTGGCAACTTGCGAAGCAGGGGGAGTACCCCAAACGCCTGGCCATGCTATACAGAGAGACAGATTGATTGAAATCCTGACGATTGTGCTTGCGGCGGGTTTCTCCTGACTCCTGAGGCATTGCCGCTTTGCTGTTTCCCGTGCAATCTGTTTGACTGTTGGGGGCCTGTGATCCAGTTCTGTGCAACCTGACGTTAGAATGAAGGAAATGGTACGTGCGGGCCGGCCTATTCTGTAAGGGAGCAGCGGCCGGTCAAAAGAACTCGCACCGTCGGCAGTCGTTTTCCAGCATGACCGTAGCTTTCGCACGAGTGCCCGTTCACACCACACATGTCCGGCTCCGCTCGATGGCCTCAGTTTGTCGTAGGATCACAACCGACCTCACCCGGGAATGCATCTCTCGATTGGTTTGTAAGTTTTTCGTGGAACTAGAAGCATTGTGGCGGGTACCTTTGAATCGGTGCCACCGTTGCCTCGCTCTCCTTGCTTAGTCAAGTCCTCTTTTTGCTACTTGCAAAACTTCCCCACAACCGGCTCCGCGGAAACGTTCGACGGTTTTTTCTCTCTCTATTCGGACCTCCCGTTCAAAACCTGTATGGAGGTGCGATCGGAGGCTCTAACGACTAGCTAATGTGATGCCAAGCGGTGCTTTTGCACAAGCCGGGGAGGTTCTCCACGTGGCGGACCTCCATAAGCTCAGCGACCGGTGATATCTCGTGCCCTGTAGAGTGCCTACCAGTGGAACAGCCGAAACGCTGACGCCGGCATGACGGAAGCGATCATTCGTTTTTCCAGGCCGACACAAAGCTCCTGCGCGAACCGAACGGCAGGGAGAGCCCTCACGTGGCGGAGCTAGACGACCGATTGACTCTCCGTGACCAAAGGAAGCTCCTTGTTGAAAGCGATAACGTGGGCATGACGTATGCAACCTTTTGTCTTCCCAGGCCGACACGAAGCTCCTGCGCGACCTGAGCGGCAAGGAGGGCCCCTACTTAACGGACCTGAAGGAACGGCTCAGATGTTGTTTTGAAAGAATGGAAAGTAGACATGACGTGAGCAAATTTTGCGTCTTTCCAGGCCGACACAAAGCTCCTGCGCGAGCCGAGTGGCGAGGAGGGGCCCCACGTGGCGGAGCTCCAGAAGCTGAACGACCGGCTGAAGGAGCAGAACGGCAAGCTGGAGGAGGAGCTTGCGGTGGTGAAGGGCGCGTTTGCGGCGCAGCTCCACACCATGAGTAACCTGGTGGCGATCCGGCCCCCTGGCCGGGATGACGAGGGATGACGTCACAGTTTCATCTTTTCCAAAGGGGCTTTGATTGTGAAGACCCTCCTGAGAGGATTTCAATCCCCCGGGCTTCGCCGAGTAGTGATCCTCTGATTTCGCCGCTTATCGTGGCTAGACACTTCGGGGTTCAAGAAAGGTTAAGGTGGGCGTCGCCAAAGTTTCGGCGCGCGCACACCCCGAGGGTCCACCAGGCATTGCTACGCAGTGCGAGTTTTAAGATAGGCCAGGTGGGCTTTGTTAGAAAGTGTGAATTCTCGACTCGCGAGTGGCTATCCCTGCTACGAGACACGGGTTGTTCTCTTAGGCGCTGCTAATTAAGTGCGCGCTCAAGAGCATGTACAGAGTTGCAGAGAGCAGTCAAAAGATTTGCTGCCAGGCGCCGGCCGCGGGCTCGTTCCGTTCGCGCGGCGGTTCCCCCCGGCATGCACGGTGCCCGTTTCCGACCAGATTGACTTACTCGATAGGACAAAGATACGAACTTTCCTCACAAGAAGGAATTTGATTTTGATCAGCCTGTTTTCTCGTTTGCATTGTGCACTAACTTAGAAGCAACCAACAATGGTGAAGTTGTGGGGGGAAGTGAGTTTCTTTCAGCGCTCCATGATTAATCAGTCCCGCTGAGCACAATCCAGCCATGCAGTCACCCGTCCAGGCGTTATTGGACGACTTGCACTCTCCACCAGTTCTACAAAGTTCCGAGTTCCAGACATTGAATGAGCACAAATGATTCAAGTCTCTTCATTGCGCACAGTGAATCTTGATCCAGTGAGACATGACCGTGATCTAGTACATGAGAGATGCTTCTAGGCCCGCTATCGAAATCAGCTTTTCATGGACTCATTGGTAAATTACTTCATTGACAAGTACTGACTCTGACATGATCATTCGCCATATGCGCGCAAAGCCGCAGCTATATGTGGAACATGCATGTCAAACCGTCATGTGATGAGTCAACTTCTATATATATAGGGCCAGATAGATTCTTAAATTGGGGGCATGTGCTGGCAATTCATTCTCATGGCGTCGGATAAATCATGTATATACATGGTACCATAGATCTCCGTCCATCTCGGATCAGTTTGAATCGAGGAATGATCCTCGGTGATTGGCAATCATATACTCTATCTTTTCTCTTAACTGCAGATCAAAATTCAATGCCGTACTATGCGTCAACATCGTCGCGCTAGCCTAGTCGATATTCGGCTGACTGTTGTACCACAGTGTCACGTCCGACGACCTGCCTCCAGATCGATGATTTTAGTCGATTATGCAGATTCTGCTGATCTCTTCTGCAGCCCAAGTTAAGCCAGCTGAGCATCGACTCGTTCCTGTCATCTTTCAGAATCAAGGATCATGTTCGCGTGCGCCACTCTACTTGAAACACACCCGGCTGGCAAGGCTGCCCACATTGCACGGGCGGCCACCAGCTTCCACTCTAGCATACTCTCAATCTGTTTTTAAAGTAATAACTCCTATGAATGTCCTACTCGTTTAGTTCAGTCTATCGCTGCACTGATAAGTATGTTCCCAATGACTTTGGCACTTTGCCATCCTAGTAGAAACTCAAGATTTCAGGCTTGTCATGAAATCTAGTCCCTGCTGTGCTGCTTCCCGCTTTGCCTTCTTATGGTTATCGCCTCGGCCGGTTCCTAATAGTTGCTTTCCCAGGTACACTTCCGCTTTGAAGACTCGACTCCGTAGAATCGGCAGACGTTCGATTCTGAATCAAGACGCAACACACGTTCAGTAACGCTCCACGAAGACGTTCAACAAGGATTCTCAAGAGCACTACCTTCACAGAGTAGATTTCTGCAAGACAAGAAATAAAGCACAGAACAGCTAGTGGAAACAATGGGATACAAAACCATATCTGTTTTTGCGCTAAAACAATCGCTGTAAAGTAGTGTTTTTAATAGGAGATGATAGCCCTTTCCCTTGGATCACTGCAGAGTGGTGCTACGTCGTCTGGCAGACTCTCTCTGGAAGAATGTCGCGAAAGCGTTGTCAACCCTACCTGTACTCTGGAAAGCAGTTCGCGTGTGCCACTATCAACTCTTGGAGCAGCGATACGGGATCCCCCTGCAACCAGATGTCGAACAGGGGGATCATGAGAAGCTTGTTCAAATCTAGCATGAAGGTCACTCAGTCCATCCAATAATTCAAAGGACGGTGCAGGCACGTGTCGACCAGGGGGCAATCATGAGGATTCTTGAACAGTCTGGAGAATCTTGCGGTTCGATCCGTCCGCCTGATGTTTCTAATAACGCTGCGCAGGGAGCAGAGAGAAAGAAACAACCGCGTCCAATCATGAGAATGGTAAGGAGGGAATGAGGTGCTCGAATCCGAGAGTATGCTCTAGTATCTCTTGAATCCAACAGGCTTTGAAGGGCCATTACCCGTTACGAGGTACCTTATTCGTACCAAGTCAGAAATGGTTGAGGGGACTAAGAGCTAACTGGCTCAAGGTGGGGCGCTGGAGTTTTGGCGTGAAGTAATGCAGGTCGACGACGAGAATTGACGACCAAAAAGTTTGGAACTCGCTGACGAAGCGCCTACCGTGGTAGACCGTGCGTGCTGCTGAAGGAGTGGGAGGAGCTTGTCGAGTACTAGGGTGCTGGCTACACCGATGCCCTGTACACGATAACGTGTGAGATAGAAGCCAAGATTGTGATTGTGCTCAAGTGAGCCTGTGTTCAGCGTCGGTCAAGTAGCAGTGACGTTCTCGGACGCGCTACTAACGTGCTTGTTGGATTCAGCGCCGGAAGATACTTCCGACAGATACCAGGTTATGCTCGCTAAGGAGAGTGCCCGAGGGACGGGGTAGGGTTGGTTTGAAGGTTGAGGGTGGGAACAGATGCGGCGTGTTGTTTCTTGCCCTTGTGTCGTTCGTGCACCCAAGCAGTTTCCTTAGTCAACATGCTCTTAGTCACTGTGAAATGATGAAGAAGTATCCGCTTCCGTCCTTTTGTTTTGTTGCAGTGCACAAGAAGCTGCGTTTGACGCATGCTTATCTTGGAGGGAGACGCGCATCAACGATCCAAACCTTCGGAAACTCAAAGTCTCTACTGAAAAGATCGAAGGCTTGACATTCGACACTTGCTGAAACAACATGTTAGACGGTTTGGCGCTTACCCTTTCCACGAAGACCCCACCAATAATTGTTTCGACTGTGTCCGACATCAGATTCTCCTGCACCAGAATGCATCTGACGTAAATTGCTATAAGCAGAAGAAAGGCGCCTTTGGAAGGCGATAGCGGAAGTTAAACAAGCTCGCGATCGAAAGGTCGGCTTGATCCGGATCTTTGCCGCTCAGGATGTCAGGAAACAATCATTGCCGCTTTTACTTACATGAACGTGTGAAAAGAAGGGCTGTCACGATTAGCTCAGGTATGTATACTGGAACATCGAGGAATCGTACCGAGACACTATTCCATTTCAAAGATGCAGTTTGAAATGCAGTGATTAGTCACCCAGACAGAATCGAAATAATGAATTGCATCTCGACGAGCATCGAAGCCGATTCGCAGCGCAACAGAATGCATGCGGAGGCCGCAGAAAAGTACCAGATTGCGGTCAGCGGGAGCTTGAAGCGAGACACAAAGTGTTGCTCTGAAACGCCTTGATGCAACAAACGTGACGTCGTCATCCATCCTTATTTTACAAAGGCCGATCTCCGGAGCAAACAAGCATCCAAAAACCAAACAACCATCATTGTCAGAACAGAACGTCAGGTTGTGGAGAGAATCGTCGTGTGCTCCTCGGATAGCACCAGTTCGCCAGTACAATGGCAGTGGGACCAAAATTGATTATAGACTCACTACCGCTGGGGCATGCCAGTGCGGCTTCTTGGTTGTTGGCTTCTGGCTCTTGAGATCGGGGTCGCACAGAATGCGGTCAGCCAGCTTCAAAGGCCCCAGCCCCACTACCCCCATGGCCTGGTTGCTGCGGAGATGATGCACGGCCTTTGATATGTTTCCCTGCAACAAATAAGCCGAACGGTGCGACGTGTTACACCTTTTCTTTTGAGCCTTTCTGGTGAAGAGGGACGCGAAAAACAGGGGTGGAATGCTTGAGCGTCTCCTTCATGCCGGTGACGAATCAGAGATTGGAAAGAGCGTAAGTGAGAAAGTTTTTGACATGCAAGCCCTGTTTCAGCTTAGCCGCTTCACAATCCGGGGAAAGCTACAGCGGGGTCATATGCAGAACTTTGTAAGTTGCCATTTCAGAACGGAGTGCCGTAACAGGTCTGGCAGCTGACAAGGGTTCAGGTGGTCGGACTGGCCACGGATTCACACTGAGCCTTTGTTGTTGTCCAGCTCGTAAACGACAGCAATCGAAAGGCTTTGGTGCGGAACATGATTGCCTATGAAAGTTACTGCATCACAAAGAGTGTCAATGAGCTCGAACAACAAGTTTGGATTGATATGTCCTCCTTCAACAATGGCAATCACAGTCTTGCCCTGCGCTTGGAAATTCTCACAGGTGACTGGCCGGCCGTTGAATATCAATTTCAAGGCTCCACCTGAAATGCTCGAGAGAAGAACAACATCTGAACAAGGGCAGTGTGCAACAAAGTCAAGTTGAGGCAACGTACGATTGGGCCGTTTCCGGAGGTCTCCACGAGGTAAGTGGTGAGGACGGAGTTGAGGACTGCATCCCCGAGGAACTCCAGCTTGGTGCGCACCTGGCAAAAATGGTCACAAATCACAAATAAGAAACGATTACCTCGGGACTTTCCTAAGATACCTGGAGAGACTGCAACGGTTGGGCCATGAATCGGATGCAGCTTCTATAGGCAGGCAGGCATCACCTTCACTGAACTTGCAAGGGTCCACTTTTGTCACGTCAAAGAACCTTTTGCTCGTCTTTTTCGTTGCCAAGCCCTTCCAGAGAGAGTCTTGCTGCATTTCAAATTTTCTATTGGTCAGCCAAGGCGCTCACCGAGCGGAACCCCGCCGTTCCGTGCACTGCCTCCTCCCCAAGAAGGTTTGCGGTCAGAGCGGAGTTGTAGTAGCTCTCATGTATGAGTGTGGCAAGGATCAGCTGCTTACTGACATCTCGGATGCCAAGACCATCAAAGAATTCCTGCAACGAATTTGGGACCAAAAAGGGCTTTGAAACGAATCCACAGTTCAAGTACATGTATACCACCCTGAGGTCTTTGCACCCTCGTCAATCTATGGGTTAGCCTGACCTGCAAGGGGTTCTGTTGCAAGCACCATGTCAGATCCTCGTACTGTCCTTCATATCTACCACAGCGTTTCAAAGAGATAAAACTTGCACAACTGAAGGGAATTGCAGCGTTGCGAAGTTGACTCAATACGCAGTATACAGCCCCAAGTTCCACAAACTCACTTGCGAGTGCTTCAAAAAGCGGGGAGGCAACTTCAGTGTCTCGGTTTCTGGGAGCTGCCACCAGATGGGGACTGCAACAGAATTTATGGGGACCCCTTTGCCTTCATGGAGAAGTGCACTTTTTTCTTGATGGTGGGGTGGTGTGAATGAGGACGGATTGAAAAGTCTCTTCGTGGATGCTACGGCCCCTTCCAGCTCCTGGAACCGCAATGCTGCCTCGTTGTTCTCATCGCTTATTGAATGATCATCATATTTGTCGCCAGTGTCTTCATCTGGATCTCTGTGCTCCACGGAAGGCACCACCACGGTTTGCAGGCCCGCTAGTTGCAATCTCTGCACTGTTGATGGTGTTGCAGCGAAGGGCTTTCTAAATCTACTTTCAAATTGACCAACACCGCCAAAGCTTAGCCTAGTAGCCTTTCCTGCGGCCTGCTGCAAGCTGCCTGTGGTGCTGGCATTGCCATGAGTACTCCTCCTTTCTGCTAAGTGCGCCAAATGTTCCACAGAACAATTGGTGGAATCTCTGTAGGTTCTTTGTGCTGTTAAGACTGCAAATTTGGAAGAATCTTTGACAGTTTCCGCAACATGAATGTTCCTCAAGGAGACTAGAGAGGTACCACCACCGGGACGCACTTTCGCAGACGGGCAGGTGGCATCCAAGGTGACATCAGCAATCCCTTCGTCAGAACTTCGATAGGCACTGCCAATTCCGTCAATTGAGAGCTGCAAGCACCCGCATTGCTTGAAGCCATGCGTGAGCAGCTGCATCTTAGACCGTTGCATCTTTTCAGTGCTTTCGAGTCGATAGGAGGAGCCTTTGCAAAGCTCGGAGTCGCAGCCTATGAGTAGTACGATCATGCGATGACAATAATACCCAGTGGCAGTACAGGTCGACCGCAGGGCTTGCAACCAACTTTCACCGGTGCCGGCTGTCTACCGGCCCTCCTACATTTCTACCGGCTGGCCACACGGGTCAAAGCACCGGGCGCCGGTTTTGCCTAGGCGCTCCGCACTTTTTGCCGGCTATCCAGCCGGTGGGGTGCCTTCGGCACCGGTGCATCTGTCATTTCTGCCGGCCAGGTCCAGCTTAATCACCGGTTCGTGACAAGCACTGGGACTCGACCGTCTTCCTGCATGCGCGCGTGGACCGAAAAACCTTTCCAGCCACTCACTTGCACTCGGGCAAGTATAGTACAAACTTCAAAGAACTCAGTTATAAAAGTGTTAACAGGCAAGTGTTACCTGGGCCAACAGTCTGAGCCGCACGATTGATGTTCACCCGTACCACAAGCTGGACCGTGGATTGAATCTCCGAAAGCTTGTGTTCAAATGCTTGTACCGGGGAGCCAAACAACTTCATTGCGGTACCTAGTGCCTATCACTTTAAACTACCTAGAGATAGCTGCGGAAGCCCGGGGTACGAAAATCCGTCTTCCGGTCAAAACCACCGGGTGAGGTAGGCAAGCCGTGCGAGGGCGTTAGTACCGGGGTTTGTACTTTTGGCGGGGGCTAAGGGGCTAAAGAGATTCCAACCAAGTCCGGTCATCTAAGCCAGGCACTCTTAGCATTCACCCGACTGTGATAGGTAGGAGGCTTGGTGACTTGGTTTGCGTCAACAGCCGTGGTACCGAGCAGTTTTGCCGGTCAGAATGCATAGACACAGAAGATTCCAGGGGGTTGGAACACTTGATGTTCACACTTTTACAACTGAGTTCTTGACCTTTTTGCGCCACTCGGATGGCTTTTCTGATTCACGTGATACCTAGGCCGTCCGAATTTTATTTCCGGTTTCCTGTCCACCCCCTCCGGGGGTGGGTCGGTCGGTCGGGAGTATCTGATAAATATGCCCGAGCCGCGGCAATGGTTATATTTGACTAATACCATTACCGCGCTCTATTTAGGTAAGTACCTAGGTATGTACCGGGTGATGGATGGGTACTCAACAGGTACCTACTGCCAGGTACCTAGGTCCTAGACTCACGAGTCGTAACTTGCCGTACAGCTCGGACTCGGCGGGCCCGAGGAGCTCCCGGGGAGTCTGTAGGCCGTGCAAATAAGTCCATCTACCTCGACCGAACTGTCTGACCTGTGCATGCCCGGTGCCTGGAGATCTCCTGGAGACGTGAATGACCGGTTGTCTGTATCATAGGTGCACCAAAATCGGTGCAATCAAGACCGAATCTCCCGCCACTTACGGAGTCCGGGGAGTCCTGGGATGGCAAATCCGTCACCTGCGTCCCCTCAAATTCATCGCCCGGAGAAGGATCGGTCGCGGCGTCACGACCGAAATAGCCTGGGGAAATTTTGGACGGCAATTTCGTCTCTCTGCAAACAACCGATTTGTATATGAAGAAATAACACCCGAGCAAATTCGGTCTTATTCCGACCGAATCTCTACGGCAAATTCAGCGTGCTATAAGTGGATAAAAGATTGAAGTGGAATTGTTTGTATGTTTTGACTTCGCAAGGATTTCACGTGATCACGTTGCTATTCATGCTATCTAAGTGACAAAGTGGAGTACTACGATGTATCGTATGCCTCGCTCACTATTACAACAACTTCGCTTAACTATTTATATGCACTATTGCAACTATGCAATATCGTCAACCAATGATGTTATAGTATCCTTTCAACTTATTGATACGCATGATCGTAACATGCATACTTGAACGTTGGGAAGTGTCAATTATTCTACCTTACATATTTTGTCTATCAATTTGGCGCGTCGTATACATGCCAATTTGAATTGCTTGAACCTAGTATATAAGATCGATATCAAAGTTAAGGGCCGTATGCGGTTCATGGCACTTCGGCATCATTCGCAAATGTTCGGATAGTTCGACAATGTTGAACCAGTGACCGTGTCAACTGTCGGTCGTTGTTTTGTTTGTAAGGGGATCATGTGTGCCGTGTACTATTGTATATCATCAAGTAGCCTCTACGATCATCCATGTTTTTTTATGTTGACTCCCATGGTCACCGAAATATTGGAATCAATCGTCAAGCGAGCAATGCATGCTAAATCGGTCGTATGGATAATCGACCGATATAGGTACTACAGTTCATGGCCTGAACCCTGCCAATTCGGTGTTCCTCGCGACCGAAATCCCAGCATGTTAGCGAGGGCCTATGCACAATCGGTCGAACTTGTAGGCGACTGATTTTCCCTGCGACGCTCGACCGACGCCGCTACCCGGGGGCCAAAGGTACGTACCCAGGCAGGGCATTTCAGTTGGATAGGTAGACGACGGTTCCGCCTCTACCTGTAGGCTGTAGTAGGTAGTAGGTACCCGTAGGTCCCCCGTTGGTACGCGCAGTCAATTTCAGTACGTTGCTCGGCCCGGGCTTCGAAGCCGGCTGCCATACGCAGATCGGCCTAGCAAGAACGACTGATTTTATACATGGCTGGAATTGAACTTGAAGTCGACTGTCGGCGTACGGCTTGCCGCCGCACCGTACGGCGTACCGGTACCCTGTGCGGGTTACCGTAGAAGCTAGCTGTGCCTCAAACAGAGGTGACGTCTTAGTACGGTACCTACTTTTCCTGTGCAGGTTTCCGCGACAATTGGTACCTGGTACCGTAAAGAAGGTACCCGGGTACAGCGACAGCCCGGCGCTGCCGAGTGCGGCCAGCCCGGGCTCCCCCTTTCGCATGCTTGGAAGTCCTTACAAATGGAGTCCTTCACTAAAATAGGTCGAGAGTAGGCAACTTATGGAGGTTCTCAGCCGCATTTTCAGACACAATCTGACCTTGGGCCTTGCTTTTCTGGGTATAAATTGGTTTTTCCGTGTACAAAAATGGAAATATTATATCATGATTTTCAAAAATTTCCCAAAATTTGGGTCGGTCGCGGACAGGAAACCGGAAATTAAATTCGGACGGCCCTAGTACCAAAAGAGTGATACGACTTGAAACGTGCCGTACCTTCTAGGATACCGTACCTAGGACTATCGCCGTCGGTACTACAAACTTCAAGGCAACACTGGAGGCCAACTTGAAGTACCGGTAGGTCGACGCACAACCTGATACATTACCGGTAAACAACCACATTACCGGTAGGACGGTGGCCAAATCTTGTGCTCATTTCTTTTTGGGCGTACCGTTATACTACATTTCGATATAGGTATAGCATGCATGGTCGATTTGAGCCTTGAGGTAAATGCTTCCATGTATGGCATCCATCGTGAACTTATTAACGATTTGATACGTTGCATGCAACGACTAGACAGAAAACGACGCACATTACAGTAGTCTGATCAAGATCGAAGTGACCATGACAGTAATCCACGCTGTTTCAGCACATTGTCACAGTTTTGAATGGCACAATCTGGTTTCCCAAAAGGTTTGATATTGGTTATCTACCTTGCTCACATGCAAATACATAGCAAGAGAACCAAAGCTTCACTGCTCCGCATGCAATTGATTTTGTCTTGTTGTGACAAAAAATCGTGATTGAGACTGAAGAACCGGAAACTTCTCCAAGAATTAAAACGGACATAGAAGAAAATTCTAAAAGACTACTATTTGTGCCAGTCTTTTAATGTACATGTACAAGCAGGATGTACGGCGATGAAGCTTAGAGCCTTGCAACTACAACAATCAGCTCGAATGTACACCTTGCTTGCACCAGCTTCTCAGACGCATAGCTCCTGAGCTAGTCTTTTAGTCTTCAAGTACTAATAACGACAAACCCCATCCAAATATCCAGGGCCAAGACAAGACTTGACGCTTGCATGGTCGCAGCCACTTTCAACTGCCGCTTCCTCCTGATCAGGCAGCCCTGCTTTGTCAAAGTAATTGGTGCAATTGACAACCAAGAATGACGGGTTACCACGGAACCCTCCCCGCACAGGGAGTGTGCATCATTGCACTTGTAGTTGCGATAGCCACAACAAACAAGGATTCTACCTAAGACAATTTGAACAGAGCCCTCAATCGCGAGGCCGAGCCGCCCACAACGAGCTCAGAGCACGGAGCCGCGCATGGTAATCAGCCATTGCCAGGAACCCCTTCGCAGATTGACGGATGTTAAGAGTACGATGCATCTGCTGCAGGCTCTGCTGACGGAGACTGTCGGCCTGCACCAACAACCAATGGCAATGATGGTATCAAGTATCATTTTGATATATCCAAGTCTGAAGGCCTGGCCTTTCCGTATCCAGATTGCAAAAAACCGACTCTCTCAATCGAAAAACTCAAGCGTCTCAAACGAATATCTGAGTTGTCTTTCACAAACCGCTCTCCTATGTCCCTTGCAATCTCAAGCAACACCGTTCCACCTTCGTTTCAACTGGGACACACCGCAATGGGGCTCTGCGACCCAGATCCTAACAATTAGCTCGATTGGACGTTTCTATTCTATCTCGTCTCTTTAATGCGGCCCCCTCACCTGTCGCACGAACGACTCGAGCGTCCCCAGTTTGCCCATGGCCATGGCCATCTGGCCCATGTAGTTGGCCACGTTGGACGACGCAGACATGTTTCCTGCGCTCAGAGTGTCCGCCAGGCTCTGCTGCAGCGACTCCATGCCCTGGGACAGCGCATCCTCCGCCTGTTGGCTGCTCTGCTGCAAGTTACAAATCGCCATCAGCTGCTGCTCCGTCAGCGGCTCCACCTGCGGGATGATGATCTGCAAACAACGGAGGGCGGGGTGAGATAATCAAGCGGGGCCCAGATCTGAGCAGTCGGATCTGAGAAAAGAGGGATAGACCCTGAAAAGGCCAGGTATTGCAACTGTAAAGGGGCTGGAAGGGGAGAGTCCTCCAGAGAAGGGGCTTTGTAAATGGCTGGCAGACGTGTCTGGACGAGTGCAAGCGCAATATGAGGTTCAACACAGAGGTTATTGGGCAGGGTTGGGAAAGGGACTTCGTCACGTGCAGAGGTCGGGAGTGCTGCTTCTGACAGGATGGAACGTGGCCTCCAATTTCATCAGAGCAAGAGGATTGCTGTACTCAAAGATGCGAGGCAAGGAGAACAGAGAGCAGAAGATTCGAACATGGACAAAGAGAATTGAGAGAGCAGAAGATTCGTACAACGACAAAGAGTATTCAGACGACAGAACACAAACCAACTCCTATTTGCTTGATTCAATGAGGTGTATGGGGCTTCTAGAAACAAGTGAAGGGACACATAACGGGGAGCCACAGAACTTCCGAAAGCCCAGGAGAGGTTTCTTTTCGAGCTCTATGCTGCGCCTTAAGAATGATGTACCAAGGCCACGTGCAATACCTTAAGCATTTCGGATGGCCGGAAACCGCCCATCCACATGAAGCAGCGCTCTGCCGGTGTCTTCCACATCCCCGACACGAGGTGGAACACGTCCATCTTGGCCGCCTGGCTTTTGAGTTTGAAAAGCTCGTCATAGTGCGCCAGACACTGGTCGACCAGCGTCCGCAACTCGTCGTCCGTGGAGCGCTGGTTGACCGCTGTCCGAAGCTCTGATGTCTGCCGGCTGTGCTCCTCCACCCACCGACCGTACTCCAGGTCAAACTGCGCGGCGCCTGCATGCGACGGGGGCCCATTTTTTTGGCGGCCATGATTTTTTCAACGTGTGCAATCAACATTCGGCATCGGTGGTGGTTTGGGACCAAAGAAAGACCAAGCAGCTTTGGCTGGAAAATTCAAGGGCTGGAAAATCAAAGGAAACCATTGACCGGTGACCGGAAGAAAAGCATGGATAAAAAGAAAGGTCAAAATGCACTGTTTTCAGAGGTTGAAAGGCAGAAGATACCGCTAAATGCGGTTCCATTAGGGAAACCCTGTCTGTAAAAAAACTTTGTGACAGGAAACTAGTTCAAAAGGGACAGAAGGCAGACAGAAATGCTTTCCGTACTTCATCCTGCAATAGAAAGACTCGACAGGGTGTACGAAAGGTGCTGGACTGTTGAGGTGAGCCGCTTCCTTGCCCATGATGTGACTTGAACAGTACGAGGGTGATTCTCAATACACAAGCTTGAGCATCTTTACAGAGCATTCAACAGTTGCGACAGAGCCCCAGATTAAGCGAAAGAGAAAGTGGATCACAAAGAAGGCCAACACAAAAGAAGGGGGGGGTGTACACTGAGTTTGCACTGAACATGATCTACATACTGCCAGCTACTTGTCAATTACGCACGGAATCTGCAGGCAACTCTAGCTTCCGACGTACGCTGCTTGGAGGCGCGGCTGGAACCTTGTCCCAGCAAAAGAAATTGATGTTGGAAACAGTCTGGTCACCCAGAAAGTACAAGACGAAGCAAGAACTTCCTGTACAGGGTACCAATCTTGTAAAATCAAATGTGGTAATCTATCACTCCATAAATGTGCTCAGGAGAACATTTGGGGCAAATAAGCAGAAACTTGAGCAGGAGACCTTCTGGGGGGCTCCTTTTAGAAAGGGCAAGTCAATACTATGATCGGTTACTTAGCACAAGAACTTGCATCAAGCAGAATCCTCAAACCCAGGGGAGGAATACCAGACAGGATGGCTGCCACATACCAGGGTTGGGGTTGCTGTTTAGGCCTGGTAGCGTGCCCCCACCGCCAGCCGCGCCGTCCCCATGGTACACACCCTGCTGCCGAGCTCTCTGCAGCTCTTGCTCCAGCTGCTGCAAGCGAATGCGGCTCGACTCTAGTTGCTGAACGTACGCCTTCTTTCGCAGCCGGCTCTTCCTTGCTGCTTCCCTGTTCTGAGCCAGACGACGCAGAGTCTTGTCGGGGCCCTCGCTTTTCTTGTCACTGTCGCCTGGCCTCTTGTTGCTGGGGGAACCTTGGTCCTGTGCACAACCAGCAACATCTCAGCAAGGTCTCATACTCTAGGCTAAATCTGTTGCCCTTTTGAATGTCATTGAAAGCGCCTCAGATGTCAAAAGGATCGGTGAGACATGGCTTGCTGCAAGTGGAAGCAATCAACTTACAGCAGTACAAAAAGAACAGCCTGCAAATCGCAGCTCAGGAAACAGCTAGCAAAGCCATTGGCTGTAGCTGATGTGACAATCTGCTGACAGCTTCTCATACCCGACTTCCACATAAAGATCAGGACGTCCTGTAATGCAGGTCAATCTGCCAGGACAGAAATTCCAACGGAGACTGCGCAACTTGCTGATTTCAAGAGATTAATAGGCAACTGACCTTGTATTCATCCATGTCACCCCCGTCTGACGAAGGTGAGCGCGGGCTCATTGGAGTGTCATTCCAAGCGCCACCATTTGCCCCATTGCCTCTGCCCCCTGTAAATACGAGCAATGACTATCAAAAGCAGGCAGCTGACTTGCAAGCCACTTTTACATCTCCCATCTAACTTGAGCAGCACACGTACTTCTGTCCAACTTATTCTATCATCAACACAACACCTGATGACTTGAGTCCCTTCATTACATAACCAGCTCAATGAATACCCAAAGGGAATGATCCATCATCTCTTTGCAACTCATAACAGTATAAAGTGCTCTACATAAAACATGACAACTCAAAAGCATCCGATGCTCTACATCAAAACCAAGCGCCGCACGTCCCTGTTTACAGCAACATAAATATGCAAGATGCATGAAGGGGCAAAAAACTGACCAACATCATCGTCCTCTGCAATCCCAAAATTCATGGGTGTCCCATCCAGGTCTGCAAGATCGTACGCTCCATTGTTGTCTCGGGGTGCAGACATGTCACCTGCAGCAACATTGAGGGTTAATCTACCAGCATCCCATGATCCAAGAGAAACATTTCTTTTAAACACTGATCTTCTTGGCTGGTGGTCAGAATCAGAATGCACGCCAAAGCATACCTAGGGTTCGCAGAGCTATGACCTCAACAACATAGCCAGAGGTGAATGAAGTCAAATGCTGGTAACTTTCCAGGCCATCTCCGAATGAGCTCAGCTTTCAAACACGGTAAGAAAAGGCAAGCCTGTTTGCCATAAGAACATGAAAGGAAGCAAACCAGAACTCAGACGTGGAATACTACCTAAGAAGCAAAGGCAGCGGTCTCTGCTGAGAAAAATGAAGAGTCAATGTGGATAACGATGGTAATGCTATGTAACTGCCGCTGGTGAAAAATGATTCGGCAGCTGATGCTTTGTGACGCACATCTCAAAGCTTCTGTTTCTCTACCATGCAGAGCAAATGCAGCCTGCGGATGCCTATCTGTAGTGACATGCAACAGCTGGCAACTCTATACGGTCCCTGCTATATGCCTCCATGGTGTGACTGAAATGTATGCTGCTCAAACAACTTACTTGTTTTCTGACTTTTGCCACTGAACACTTCGCTGTTAATCCCAGCAGCCAGTGCTGGCGTCAAAGTAGACGCCATAGCTGCTCCAGAACTACGAGATGCCTTTCAGCGGATTGGATTTAGCCTCTGAAGACCACTCTGCTTGAGCTGCGTAAGGCACATGAGCGTGTGACCAATGCCTCGCTACTCTTAGCCTATTCTTTCCAGGATAGTGAAGGCACGTGCAAAATTTGACCCACAGTCCCCTAACTCCCCAGCTAGTGCAAATGCCCCAGCAAGCCTCACAGACCCTTCCCTATTGCCCTCACCAACCTCACCCTGGCCGCAAAACCGCCAGCCCTGCCTTGCCTGCTGCAGAAAGGTAGTGCCGCCTGTGCGCAAGAAGCTCCCTCTACTTGCGCAACACCTGCCAGCCACGTCTCTCCTCCAGGTGTTGCTCAGGATCGAGTCAGAGAGCTGAACTGACGGTCGGGAAAAAATCCTGTCCTCCTTCCTCCTTTTGAAAGCTGCTTACGTCAGCCATTTGTACTGCTCCCCGGTAGGTTTTCTACCGACTCAAGTGCCCAGCTTGATGCGCCTGCTTGCAAGGTGGTGACATCACCACCTAGGGAGGGTCAGAAGCCCGGTAGGGTTATGTAATCGGTTGGGCGAAGCTTCATGACGCCTTCCAGGTTAAAGGAAAATGGTCCATGTTGGTCAACGGCGCGGTTAAGTTCGTTGTCAGGAGGCAGGAACACTGGCTTGACACTGTTGCAAATGTTACCCCAACTGTTGTTACATATGGTTATCAGTGTCAAGCCCAGTTGCCCAGTAGGTGAGATAGTCCGTACAGAAAGTGCCCGCCCAGATTTTCGGATGGTGACATATCAACGGCACAAGATCAAATTATTTGGCATCGAGCGGACAGAGACGCAAGGATCTCGGTACATGACACTAGTGCCGATGTCAACGACTTTCCTAGCCGTTGTGTCATTAAGCCGGGAACTCGACTAGTCACGCGTGTAGAGAAACTAGCAACGCAACGATCAAGCAGGTCCGGTCCGCAAGCTCGTAATTTTGTTGCGGCAGCCTGGCTGTCGACAGCCCCGCTGTTTCAGGCACTGACGATTGAGGATGAGTGCTTCCGGACGGCTTTGCGGAGTTGGCTTGGTTTGCGGCACCCGATGGTAGCAGGCATTGCGTTGTGCGAGTGCGGGCAGTCCCTTCAGGGTCCTTTGGGGGGACAGCACCTA